CCATTGTGCTTTAAAATGTCTACATGCACTGGGAAGGAATGAACTGGGCAGCGTCTCACGAAACCGTCATAAGTACAAGTTCACTGCCATCCCATTGAAATGCGTGTATTAACTTTAACACACGTTTCAATGGGATGTCGGTGAACTTGTACTTATGACGGTTTCGTGAAACGCTGCCCTGCAGTCTTTATCGGCCCTCATGTATTCAAGTGCAGTAGCAATGAATGTACTGTACAGTGTACAGATCCATGTATTTCTATGATACTAGGATTAGACACGGGTCTAAACCTATCTAATAACTTCATTCTTTTCTTACCAGCTCTACTGGAAAATGCAATCATTAATTTGCAGTCAAGTTTTTAGATATATCTTCAAGACTTCAAATGTCTCTCTTTAGATGGTTGTTTCAAATTAAATGCCTACACTGCTATCTCGAGTTTGGGTCTGTCTGGGAATGTGGTGGAAAATCCTTTCAGCTATTGAACGAGGGAGCATAATTCTCTTTAGATAACACCTGGGCAACGAAACAAAAAGAAAAGTTGGCAAATTATTGATTGCTATTTTGCAATTGTTCATGATGTACAATGGTAGTGTGAATTATTTGTGCATGATCCAAGTTTGTACACAGTTCCATATCTCAATAATATGAAGCGTACCAGCATGGTGAAAATGTAATTTTGATTTGGAATCTCGCAGTGCCGCAAGGCATATCTAGTGGTGCCGCGAGAGAAATTTAGTTAAAAACAAATTACTTTTTTTGGAAGAACATCTATTTTGTGAAACACCCAATATTAGAAGCTGCTAGAGTATGTAATTTCACAAGGAAATAGCATTTTAAAGATAAAAAGTTTATTTCTTCCTCACTCACAGTATTTAGAAACAGGATGATATCTGGCAGCAAAGTGCCTAAACACCTCCATATTTTTGCAACGAGGTGCCCGCATACATTGTTTTATATCTTATCTAGTGTTCTGATTACAGAAATAATTTTGTAACATATATTAAAGGTGTTATTTTTTTTTTTATTGTTTGCAACAAATAACAGCCCATAGGTTTGTACATGTACATGGCACTTGACAAGTTGGATTCACAATTTAAAACGTCCCCCATCGGTAGACCGCGACAGGCCAAATTTTCGGCTCTTAAATTGATATCTTACAACCTTTGCAGCATAGCAAATCGCTAGCCACCAATCGATATGACCAAAGGGGTCCTATTTGTGTAAATTTATTTAACGAGATAAATTGTTCCGATATCAGGGCAAATTTTTCAGTGAATTCAGATTTCAAAATCCACCCATCAATTAATTCTGACAGATTATATAGCTTGATTTTTGAGAAAAATTAATTCAAAGGCCATTTTTGGCCCAAAAGTGACATAAATTACCATTATTGTTGATGGCAGTCAGTTTGACCCCTTCATCTAGCATCAGGTCACAATTTTATATAAATTGGAGAAAAGGCCAATAAAATCTCCTTTGCTGATAAACCTAATAACGATTTGGAAAATTATTTGACCAAGAGTGACTATAATTCTATGGTCAGTTTTCCCAACACAGAGGCCAAAATATTGAGAAGGGTCGATAAGACCCCATTTTTTAAAACCCTGGTTAAGCTATTTAAATCTTCCCCACCAACAGTAGGATGGGCCGAGAATAAGGATCGTCCGCACAAATGAGGATTGTCTTCATAAACGCGGACAGATGCATCCGCAAAAATAAGTCTGTTTTTTGCATCGCCAGGGTGCAGATCGGGAACCCCAAACCCTCCGCGTATACAAGAATATTCTTGTTTATGCGGACGATCCTCACTTGGACCTGCACCCTAGCTACAGACCAAACATTCTGATCAATACCCCGTATCTCCTCCTAGCTAAGGCACAACAAAGCCTATAGCTACAGCCGATATGATGTTGACTTTTTCCATGATGCATTACATGTATGTCAAATCCACTAAACACTGCTGTGGCTAGATAGTGCAGCATGCTGAGGATCATGAATCCACTGTATCAATAATATCTTCTGTGATGAATTTGGGATTGGGGCGATATGTAACTTGTTATTTCTGAAAAGGGTGTTGTCACTGAAAGAAAAGGTTGAAAAACGGTGGACTAGATCTGCAATCAACTGTTATTGCTAAGCTTTGTGTTACTGCACTTGACCCTGTCTGTATCATGATTGTGTGGCCTATATCACCGGCACAGACTTAAATTAGTCTTGCGCTTTTCTACTTGCATCGCATCACTGGCACTGCACCTGGGATCGTGATCACACATTAATGCAAGCTCCATAGAAATACTGGTACCGGTATATATATGCGGTAGTCCAATCTATCACTTGATTTGGTAACCTGGCATAATACCATAAATTTATAGTCTACTGGTCTAAAGACTACCAGTATAATTTATTTAAAAAATACAGAGTCAGAGCAGAGACATTTCAATGTCAATGCATGGCAATGAATGATCAATCAGAAATAGTAAACGTGATAAGAGAAAAGTCAATAGTCTATTTAATGTTCATAATTATATCACATAAAGTTCGTATTTATTTTAGAAGGAAAAAATGGTTTATGAGAATATTCAAAACTGACTGACTGCCATACATAGACGCTAAATTACAACCACCAACAACATGCATCTCAGCCAGAGCTGGTCGATCGTGATACAGCAGAACAGCATCAGAAAGTGCTCGCTGGCCAGGCGAGGAGGCGAGGCAGAGGTGCTGGCACTGACTTGCCCGCTGACCTGGCCTGGCCTGGCCTAATCCTTCACGTACAACGTTGATGCTAGCCAGGGCTCAAAGCTAAACAGTCAATTTTTATATTCATATTTTCGTCTAATAATAAGCAGGTATAACATACATACCAAGCAATGACAAGACGAAATGTTATATTCTGCTCAAAACTCAAGAGTCTGATTGCAACTTCTGCTTCTTCGGATATCAATTGGCAAGTAGACTACGTCGATTCGCCGAGAAGAACTGAACTAGCTTGATCGCTGCATGATGATGGATGAGTATAATTGCTGATGTGAAGAAAAAAAACAAGAAAAAAAAAACTCCGGTGTATCCCAGTATACAACTAACTAAGAAGCAAAACAATAGAAACAAGAATCCGTGATGTGAAGGACTTTATTCAATTAAACAACTCTTTTTAGCTTGTTTCTTTGTTCTTTGTTTGTATACCATCACCATCATCATAATATCATCATTATACACATCACCACCACCACCATCATCATCCTCCTCCTCCTCCTTCATCTTATCATCATCAACATCATAATCATTTTTTCCTTCTTCTCATTAATATGATAATTATTATTATCATCATTATTATAATCATTATCATTATTACCATTATAAGTTGTGTATTACCTAGTACATAGAAGAAGTAGTAGTAGTAGTAGTAGTAGTAGTAGTAGTAGTAGTAGTAGTAGTAGTAGTAGTAGTAGTAGTAGTAGTAGTAGTAGTATAGTAGTAGTAGTAGTAGCAACAGTAGTACATAAGAAGTAGTAGTAATATTCATCATTTTTATTATTACTACTACATGTACTACTATTATACCATTATTAATACCGTCATCGTCATCAATGATCTGTTTTTATGACTTAAATGTAGGCATATAGGCCTTTTAAAAATAAATGTAATAAAATTATTTAGAGGGGGAAGGGGTATTAAAACTTTCAAGGTAAGATAGTTAATTAGTTACGTTTCTCATGTGACGGAAAATGAACTAATTACATTTATGTTGTTTCTGTCATACCATCCCCCCTACATTTTGTATTATATTCACTGAAAAGATAATAAAAACAATATAAAGCAAAAGAATGTTACTTATCAGAAGAAAACATTCTCTTTGCTATATTCTAATGTCCTATGTACCCTGCTACTATAAAGGTTTTTCCATCATCATAATCATCTCAACTTCAATACTCCCAACTATGTACAGCTCCTTTCTTGTAATTGCTCAATTCATGTTTTACATTCTATATTTCTCCCCCTCCCCCATCACCCATTTCAAGCTGTGACTTTTATAACTCCTCACATCATCTTTGTTCTATTCTTCAGCATCTTGCACATTCACTGGACATTTCTCCTTATACATAATTCACCCACTTCTTCTCTATACATGTACTTGGCATTTAGTTCTGGTAATAAAACAATTTTATATTTTTTACTGTTTATTTATTATTATCAGTCAATATTTGTTATCAATAGAATGTTACATCATAAAATATTATAAAGGATCAAAGTCTTCTCCATTGTGTTCTGTACTTGAAAAATTGTAAATATTGTTGGTGGGGTGACAAAACCTTGTATCTCAATTTTTTGAGATTTTGATTTTTTTGCATAATTTTGTACCTAATGGCCTACGACACCACCTGATAAATCCATGGAACGCCTCCTTCTCGGTTTTTTCACAAATTCCACACAAACACCCTTAAACTAAACGGCCTAACAGTACCGAAGTTAGTGTATTCAAATCCTCGCAACTTATTCAACCAAATCCTCGTAACTCATTCAGAGTTGAAAGTAAAAACTCGTATCTCAATTTGAATAAAAACTAAGAACTCGTATCTCAATGTAGATAAACGCAAAAACCTCGTAACTCACTTTCAAATATAAAAACAATTATTTTACTGCATTTCAACAATGACATTAAAATGACATTGTATAAATATTCCAGTTTTAAAAAGAAAGGACGGTGTCACAGCACTAAATTTGTTGAGACAGAAAAGTTTTTTCGCTCTCCTGAAAATTCATGATTTTTGAGATACGAGGTTTTGTCATCCCACTGACAATATACTTTTTCCCAAAAGAAAATTTTGAAACATGCCTCCCTCCCCCGATAAAGTCATTTGAAATTCCTTCATTGACATTACGATAGATGGAATTAATGACATTTTCTGTCCATGGCCACTCTCATATTCACATCCCTTTCTTCAAAATAACATTTCTCTCCATTACACTCTTTTAGAAAAAAAGGTAGAGATTAAAGCGATATGTTTTATATACATTTATTTTCAATCATATAATCATAAAATTAACAGTAACATCAAGATGAACATCCACATTGACAAAATACATGTTTTACAATACTTTTACTCCATTAAGTTTGGTTTGAATTGTTTTAATGCTCTTCAAGTTATCGCAGTAACAAGATATTTTTTGACAATTTTAAATACTTTCAAGGTCCTGTGATATTTTACCTTGAATTTTAAAATAATGGTATTTTTGTATAGCACGTAGAGTGACATTTGATGTCTCACTACTCTAAAGATCAATTCTACCCACCTAGTTAGGGTTTATAACACTTTTACCGACATCATTTAACCTTTTTACATGTATATGATGTGCCATCTTTCTGTAGCTAAATTAGTTAAAAAACTACTAATTTCTATTTAAACAAAAAATCCCCTTCAGAAGTACAATTTAACTTTTCAAAGATTGTTCCATAATGAAATAAAGGAGCAGGCAAAATGAAAAAATGCATGGCTTTATCTCATTTGGACATCAGCAGATACTATTTATTTATTAGGCACATTGAAGTGATCTGGTCAAATATTACACAGATTATACTACTGAAACTATACTACTAATACTACATGGATTTTGCCATAATAATCCATAATGTATATGAGGCACTTTACAGAAACAGAAGTATTATATTTGAAAAATGGCAATAAAGGGCATCAGGTAAACGGTCACTCTATCCTACGGCCAGCAATGCAAACGATGATTACCATGTCTCCATATCTTTGTTTACATCACCAATCTATGAAAAGACGAAAATGAAAGAAAGAGAGAGAAAGAAAAAAATAATTGTCAATATATTTTCATTGTTATGGGAACCTTTGATTCTGTCAAGCAGTAAAAACACCAATGAGGGTCTCTTACTGTACACATGTATAGAAGTAACTTATTTCAGTTATGGCTTAGTTATTGAAATTAGGCATTCTTTACATCTAAGTTGGCCTGGAACACTGAATGAGAAAAAAACGGATTCACTTTTTATACAAGATAATCCATTAGAAGATATCCAGAAATATTTCATATATACATGTAACTAAGTTTAAAAAATAAAAATAGAATTTAGTATCATTTGGTTTGTGATTAGTTTCCAAGTCAGATACTATCTAGCTAGGGTGAATTCATAGGAAGCATTGATTCCTCTTCAACCCCAAGGTGGTATACATCATTTTGTTGGAAACTGTAAACTCAGAAATCAAAATCTTGCAGTCTACTGTTTATATTAGGACACATGAAGACATGTTCATAATGAAAGCAACCCTTCCCCTTCCCACCATCAGTAATCAACTCTCACTATGAATATGACTGACAAAGAAAGCGGACAAAATATACAGTTCCTCAGGTAGATAAAGGAACATCCCTTCACTGCTATTACGTAAAAATGTGTACAACAGGTGTCACATGCATATTCAACTTTTTAAATAATAGCAGTGAAGGGATGTTCCTTCGTCTACCCGAGGAACTGTATATTTTGTCTACCTGAGGAACTGTATATTTTGTCCGCTTTCTTTGTCAGTCATGCCTGAGTCATTACGGTTTTTGTGCTAAACGGTTAACCGTTAAAAGTATACGGGCGGTTTCGTTTATCCGTTTAATAATAATCTGAAAAAGTGAAAATACAGTATTTGTAATAGTGCTGTAGCTCGGAACCCTGCTGGTCTTCAGACTGTCGGGCTGAGCATTCCCAGCCCCGGACTTTGGCACAAATTGGGTCATCCTGATAAACAGAGACCAGTAATAAACAACATAAAACATGTCTTATTATTCCTCATCTGAATTTGATATCATGATTAACCTTGCAAAGTTACTCTGTGAAGATAGCTGATCTGTGACGTGTTTATATATGCCTTTGCAATGCAATGTTTGCACATGGTCAGGGAGAGAGCTCCCTGCATGTATCATTGCCATATGAAATTATGTGGAAGTGTGTATCACACACACCCAAGACACACCCTGCAATGAGCTGATCCAAGTTAGTGACCAATCAGGAAGGTTCTCTAGCTATGTGGGTCGAGTTTGATACCAGCATAAATTACAGGTTGGTGACCGCGCGTGCTTTCACCGTACCCAGTTCAGTGGGAGGTCAAGAAGCCACGCCCACATGTGTGCATGTGACAAGCATGAGCTCTCCATCTGTGTGTATGTACAGTGTATTTGGGCGCCGGAGGTTTGTGTGTACATGTGTGTGTGACTGAGAGAGCACGCATGGGCTAGCATGTCCCTGCATGTCCCTGCATGGACGAGGCAGGGACATGAGTGAAGAAGTAAGACAAGTGAGACTACCGGTAGATAGAAAGGGTGGCTGTGTTAATCGGCTGAATTGAAGAATGATCAAAAACTTAAATTACTCACAATATCCAAGACTTTGTTGATTGATATTTCTAAAACTTCAATTATTATTGTTATCAATATTTTTGTATTGTATTTATATATGAACATTATTTTAGGGGGCGAGTCAGCAAGGGATGGATATTAATATTGAGAGAGAGAGAGAGAGAGACTCGGGGGAGAAGGGATGTGAGAGGAACTGACCATCGAATGTGTAAACATTTAGAAATTTGTGAGCTGAGAGTGCAGTAATAAGAAAAGGTACATGAGCAATGAACACATTGCAGAGAGAAAGGGAATAAAGAGGGTGAGAAAAGAGAGAAGGGGGCTGGTTGTTTTATTGTTTACAAATTCATTCATGGGGATTACTGCTGCCAGAAAGCTGGTGCGCAGCGGCCAGGGTGTAACATTACACTGCGGTTTCTTTGATTATCTTTATCATCGGCTATTAGCACATTCCAAAATGTATGCAAATATAAGCCAAATAACGGTTAACCGGAGCGAGAAATGCTAAACGGTTTTGATGAATGCGGTCGGATAACCGTCGGTTAAACGGTTTGACTCAGGCCTAGTTCATAGTGTCTCTTTGTTGTAGTACCGGTACTTAGCACAGTGTCAATTCATCAAAAATATCCAGAGCAGTGATATACAGGAGAGAAAGCATACCTGGTTTCATTCAAGTCCTTTCCCGAATTCTTGTGGACTCTCCTCCATTCCAATATCACTCAGAGCAGTATTGACCTGTAATAAGAAAAAACAAAGAGTTTCATAATATACGATATCAGACTTTCAATTTACTTCAATGATTTCTTCTAGATAGTTTTCAGGTCAGATACTATCTAGCAAGAGGGTGAATTTCACAGGAATCATGAATTCCTCTTCGAACCCCGCGTTTGTATACATCATTCCTTGAAAACTTTCAGCTCAGGCTTCATTCTTGCAATTTACCATCAACTAGGAAAGATAATACATTCTGTATTGGTCCATTTTTCTTTCTTCAAGAATATTCAAAGAAAACATACCTGGTTCCAGCTACATTCTAGAAGCCACTTCTCCATTTAGAGAAATCACAGCGAGGAGTAATATACCCTGTAAGAAAGAAGAGAGAAACAGGTTAAACTAACTATCAGAGTTTCAACAAGTCCATTATTTAATTAAAATGATTTGTGGATAGTTTCAGAGTCAGATACTATCTAGCTAGGGTGAATTCATAGGAATCATTGATTCCTCTTCAACCCCAAGGAGTTATACATCATTCTCTTGGAAACTATTAGGTCAGATACATGCTTCTCAGCCTTGCAAAACACATTATTGTGGATAAGCTTTTAATGCAGGGGGGGGGGGGGGGGGATTAGGGATAAAATATCACGCAAAAGCAACCACATATCTCACCTCAAATATATTCTGCATCATTTCAGTATCATTGCTCATGCACCACTCCAGACCAATATTCCAAATGCCAAGGGCGTTCTATGAGGTACAAAGAAAAGAAAAACTTGTTAAAATAGTTGCCTGTTGTACTTTTACAAAGAAAATGGAGTAACATTTCTCTTAATTGTTTTATCCCTTCAGTGTTTATCAAACTTCAAATTGTATGTATCCCTTTATGATTTTAATAAAGACCATGGGTTGCAAGGGAGAAGATTATTGACCCATGGACCACTGAATTATCTTATTCCCATAAACTTCTTACAGGAATAATCCTGCTTTTGTAGGCAAAGAGTTAACATATAGTGCTAAAGCCAAAGCATGAGAGTTGAACGTATTTCACAATCACTATGAAGTCAAAACAAACAAAAGAAATTACCTGTGGTTCATTATTTTGCATATATGAAATTTTACAAAGCTGTGAGATAGGGATCATGCTAATGCATGTTAAAAAAAAAAAAATTTAATTAAAAAAAATAATAAGCGAAGGTTGGCATTATATTCTACCGATCCTCATATATTTCAAGTCAAATGAGTACATCAAAGTTTTGAAGAGAAAAGGCTGATTAATTTAGCTTCTTTAACGGAAAAACATAATTCTTAATGATACATTGATTGCCCGTCAGCCAGGTTTTGTCGCAACTGATGTGAGAATATATGTACTTGTGTAGCTCTAGCACCCTGCTACACTCAAAATCATCAACAATGTCATCGAAGAACTAAGGTGGTCAGAAACTTGTTCAGATTTGTACTGGCTTAATGCATGAAGCATGTAAGATGGTTATCAGCATATATCGATAAGATGGGGAAAAAAGTTAAATCATCACCACAAGATCTGACCAGCTTCTCCAAGTTTTAAACGAGTTCCTCTACAAACCTATGCTTCACAGGTAATTTTGTGATGAGAAATCACATTTCCACGGCATCTCAGAAAAAGTACTAAGTAAGCCTATGACCAATTTGCAGAGTACAATACATACCTTTGATTTGACATGGGAGATAGCCGGATAAAACGTCTCTCTGACCTTTAACCTCTTCATCTCCGTCTGAAAAAGATGAAATAATGTGAAGCCTTGTTTAAAGGGTGACGATATATCTCAACAAAAAGTTTTGAAGCACACACCGTCTTATCTAGTTGCCTGGATTGACCGATATGCCCGTTTAGTGATATTCCAAACTGAATTTGTACTTCTTGATCTTTAGTTGTCTTACACAATCTGAAGATAGGAGATCCTTGGACAACATCGCAGAAATAAGACGCATCTTGGATTTCAGCCACAGAAATACTACATATTTAATAAGAGATTTACAAGATTTAAATTTAAATTTTAAATCCGACTACGTTGCAAAAGTGCTTACGGGTATTTCATTAATTAGCAACTACCAACTAACAGACCAATTAATAGATGTCATGAAAATTTTGCATGCCTCTAAACCTGTGTTCTAGTCACAATCCTTGAGCTTATCGCAAGGCTTGTCTGACATAGCAACAGAGTATACAGCATTTATTCTGATTTTTGAAATATTTATATATGAAGTCCTCTTGTTGCTTACTTACAAGCAAACACATGCTTTCTAGGCAGTCAAGTAAAAAAACTTATGAACAAAGATTAAACAAATGAGATATATTGTTATGATGCTAGAGGATGGGACCAGGGCATGGTTTGACCCCTGACACCGAAGGTTCATCACGTTTATCTTCCTCCTGGTTGCATTCATCTCACAAACACGGTGGGAGTTTGGAGATGCCAAGAAAAGGAGGTTCTTAAATTATCCACAGTAAGCCATATTTGTATTGAAACCAGATTTAATGTGTATGTCTTTGTTTAGTGCATACATTGGTTGTTGCTAGGTTGGACAAACATTATGTCTTGACCTACCTGCCAACACGTAATGTATGAAATTTGCATTCTGACTATTGTAACAGGTGACTAATTGAAAGATTAAACGAGAACTCGTTTGAGATTTAATCTCAATTATATAAGTAATATAAAATGAGGGTTTACGTTAAATGAGACCCCGTTAGTGCGCATGCGCTAATCAGCAATATTCGTAGATAGCCGAGGATGTGCCTACTGAACCAAGCAGAAAGATAACGAGAACTGTAATTAATAACAATACCCAGCACTAGGGAGGGTAAGGGAGGGACGTAAACCCTCATTTTATATTACTTATATAATTGAGATTAAATCTCAAACGAGTTCTCGTTTAATCTTTCAATTATACTACGTAATACCAATTTCGGGATTACGTTAAATGAGATTTCGAAGCTCAGTAGGCCATCCGATCCAGTGCTCAACACAAAAGTATACATTATTGATAGAATAGCAAGCTAAAGCATGCTGCTAAGAAGGTAAACCAGCTGACCTTAAAAAGGCGATGCCAATTCTAGGACATCCTTTAGGACGCCATGATTGCACCTGTGAAATTGACGTTCCTGTTCTCTACTGGTTTCATGTAATAGTTTCGAAACGTCCGTTCAGAAGACCAGCCCGCCTGGGCTAGTATATGCTTGATAGGCAGATTTGAACTGTTTGCTGCTGAAGTTGATGCAGCTCTAGTAGAATGAGCTTTGTAGATGTCTGTGTCGATCCCTGCTGAGGTCAACGTTTCCTTCACCCATCTGGCGATGGTCTGCGTAGTAACACGTTTGTGCGGTTTCTTGAAGCTGATGAACAGATAGCGTTCCTGTCCCCTGACGCTCTCCGTTCTGCGCAAGTAGTGCCGCAAGTAGTTAAGTACACATAACCTCCTGTCTGGTGGATATGCCTTCATTTTCAAGTTGAAGTTCACATTCCCCGGTTTTGTTTGCTTTAGGAGGTCCTTAAAAATGAACAGAACTTCGCTGCCCTTGATTTTCATGTAGTCAAGATGCAAGCTGTGCAGTGACTGGACCCGCTGGGCCGATATCAGCGCCATAAGTGTGCAAAGTTTCATAGTCAGAGTTTTTAGCGTGAGCGAATTCGCTGGTGCCCACTTCCGTAGATAATTAAACACTATGTTCACATCCCAAATCTCCTTATATCTTGGCGCTGGAGGGCGCAATTGAAAAGCTCCTTTACAAAAACGACTAATAAGAGGATGAGTTCCAACTGTACATGACGAATCCTCAAGTACTAGGAATGCAGACAAGGCGCTGCGTGCAGAATTTATAACACTATAACTAGCTCTTTCACTTTCAAAGAGTTCTGACAAAAAATCAATTACATCATTGGATCTCGCCTGGAGATAGTTCAAGCCTTTTTTATGGCAGTATGTCTTCCATTTCCTTATGTAAACGGCATAGTTCTTTGTCGTTGATGCTCGCCACGATGCTGCTATTACATTGATAGCTCTTGCACTCAAACCTTTACTTTCTAGTGGCTGGCGCAGCACCTGCAACAAAGCAAATCAAGCTGATTATTAAGCGGGTGTGGCTCATTTGTAATAGGCTGTGCTAGTAAGTTTGGCCTTCTAGCTATGAACATTGGCTCCCCAATAATCATACTCTTCAAAAGAGGGAACCATGGTTGGGTAGGCCAGTTTGGAATTACTAGTAGGCCTGTTGCATCATCGCATTTAATCTTTTGTAAGCATTTTGCGATGAGGCAGAAGGGTGGGAAAGCGTAGAAACTTAATGGTTTCCAGTCGATTGTGAAAGCATCAACTGTTTCAGCTCCAGGGTCAGGCAGCCATGAGATGTATCTGTCAACTTGCTTGTTTAATCTTGATGCAAATAGGTCTATTTCTGGGGAACCAAATTGCTGAGCAATTTCTTTGAATGCATCTGTATTTAGCATCCACTCTGTCTTGTGGTTAAAGTGTCTAGACATGTGGTCTGCCTCTGTGTTTAGTTTCCCTGGTAAATGGGCAGCTGATAGCCATATGTTCCTACTCATGCACCATTCCCAAATGTGTTTGGCTGCCTCATTGCAATCTGCAGACTTGCAGCCCCCCATATTGTTAATGTATGATACTGCGGTTACATTATCAACACGGAGTAGTACATGCACATTTTCCATATCAGCACAGAAGGATTGAACGCCAAACCCCGCAGCAACTGTTTCAAGGTAGTTAATGCCATAATGCCTAGCTTTGTGCAATTCTTTTTCATTCCATCTACCACCTGTGCATGATTGGAGGTTAGTAGCACCCCAGCCAGCCCCACTGGCGTCCGTGCGCAACTCAAGGTCTGGTTTCGGTCTTCTTATTGGTGCAAATGAAGACGTTACATGCTCGACCCACCATTGAAGCTCACCCTTGGCTTCATTTGAAAGTGTCATTTTTCTATCGAAATGACCTCTGTTTGCTTTTAGTGCTGCAATTTTGTCTCTCTCTAAAGTACGATAGAAGAGAGGGCCATATTGGACTGCTGGGAAAGTTGAAACGATCTTCCCAATAACCCTGGCAACATGCCTTATTGAGGGCTCCTTAGTGTCAATAAGCTCTTGACAGAGGCGTTCGACTTCAAGCGCCTTGCTTTCTGGAAGCCTAATTTGCATAGTATTTGTATTCAGAACAAAGCCAAGGAACGTTATCTCTTTGGTGGGGGTAAGTACCGATTTTTCAGGGTGAATAATGAACCCGAGTTGTGCAAGGATGTCAGTGGTAGCCTTAACAGCTGCTTTGAGCTTTTCCTCATTTTCTGCAATGAGGATTGTGTCATCCAAATATCCTACCACAATGTGACCAGCTTGTCTGAGCTTAGAAAAAACTGGCTTTAGTAATTTTGTGAATAGCCTTGGTGCTGTACTGAGACCATTGGGCAGTGCTTTGAATTGCCAACATTGACCATTGACAATGAATTTGAGGTATTTCCTATCCTCTTGGTGGATCGGTACTGTATAATATGCATCTCTGAGGTCGACAGAGGCTAGAAAATTGTCAGGGGATACAAGATCCAGCACAGTGTGGATATTATCCATCTTAAAATGCTTATACATCATGCATTTATTCAATTCTGAGAGATTGAGGATTAGACGTACACCTCCAGTTCTTTTAGGCGTAGTAAAAATATTAGAAATGAATTCACCCTCTTCGTGTACACAGGGCTCAATAACATTTTTACGATGGAGGCTAGTAATTTCTTCTTGAATGCGCTTAGCATCCTGGACACTCCGTTTATAGCGTTTAGCCTTTAATTCAGGCAAGTCTTTAATTTTTTCTACATCAAACTCGATCTTGTATCCCGTGACAGCCCTAATAACAATAGGGTCTGTTGTTAGCTCTTGCCAATTTTTCCTAAAATACCTCAGTCGACCGCCCACTGGGGGAACACTACTAGTACTAGTACTAGCATTAGTCATATCATTTTCGCTAAAAATGAGATCAAAGTGTGAATCACTAACCTTGTCGTGACTTGGTCTTGGGAGTTCTACTTCCTCCTCTGTTGGCCCATGGGACCCCTCTGGGCACCTGGCGCTTGCATTTGAGGCTGGTTCGGAGCCTGAGACTGAGTGTACGGAGGCTGTCTGCCCCTCCTGTTCTGTCTGTACCCTAAAAAAGGGCCACCCTGCGATCCTGACATTGGCCTGCTATACCCGCGGGATTGGCTCTGTGAGCCCCAGCGGTGCCCCGGTGCATTGTAGCCACGTCCCCGATAGGGATGCGAAGCAAAGCGGTTTTTGAATTTGTCCCTCATTACACCGGCCGCTGCCAGTTGCTGATCTTTGAGATCCTTCACCTGCTTTCCAAGATCATCACCAAACAAAAGTCTAGTAGCTGGCAGAGTAGGTTTGCACAGATGCGTAAACCTTGCATTCAAGTCAGGTTTTATGAGCTCTTTTCGCAGGCAGTTCAGTTCAAAGTTAGCGTTACAAATCAACGCCAAAGCATCTTGCTGTGTATCAGTTATACCGCCCGTAGAAACGGAGCGGGCGAATGCATTGATGCCATGAGTGAGTGATTTCTGAACTCGCTGTAACTTCAAGTCACGGCTTTTTGTCATCGGAGGTAGATTGTCCCATATCACAGGGTTCACCTTTGGTGCCTCTATAATCTGACAATTGCTTGGAGCTGGGTATTTTGCAGTAACTTCATCAAGAACTTTCCCCTCCAATTGGTGTGTCATGAGATATGAAGTAGATTGGGCTATCTCCTCCTCAATAGGATCTCCGATATCCGACGCCATTGCGAATTTTGCGGCGATCGAGGGAATGACAAAATTATCAGGTTGAGGCATGTCCGAGTCAAAATTCTCTTCCTCCGAGACGGCGCCCGCTTCGGTTGCATCCGCGGGTAGACCGTAAAAATCCATGAGCCCGGTGGGCGGTATGTCATTCCCGTGGTCGAACGGAGGCCGTTGCACATAGTCTTCCCCGCCGGTAGCCCCGGTGGGGCCGCGAGACGAAGACGGGTGTGAGCTGCCGGTGACAGCCGTAGCATTAGTAGCGGGCAACGCCTCAACCACTCGCGCAAGAAGCGCTTCCATTTTATCAAGTCTGTTATTAAAAGTAGAAAATGGAACCGTTGATTCCACTTCCTGATTTTTCTCGCTCATTGCCTTTGGCTCCGAGTCCGACTTTGTTTTACTTTTAGCTTTCCCCGGCCCACTCTTGCTGACTTTGCCAGCCGTGACTTTGCCACTGGAGTTGGGTAATTTTTTCTTACCGTCGGAGCCCGTGGCTCCTGCGCTACCAGGCGGTGCCTGGGGAGAAAGCGCGGACGGAGGAAACGCAGCAGTGCTGCTATCCATTTGAGACATTACAATTCTATCGATAAAATATCACTTCAGAAGGGCGTGATTTATAAAAATAAGCGTCTCAAAGTTATCAGTAAATGTCAAAGGTGAAACTAATAACGTTTTTTACCTTTGGATTTCGGGGATTGCGTGGATAATAAATCTGATTTCTTGAGCCAGAAAGGGGTCCTTTCGCTCAAATAACACGCGACTAACGAATTGCTGATTAGCGCATGCGCACTAACGGGGTCTCATTTAACGTAATCCCGAAATTGGTATTACGTAGTATAATGTGGCCTAATTGACATCACCTTGAGAATTAATAGGAATATCTTAATATCGTTTTGCTAGACTTATGTAACACCCAAATTTTCCCATGCCCTACCTGGATATCATTCTAAGGATTTGAGTCCGAGTCAAAGATGATGCAGGTATCGGCCGCTGTCAGGTTGATTCCTAGACCACCAGCTCAGGTGCACAGTAGGAACACAAAGCGATCGGAATCTACAAACAAGCAAACAAACTACACAATGAGCCATTAGAATATTGATAATAGTAATAATGATGATGCAGAGAACCACAATGACATTCTTATTATATTGCATGGCGATTACACTCGAGCTAGCTGAGCTGCCATGGTCGTTTTTCAAAGAATGCAGGATACGCGGGTCACAAGAGCAAACTATTTTTATGTTTATACACAATACCACGTTTTTGCCTTTTTTTAAATTACATGTAACACCAATGGGAAACAAACTCTGTAATATTATGCACAATAAAACTTAATGTTGAATTTTGTTTGTTTACATTTTCACATTTTGATCAGGTAAATGGCGTATTGCTTCAACTACTCTGTTGTACAGGATGATACAACACGAGAGATCCCCAAAGATTTTGAAGCACATTCGGGCCCATTTTTCGAACTAGCTCATGATCAGCATTGCAGAACACCATCATTAATTCAGTAGGAAGTGTTATGTATCTGTCATCATTTCAAGAGCACACAAAAAAATGGAAATTCAGACTAAAGACTCGTCATAGATTCATTACCTAAATTCCAATGACATTTCAGAATTTGAATGACTAAAGGCAAAAACATAATATATTACACGGTGATTATACTCAAGATATCTGAGCTGCTATGGCCAGCGTTCAGAGAATTAACGATACATGGTTGGTTACGAGAGAAAACTGAAGATAACATTTCTTGCTCTTGGGCATATGCATTGGTATTTTAAACTTTGCATTGAGAATGTTACATTTTAAAGCATGGAAATCCATATTCCTAACTGACTGTGCACTGAGTACCTACCTGGTTTACTGAACCTAGCTATAGCAGCTCGTCTCATTTAGTTGCCTCTTACTCGGCCGTCGATCCTCTCAAAGAGATACCTACCAAAAAAAATATGATTGAAAACGCATAACTCACAGCAAACAGATATATTGGGGAAGGGGAAGGGGAGGGGGGGCAGCAATCATTAAAACTTTATCCAAAATTTCTTGACTTTGTGTTTGTTCTTGTTCAGATCTTGGTGGAGGATCACCAGGCTTTGTTGAAAGTAAGGCGATAAAAGTGATCATCATTTTAAGAACACATACACAAGATTCTAGACTATGCCATATTATGCAACAATGAACATTACTCAACAGAACTTGATGTACAATATAAATGTGGACCTGAAACCAATGTCCAGACAGAAGAATATAGGAGCTTGTGGCCAATTGTGTGTGTCCTACCAACCCCCTCGCCCTATATAAGATTGAGCTTCCATTTGCAAAGACCTGTTAAAAATAATCATTAACCATAACAATATCTTTACAACTTCCTTGAACTTTTTTCTTCTTCATACAAAACTAGAGGTTCTATTGTAAACCAATACTGACTTGGAACTAACATATGTACCTTCTCTGGATGAGGTAGTTCTCAAGGATGCCCAAAAAGCGGATCATCTGAGAGAAGACGAGAAACTTGTGGCTAACGTTCTCGAGCCCCCCCCCCCCCCCCTCCCTCAACTCCCTGTCCCTTTTAAGATTGAACTTATTCTCTTAACTACTTAATGTGTCAGAGTAACCAGATACCCCAGGTCCGATAAGTACCTACTAGCACACTTGAAACTAAAGCACTTACCTTTTCTGGATGAGGTAGTCTTCCAGGATATCCAGACAGCAGATCATCTGGGAGAAGATCGACACCTTGTGGCCACCTTCCTTGAGCTTTGGCAATAGTTTGTCCAGAAGAACCATCTTACCGGTAGACTGGATCAGCACCTTCAGGTGGAGTAGGGGCTTCACATGCACGCTGATGATGGTCTTGTCAGACATACGTTCAGTCATTTCAAGCTGGGATAAAATGGATATGACAAACGAAAGACAATGTTTTTACGTGCTCCTGAGTGTGCACATACTACTAAAAATTCTGTATACATCAGGGGTTTTAATAGCCGAGATCCGAGGGTCGGGGGGTAGGATGTTTATTTTATTGATACATTGCTATAAAATTCATAGCTAAATATTTTCCGAGATGCCATTGCTTACCTATGATCTTTGGACATTTGATCCCATAATCTATGTGTTTTTCATGCGACAGTTTTTGCACAAACCGGAGCCAACTTGTGGGGGGGGGGGGGGGAGAACTTTTGCACAGATACGAATATCCAAACACACAAGCTCCCTAACACAAGTGGCACATACATACATAGAGTGGTGAGAACACCACAGGCTTTATGTTGTACCTTGAATGGATAGCAGCTTGAACATCGTTCAGTTCAAGGAATAATATATATCTTTGTTCTTGATCAGATTCTGTGGGGTGTCACCACGCTTGAAGGTAAGGGGGACATATTATCATCATTTCGAGAACACTGATACATGATTGCTGTTTATGAAACCATGGCACATGCAGGGCAAAGTTTTTATAGTTAATCCTATAATTTTCTACACAATATCAAATATCAGTCTTCACATCCTCACCTTGATGATGGTCTCTTCCTTAGGAGCCAAATTCTTCTATGCGTCTTCCGTCAGACGTCTAAGCATCATGGGTCTCAGGAGCTGTTCAAAACGGAAATTTCAAATTCCATATAATTATAATTAATAATATTATCGAACTAGATGGACTTTCCACTGCACGCAGTTGAAAATAATGCCGCCTCCGCCACAGAGCCATTTTACAAACCAATACAGAAGCAATTTCAAAATTCAAGTTCGATTGTATTAACAGGTCTCAGAATATCGTGATTACAAGCTATTGTTCATACTTCATATACATGTGTGACCCTTTGATCTTTGACCACCCTGATAAAGTGCTCTGGCATTCATGGAATTTTTTCCTACCAGGTAACCAATAAATTTGAATTAACCAATTGACTTAAATCATATCAAATGGAGATCTTGATTAACAGTACCCTACATTAGGTAAAGCATACTTTTAGTTGAGGTCTCATTCAGATTTGTACTGGCTTAATTTCACATGGTTATCAGCATATATCGATAAGCTGGGGAAAAAAGATAGAAATCATCATCATGAGTCTCAACTAATAAAGTGCATGTATAACTTTACATCTGTGGCACTGCTTGTACAATATGCTTTACTTGCTCTGCGGTCAATGTTTAACACAAGTCAACTTCTTAATTCCTTCCCTACATCAGATGGTAAACCCAACCCTAGTTAGTGCCTCCCTCACACCGAACTAGACGTACACTGTATACTGTAGACTGAACTAATAGTTGCACTATCCTGAATCGCCAAGAATCGGTTGGGTTAACATTGATTTGTTCATATATGGAGATTTAGATGGTTTAGGTATGGGACTTCGTAGCTCAGACTTGAACTTGATGTCAATGCACTGTGACTATGTTTTCTGAATAACTCACCCATTTCTTGTACGTCTTCTGTTGGGCTATTCGTCTTCTCTGCTGATTCAAACACAGCCGAAGTCTTTTCTGATCTCTACATAAGAAAAATTGATTGAAATATACATTTCTTTATGAATTATTGTACATTTTAGAAAATTTTAAGAGGTTGTATAGACATTTTTACAAACAGGATCCATGATACCAATGTTTGCAGACAAAACGGACAAATGAAGTAAATTTACACATGTCTACATGGTAACTTTTATCCAAAAGCACAAGCTCCCTAACACAAGTGGCACATACATACATTGAGTGGTGAGAGCACCACAGGCTCTATGTTGTACCTTGAATGGATAGCAGCTTAAACATCGTTCAGTTCAAGGAATAATATATATTTTTGTTCTTGATCAGATTCTGTGGGGTGTCACCACGCTTGAAGGTAAGGGGGACATATTATCATCATCTCAAGAACACAGACACATGATTGCTGTTTATGGAACCATGGCACATGCAGGGCAAGGTTTTTGTAGTTAATCCTATAATTTTCTACAGTCTACACATCCTCACCTCGATGATGATCTCTCCCTTAGTAGTCGATGGTCTCTTCCTTAGGAGCCAAATCTTCTCTACGTCTTCCTTCAAACCCTCTAAAGCATCATAGGTCTATGGAGCTGTTAAAAAGGAAAATTATTTAAAATTCCATATAATAATATCAAACTAGATGGACCTTCCACTGCACGTATTAGAAAATGATGCCTCCGCCATACAGCCATTTTACAAACCAAGACAGAGGCAATTTATAAGATTCAAGTTTGATTGCAATGCATGAACAGGAGGTTCTCAGAATATCGTGATTACATGCTATTTTTCATATACACGTGTGATCTTGGACCACCCTGATAAGGTGCTCTGGCATTCATGGAATTTCTTCTTAGGGGAGCCTTCCAAAGTTGCGACTGTGCCCGGACGCGTCGGGGCGCGATGAATAGAACAGTGGCGTCCCAAGAGACGCATTGAGGCGCAAAGGGGCGCGAAGGGGCGCAATAGTCACCCTCACCTGATTCTTGCATATGAAAAGAAACCGTCTATTGTTAGTATAAACCCGCTCTATTCTTCTTGCGCCCTTTTGCGCCCCACCAGGCGATGGAAGATTATCTCTCCCGTCATTGTTCTCGCTCGTGATGCGCGGTACAGCTTAAACTTGATATACAGAAAGTATTTGTCGGCCAAAGCCTGTCTTCCCCTCCTCCGGTTTTCGTTCTGATAAACTTTCCATTGTTTGTAAAAAAAAAAATGATGTATTCTTCTCGCGTCGCGATCTATTCTTCTCGCGCCGTTTTGCATCGTAACGGGCGGGGTATTACCTTTCCAATCATTGTGCATAAACTTCTCTGGTGGGATCGTCTTTGTTTTGGGGGGCAATCAACACACTCGTTCATCTTGATCAGAATACATTATGATTTATTTTTGTTGGGTTTAATACGCCTCCTTTTAATTTTTGTGACGACTGTATGAAATGTGAAATAAAGATGACTATGTACGATTAATGGTTGTTTAATTGCGAGCTTAATTGTCCCCAACAACAACAAATAAAAGACGAATGATGTGAATGACTACATGTATGCGGTTATAGTCGGCAAATTGATTACTGTTTGGGTCGCTTGTGTATGTTTGTAATTTGAATGATTATCAACATATTTGTATAATTCCCACATCGCGATATGATTCTAGCGTCGTAAAATGGACAAAGGAATTATCTTTCTCTCTCGTCATTCATATTCACGCTACGCGTTGCACATCGCCACAGCCTGAGCTTGGAAGAATTTATATTTTGTCAGTCTAATCCTTTTTTTTTCTCCTCCCATGACTTGGTTCTAATAAATTGAAGGTTTGCTTATTAGGGATAAGAAGGATAACATCAAACAAACGATTTACTCTAGATGACGCTCTTTTCATTTCACCTCGCTGTTTGATAAAGTAGAGTTTTACGGAGCGAATACAAAAGAAAAGTTCGCTCTAAGGCCAAATAAAAGTTTTTTTTTTATTAGTGTCCTGTTTTTTCGAAAACTAGGAAGGAGGAGGCCCTCTCTTTTCTTTTCTTTTTCTTTCAAAATGGCCGCTCAAAATGGCCGCTCGGTACATTTTCCCTGACAGTCGGGCTATTTTTCAAAATGGCCGCCGACATCTTTTAACTTTTTAAAAAAATCAGTAATAGATCCATTTTAGTATTGTTTTTCATATTATTTCCCCCAAAATAAAAAATAGGAGGCGGCCCCCAAAAAGGAAGCAGGCGGGGACGCTAAACATGTATATTTTGTTAAGTGGCCTCAGGGAAAAAAAACACATAAAATGCCGTGGCAGGATTTCACGCCCGAGATATGCCTTCGAAAATTGCCCGTCCAAAAGGCGTTTTAAATCATAATAATTCCATAGCTCTTTTTAAAAGTGGAATAAATAGAAAAAAGAGTCCGGGAACTATATCGAGATTATAAAACATGTGTGTCATGAAGATGTAAACAAAAAAGTGTAGCCTGATGGTGATAAAGTTGAGCAGCAATTGGAAATGCAATACAAAACATTAATCAGTTCATGATGATAATTAATCATTCGACACAACATTCGAATCATTTATTCGTAGATTTTAATAATTAAGTGGCGAAAGTGAAATTTTGAAATCTTAATGCACAGATACAAAAAACATACCAAACATGTTTTGATTCTTATTCTAAAAAAAAAACCGGCAAATTTTAAACGATCTTTTTAAAAGGAGGGAGGCGCTATAGCCCAGTGGTAGAGCAGAGCAGCTCGTAACCGGGAGCTCCCTGGTTAGAAACCAAGTCGATATGCTATTGTAAGGCATAACTCAACATTACATTTCGTTCGGAGAGGATCTTAAACCCGCCGGTCCCCTGTTTGCCTAATTCATAGCATACACATGCTTCATATAGCAGTCAGGAAAAAAAAAAGCGAACGGTACAGGAAGCTACCTTTTATGGATAGGCCTAAATTGAAGGTTTGGCTTAACTAGGGAGAAGAAGGATAACATCAAACAATAGATCTACTCATGATGACGCTCTTTTCATTTCACCTCGCTGTAAGATAAAGTAGAGTTCTATGGAGCGAATACAAAAGAAAAGTTCGCTCTAAAGGTAAAAACATAGAATGCCGTGGCAGGATTTCACGCGATTATTGTTTGATCGCTATAATTGTCCGACTTGCTATAGATTCTTGTTTAGCTACACATATGTGTGTGTGTGTGTGAGAGAGGGGGGCGGCGAAGTGAACGGCCGGACCAAAATGGCAGAGGTCAATCAGGAGGGCTCCGCTCGCTAGTTATAAGGACCGCTAATTCATTGGACAACTATTCATGAAGACCGCTATTCGTAATTTGAGAACATGGTCATTATGTATAAGGGTCATGAATTCGTAATACGACATCCCCCCTCCCCAAAACTAAATAAATAAATAGAAAACATGAATAGATTAATAAACTTAACTAATGATACAATAACAAATAATGCCCGGTAATTGGGAATAGCCGCCTATGAGCGGAACAATGGGCGCAACAACTATTAGCTGCTCAAAGAGCTGTCTTTTGTCATTGCGTTGCAAAAACAAAGTGCTTTTAAAAGTTACATGTACTATAATATCCGTATGCTATATAACACCCAATGTGAACATGACGTGTTCAGGCCTTATAACTATATACAGTGCACGTTAAAACAAAAGACTTTACTAGCGCTAGCTAACAAATATGAAACGTCAAAACGTCACGAACATTGAAGATAACAAATTGTTAAGACAAATGACACCACCAATAAAGTTTCTTCGCGAAGAAATATTCGATCAAATTTCGTGTTTGGAACAGATAGGCGATTTCGAATTGTTCAATCTACCGAAACGTTTTGATGATGCAGGCTCCCGACAATAGGACTATCATTTGTGTAATATCTTTAATTTGCAGATGTTTGTTTGTTTTGTATGACATATTTATAAACGCCCTATAATCTTATTTCAAGCAGAATCTTTCAATCTCTTTGATTATAAGTATCATTTTTAAATCACGGGTATTTAAATACAATAGCTGATTTTGCGAAGATTTAGAGAACCTACGTTTCTATTCTTTAAATCGATCTTGCATGAGAAAGAACAGAGTGATGATATAGATATATGACCTATTTTGATCGGATGACAGAACAAAATAAATGTAATATGAAACAAATAATGTGTCAAAACATACAGAAGGAATACAATTATACATATCGTTTTTGTTTTGTTCGTGAAGAAATTAATATAATACAAGTAGTGAACACATTAATGAACAGAAATGAACAATCATAACAACGTCAACGCCTACACAACTTCGATATTTGGGAGGAAAATAACAATCAGAACAACAATCTAAATCAATGTCTTGTACGTAAAATAATAATAAAACATATCAGTAGCCAAAGTGAAAATTTTAGAGTCAAATCTTTCAAGACGAGAGCGGACACACACGCGGGGATTACATGAATAACTAATGCGTAGGAACGGGCGCGAAAGCTTTTCAAATTCACAATTCACAAAAAGCGCTTCGCCTTTAAGCGCACCCCTCCCCCCCCCCACCCCCGAATGAGTGTTATGTAGGGTACGCATATGCATTTTCCCTCCTTTTGAAAACAGTCCCCTAAGTCCGGTGTGTAAAGTCAATACGGGCCGGATTTGTGTGTACTAGACGAGCCGGACTTTGGTGCGTGAAAAGTACCCCTTTACCAGACAGTAACAATGAGTCTCCAAACAATAGCCAGATTTGATATTCATATTGTGAGCATGTGCTTAGTTATATCGGGATTCCCTGGTTATATTGAAGACGTGGGCTAATATCTGTTTGCCCAGTATTTCTCGCTGATTGTTTGACCAACATTAAATTGCTATTGTCCAGCTGACTTTTCTAAAGGCTTTTCTACCCTCGGCGCTAAAGGGATTGCGGAAAATTTCAACACTATTTGTGTTTCTTGATGACCCAGTAGAAGAAGAATAAGGGCTACCCTGCCCCCCCCCCCCGAAAAAAAATGTCCCAAAACAACGCAATCATTATTAAAGCTAACATCCAGTAGTGGTAGTAAAAACGTATTGACAACAAAACTGATTATTTATGGTCCTAAAATGTTTGATGGACACTAAAATATATAATTTAATCAATAGTTTTCTATTATCTTGACGCATTTTGAAGAATTCTGGTGTTAAAACAACCCTCGTCTGATACCCTTTTCGCGAGGAAACCGTTGAATGACTTGTTTGAATGAGATAATGGTCTAACGCCCTCTCTCGGTTAAACGAAACTCACGGCGGTTTCATCACCACCAGTGTATCTGAAACTCGCACAGAATCTCGCCCAGTGTGAGGAGTGTCGTCTGCTAGCGAACTATCTCGCTGTGCTGCCGTCTTTGCATTTGGTAGCAAGCTGCACGCATGCACGGTGACTTGCTGCTCGATCAGTTGCCTGGCGTTACGGCTTAGCTGCACTGCGCTGCACTGGCTGGTCGCGGAGCCGTGTCCGTCAGGTTGTCTGGCTATGGAAAATGACAACTTCCCCTCACATCACCGGAGAATCTATCTCGACGAGCTGCTGTATTTGCATGCACGGTGACTTGCTGCTCGCTCGGTTGCCTGGCTAGCTATGCAAAGCCGGATTACAACATCTCCCCGGACAGTTTATTAGGTGGTCAAAAATGCTCAACAAAAGAAAATACTCTAGTCTACCAAACGATGTGTATAGATGTACTGATGTTTTGTTTGTGTCTTGTAATAATCGGCCTACCTTTCCCTTTGCTGGCAGGCCCTCGAGTACATGCAGTAATAGCCTCTGCTCGTCACGGTGCCGCGGGGCTGTTGTATATTTCGCGCGCTTTTTCCCCTCTTCCGGCCCCCTCCCTCCCGTTCAATGGCAAATATATAATTTGATGATGATGGTATCCGTGATTTTGTATCTGAATAAATATTTATTTCAACAACAAACAAAATATATATATAGCGGCTGGCGTCCAGACCTTGTAGGGGGTTCGCGCTTTGTGTCTCATTACGGCAAGAGGGATCTGGCGTGGGGCACGAGGGTGGCCATTCAAAGTGCCCCGGTTATCATAATGTTTCACATCTTGTTTTACTTCTTGTCAAAAACTGATAACTGAAATTTAACCAAACTTTACAGGAATCATCCTTGGGGAAAAGGCATCTATGGTTATTTAAATGAGAAACCATCCAGGCATAGTGACATAGGGTCAGCGCCCCCCCCCCCAAGTTTACGAGGGGCCATGATGAGACATTTATATTCTTTTATCGAATTATAAAGAGCAATTTGTATTAATGAGAGGTTCAAAGTGTGTGATGTATAGGGAAGGGGTGTGTGACAAACGAACAATAATTACCCTAGGGGCGGATCCAGGAATTTCGTCCCGGGGGGCACACGGGGGGTAAGAGGATATATATATTTATATATTCGCAACGACTCAGCCAGCCGCTAAATAATAAGAGCACTTTTTTTTTTGGTCCCGAATATTTAAAAATCGCGCCGGCCGCAAATTCGCTCAGGGGGTGGGGGGGGGGGGGGGATAGGGGGAGGGCACACTTATTTTTTCATTTTTTGGTTTTGGTCGGTGGGGGGCACGTCCCTGTTTGTCATTCCGTTTTGGCGAATTTGGGGCTGATTTTAACATTTTTTTTTTGGTCGGGGGGGGGGGGGCACGTGTCCCCTGTGCCCCCCTGGATCCGTCCCTGCCATGGGGTTACTAGTTTCCCCTCTCCAAGGATTAATGCCCTTGTATCGAGGAAGGCCTCTTATTTCATGCATTCAGATGAGCGTGAGGTCCGTGGATATAAATAATTAGTTTACTGTACACATGCAGGAAACTACTGCCACCGACAATAAACCTGTCGGTAGGTTGAAACCGTAGATTATTTGTTTGTTTTGATCTTTATTTTCATAATCAGGAATAGTTTAATCAATGGGAATATTTATATAAAAATCATTTCGAGAAGAACCAAATACACACTCAAAACCAAGAGAGGTAATTTTTTTTTGAAGATTTTTTAAAACTTTCTACTCTGATAATTTCAAAAATATATGACCTTTTTTTAAAATCAATTAAATACTCTTGACGGCCAATTTGAAAATCCGAGAATTGATTTATTCAGAATTGTTTGGAAGTTGCATCGACTTATAAACAATATAAGACTTCAGCGTTTTAACTATTTTATCAAACTATACTCGTTATAATTTGATTGCTGCAGCGCTAAAAACTTTAAAGGTTTTCACCTGACTGTATACCTTTGACTGAGCAAAGCACTTGTTTCCGTGAGAAGAAATTAATTATTTCGATACGATATTTTCCTTTAGAAAATGATTTGAGATTTCAGGCTGAACCGCATTTTGCATTCTTGAAACGGGATTACCTAGGCTCCCCACCCCCCCCCCCCAAAAAAAGTGTACATTTAAAAAATACATGTATGTCTAAAAAAAAATTAAATTGAATATTATAACAAAAATAATAAAAATTAACGACTGTTTGGCAGTATTCATATCAGTATTCATATCAATAACAAAAACTAGCCTATGTTGATTTGATTTGTATTTATACAATGTAAAACAATCTATTACATATACAAAATAATGACCTAAATAAAACGTTGGTAAATGTTACGGATGGATACGCCTGTTCAGTTGTGCCATCATTACAACGCAACTTTCTATCGAGGGGTGCAACTGATTATGATATAACATAATAATGATAATTATGCCAAATAAAGGTCAAACGTGAACGAACAAACATACTGAATTTTAAGAATTTAATTAACAGTTAGCTTCAAATTATAAAACATTGAATTTTCTAATCCGGCCATTAACGGTCGACCCTCCCCCTCCCCCCCCCCCCAAAAAAAAGTCTTATATACAAAGCTGGTCACGCTCCTACATAATACAGACACAATAGTGTCGTGATCAATCAGTTCATAATAATGAACATAAATTTGAAGTAAGGGATAGATTGCGGGCCCTACAACATTTTGATAATTATGAAGCCGCAACTTAGCCGGACATAATCTTGGTACACTCGATGTTACGAGCTCTTTCGATAGGAAAATATTTATAAACAGGAAAGTGGCCCTCGACTATTTATCTTCAATTTGTATGTTTTTTCTTCAATTGATTGGAACGACACTTGTGCATGAGCCAAGATAAAGAATGCAATTGAGTACAGGCTTGAAGTGGACGAGGAAAGAGGCAATCTGGAGTCAGTTGTACATCATGCAGGCGCGGATCCACGTAGCGATTTTTCCGGCCCCCCACCCCTCTAGCCCCCCAAAACGATTTTAAAAACATAGGAAAAGCGGACTCCCCACAAAAAAAGAAATATATAGGCCTATATATATTTTCACCCACTCAAAAAAAAATAGTGGTTCTCCTCTCCATCCCCCCCCCCCCCCCCCCCCCGCTTATGGGAAACCTGCCCCCCCCCCCAAAAAAAAAAATATATATATATATATATATATATATATATATATATAAAATAAAAAAATCACATGTAAACAAATACATACAGATTTTTTTTTTTAAAGAGAACAAAAGAAAGGGGAAATGGAAAATAGAAAGAGAGAGAGAGAGAGAGAGAGAAAGAGAAAATAAAAGGGATCCTGGAGAAAAGGAAAGTGAAGATAATAACTGTGACCCCTACATTTATTATCACCCTCTCTTCCTCAAACGTTCAGAATCGTCCTATTTCATCCAATAATGAGATCAAAACACCAGTAAAGACGATAATACACGGTACGTTACACCACGAACTATTATAATTATTCCAAATTTACGCCCTTCCCCTCCCTCTTTCATTGTAAGACGTGTTACAGCTTCATAGCGACAGCTTCAGTCCCGAAAGCCAGTTTAGGGCATCGTGCATCTGTCATTAGATGGATTGCAAAAATTGAAAAATTCTATACCTTCGTCTCAATGAACCCGTGATTCGGCACAGGTGAAAGGATTATTTTTGAATTTCTTCAAATGTGTTTATGTCCAGTCCTATACAAATCAAGGTTGCTAATCTATGATTTCCCTTGTGCGCAACTAGCCACCTATGTTTGCTGTATACAAAAACACTGCTCATTTTTATCCAGTGTTTCCATAAACCTATACCCGAAATATATAATTTCCCAAGTACTCTCCTTTAACGAAACTACACATTTGAAATCCTGTAGAATTTAGATAATTTTCTCTTTACTTGTCATATATACCACGGTTAATGTAATTTTGTTATATTGTTGTCGAGGAATATATTTACTGGCTAAAGTTCGTTGTTATAGGCGTACTATAGCAGCTGGTCAGGGAGTGTCAAGAATTCAGCAATGGACAACATTACCAATCAGAAATAGATTTGCAAAATGTTTTTAAAATGGCGAACAAAAGCCCATATACGGTTTATGAAGAAAATATTTTTTAAATTATGGCTAAATGATGTACCTTATAATCAATGGCGTCGATTGCAGGGGATGAGGGATATACCTCTGCACCCCTCTGCGCCATTCCAGGAGGAATATGTATCAGATAAATTAAATTAGCTTGGGTCCGCTCAAATCATAAATCCTCAATAACAACTATTCTTACCCACTGTGTATTTATATATTGAATGGACCCAAGCTAAATAAATTTATCTCGTTTATTATATTCCTCCTGGAATTGCGCAGAGGGGATGGGTTTTATCTCTCACCCCCCTGAGTGATTCCAACTATATAACTTTATATATATATATATATATATATATAAAGTGGATTTCAACTATATAATATTTTACATGCCAGGTGAACTCCTGTCATGAAGGGTTCCGGCAGCGAGACCCCCATCCCCAGCCATCACACCCTCCGTCCATACACGCTATTGTATGAATAGATTAAAGATTGTGTATACCGCAGTTGTTCCTTACAATTTTGTTCAACCAGTCAGATAACACATTTATGAATAATAAAAAATACACATCAAAAAAAGGAATTCAAATCAATTTAGTGGCCAGTTATGTATTTTCCTCAACCTTGGAGGGTTGGGAAGTCAGAAAGAAAAATTGAAAAATGGATTCATCTCATTTCTGTTATTTTCTATCATTATTTTTTGTTTGGAATATGATCCTAATTACATTTAAAACCAAAACGGTATAAACCTTTAGTGATTATAATTGATGAAGATACAAATGAATAATTAGGTTGATGAAGACTGAACAGTGTGCACTGAACCAAGGAGTGTGGGAACTCTCCATGGACCTATACTATACTAGTCTATAGTATCCATACTCGTTTCTAAATTGTCTTGCGGAAGTTAGATAATTGATAAGGGATTAGATGGGGATTAGGTCCAGAATAAATGGTAGTGTGTCATAAAATGGTCTCGAAGACAAAGAATGTATTAGATGCTTCTACAGCTATACAAATAAACCAAAAGGGCTAAACAATAGACTTCCAAACTTGATTCTGCTCCATTTACACATCTTTGAGAGAGAGAGAGTACACGGTCTTATTTTGTGACACCTTCCCCATTATATTACGAAAGAAAGCGTGGTTTATTTTTGCGAATTAATAATGGATCCTGATTACATGAACATTTCCTCCGACGAAGGAACCGACGTAGATGCTGCGTACGAGTATTACAGGCGAGAGGTGAGTTGACGATGACTTACGTCATTTACTTTTCTGTTATTTGATAACTTTGTCCTGTAAACGTCCACATAATTACCTTGCGTGTACTATCATGTCGCCCTATCCGCGCATTTTGCTATACGATTCTAGAATTCCATTTAGCATATAATATCATTAAATGATATGTTGTCCAAAATATAATAAAAAAAATATAAAATAGTTTGCAACTTTATATATAATATTATAACATTATCTATTTTAGAGGTGTTTGTGTATATTTTGGTCCGATCATCTTCCAATATAATTTGTTCAATGTTTGACGTGTAAAACTTTTTAAAATTCCCCAAACAACAGTTCTTTAAAATGCAAGTAACTATAATGGAAGTTTGTAAATTATGTTAGTGAGTATATATGACTATGATCGAGTGTGGTTGTGGGGGTGGTGGGATGACTAGCTATAGTGCAATGTTATGATCGCTATAGTCGCCTACTATAAGGTGACCTGCAGAGTTCTACCTCACTGTCTCTCATTCAATAAAATAAATCAAGGGGAATTATTAACATCGGCTGAGAGCAAGAAGGGCACTATATATATATATATATATATATATATACACGTAGAATTAATGCCCTTCTTATTTTCAACAGATGATATTCTTATAGTCACTGTCAGCGCATAATTTGCGTTTACGAATCGAAGGTTGTATAATTGATGAATAATCTAACTTGTCTTTAGTTTGGTCAGTCGATCGTCCGCGCAGGTCATGTATTCGGAATAGGCGCATGGTATATTTCGGAGATAAAAGTAATAAAATGCGGCGGAAGGGGACTACGTATATTTTAGGTTTCAAAAGAAGAGGGGGCACACAGATTTATTTTGTTATCCCTAATTATGACGGTCCGCGCCTACTGGATTACATTAGTCATATACCGCGCAGCACATTGTTTTCCATACGTCATGATTCACATGACTTGATCAAACGGCAGCTCTCTCTATTAAATTCATTCCCATCTCTTTCCATTGTATTCTACAAAGTTTCTCTGTTTGATTTCCTCTGTCACTCTCCGTCTATCGTGGGCGTAGATCTGTAATTGATACCTATTGTTCAGGGGGGATGATCTTCATTCATCCCCCCTGAACAATAGGTATTACGTAAGGATTGACGCCCATGGTCTATTGTAGGCCTACTCCCGTGTTCATCTTTTTCAAGGTGGTGTACAGTCCCAATTAATAACAAAATCAACAACAAATTCAAAAATAACCATAATAATGATAATAGTTAGATTTATAAAGCGCTTTGAAAAGCGCTAATTACTTTGCAGCTCTTGCCATGGCCTGACCATATCCCTCTCTTCACACTTCCACGGCAACTGCACACAAAAATAGTTTAAAATCACAAACCCTGTTTTGTAAATAACGCGCATAATAGCGTACAGCAGACTGTATCAGGATTCGGGTTACTATGTGACTGTATAAACTGCTTATCCTATGCCTATACTGTAGCTGCTTTTAATTGACACAACTAGAGATTAACAAAGTTAGGGTATATAGGCTTAATTAAATGATTTATATGGAAATTTATGTTAGTTTGAAAATAGAGTCTGTGCTTGCAGACTATATAGCATTAAGGCAAGAGCTATAACTCCATCAGTGTCCATGGACCTGCTCCAACTCGGTTCTCTGTGTGTATTGATGCATAGACCTGATGGGTATACCCATGGAGTTACCGCACCACGTGAAGTTCGCGCTCAAAAAGGGGAGCTGTATAATCATATGAATGGCTTGTTCTATTATTAGCGCAGCCGAACTATCGATCCACTGGCACTGATTTTCGGCGAATTGCCTTTATAGGTCAACAACTAGTTCGTCTACTACCCAATTACTCTATCTATATTATCGTCTACCATCCACATGGATTTCTTTTAATTATTATTTGGTATAATGACCGTTTTGGCAATTATTCATTTGGTCAAATTTTCATTTGGTCTAAAGTCCAATAAGTCTTCCATATATTAGTACTTTGTAGGATTCCTCCAAAAGACGCCGTAAAGGTGTATTTTGTTCATTTAGTGTAATAAGCAGGTGCACTATAGATTACAGCTCTAATATCAAAATCATGTAGGCGTTGAAAAGAGATGATTAATTTTCATGCAAAACGGCTGTGAAATCAAACGCATAATATCAACTCGAACATTTCTAAAAAGCAATTTATTTTACGTACGCCTATACGGGATATACGATATAGCGTCAAACCGGCCTGCATTGAACTTCAGTGGGAGGGTAAAAAATTTGAAGCTGAATTATAATAGTTTCTTTCATGCAATCTCAAGGCAAGCCAATTACCTGAAATTATAGCCACATCAATCTGTGTTTTTTGTTGTTGTCTGCTGAACATACGATAAAAATAAACACTGAATAACAAAATGGGGCTTATATTTAAATACATACACTGTACATTTATGTAGGGGGGGGGGGGCAATTCCTCCCAAATCAATGGGGATCGATGCGATGGTGTATGTGTGTGTCTACCAGGCGCTGATCCAGGGGAGGCCGAGCGGCCCTTGCCACCCCCCCCCCCCCCCCCCCTCCACAAAAAAGGAGAAAAAAAGAGAGAGAGAGAGATCGAAAGAAAAGAAAGTAAAGAGGAGAGAAAGGGAAAGAAAGAAGAGGAAGAAAAACAAAAGTGGGAGAAAAAGGAGAACGGGGGGGGGGGGGGGGGGCGACAGGGCATTATTTGCCTCCCATGATGTTACCTCCGCCCTCCTTCCCCCCCCCCAAAAAAAAAAATATATATAAATATACAAATAAAAAATAAGAGAGAATTAGGAAGTAAAGGGGAAGAAAGAAGGAAAAGAGTAAATAAAGGGAATGAAAAAAAAGAGGAAGAAGACAAGAAGGGTAGATCACTTGCGATTAATCCCGCCAACAACGTGTGTACCGGGGGCTAAAAGGCCTTTGTTCCCCCCCCCCCCTCAAGCATACATAAAAGAGAGAAGGAAAAGAAGGAGAAAGAAGAAAGGTAGGGGAGATCAGTTGCGGTTTTTCCAGACAACGACATATAGATCGGGGGCAGCTGATTTTTTTTTGGGGGGGGGGGGGGGCAGCTGCCCCAATACAATTGGGTGCAATATTTTTTTGATCCACGATTTTTCATCACTTTTTAGTAAATTATACTTTGTTATGCGTTTGTTGGAAAATGTAAAATACCTAAATTTACAGTCAAGCAAGAAAATGCTTATTTAGAGGCCTAAATGTCAGAGCCCGCGGACGGACGGCGGGGCTCAGGTGCTTGGAGTTACCCCCCCCCCCCCCCACCTCCTTTTTGAAAAAGTATATTTAAGAGAAATAGAAAGAAAGAGAGAAAGGAAGAAAAAATAGTGACCTGCCAGTATAAAAAAATAATGAGTTATCAAAATATGCTCATCTGACCGTAATCATACGCTGACAACCCCTGAGCTTATGGGGCTCTGCCCCTTGGACCTAACTAAAGGCCCTAAGGCGGGCCCCGGATGCTCATCTGACCGTAATGTATTGCCTAAAATCCCTGAGTTTCAGGGGGCTTAGCCCCCGGACCAAGCCGGGGCTTTGCCCCTAGACCTCACAACAATTTACACTACGCTCTACCTGATCGTAAATACTTTAGCCTCCTCACTCACTTTCAGCGGGGTCTGCATGTAAGAGTGGGCTTATGCTGAGATTTTTGTCTGCCCCCTCAAACTTTTTTGGTAATTTTTTGGCCAATGCTCGTCACCATTACGTACCGATATTGGACTCGCATAATTTTAAATATGTGCCCCCCAAAAAAAATATTAAAAAATCAATCAATCAATCAATCAATCAATCAATTAAAAAAAAAATCCTGGATCGGCGCGTGCATGGTGTCCATAGTGTTTACATCATATTTTTTTTCAAAGTAATTTCTTATTTGGGACATTTAATTTACACATTCATTTTTATTTTTCATTAACAAACTAATAGTCTATATCATTATAATGCACCCAATTAGATAGAAAGTAATTAATACTTGTTCTGTTTTCTTTTGAAATGCAGAGTTTATCTCTATCTAGCGTGTCTGAGCCTGATATGCCAAAGAGGGCCAGACCAGTTGAACCTGAACCAGAACTGCCCAACGATTCCACGGTTCATCAAGGAGATCGAGGACGAGGACGAGGCAAGGGAAGAGGTAGAGGCAAGGGAAGGGGTAGAGGCAAGGGCAAAGGGAAGGCCAGTTCGAGTAGCCAGCGGGGGCTAACAGAGGATATCACAGACCTGACTGCCCCCCGTCGTACTCGTGGACGCAAACGAAGAGGACGCGAGAGCGAGCCGACAGTATCAAGAAGTACCGACGAGGATGAAGCAGGCCCCTCGAGATCTAGGCGTGGCACGGGATCGGGACAACGTAAGACCAAAACCACAGCAGCCACTTCCAGAAAAGGAAAAAATCTCAGAACCATAGAGATGGAAGCAGAGAGAGTGCGGGAGCTTCGCGAAACGAGGAAAAGGAAATTGAAGGTATAAATACTGGCTTTCGGATAAGTTCTTTCTTAATCTTTTATATAACACAGTTACTTTGATACAGTTAAAGTTAGAAAAAAAACATACAATCAAGACAAGTACTCTACTTTGATTTATATATTATTTACAGTGTTTATAAATCGTACAAAATTTGAATGTGCAGACGTAGATCTCTAATCATTTTTGTTCCGGTTGGTCAACTGTAACTTTCCATTCTCCCACACCAACTCCCTTTGGTCATCTGGACAGTCTAATGTGCTGATATAGTGCTTACAAACAAGTTTAAAAGAAATTCAACTAATGTTTGCCTCCCTTTTTATTATGATTGAAGAACACATGTAAGGTACATTAGAGTCTGGTTTATTTAAGTTCATCTTACCCAATATATCACATACTAGTCTCTGCATGTGACCGCTTTTGTTTTGATTTATAAATCCATCCCAAAAAAAAGAAATACTCTTTTAAAGTAGTTGGAAATGTAGACTGTCGTTTCTTTCCTTAGCCTAACATAAATTATATATCCCATAGTGGATGCTGTAAAATAACTTCGCCATGAAAGAGTGAAATTATAATTCAGATCGGTTAATGATATTTTCTGACAAATTTTCTATTATGTACATTTAACAAATATAAAAAAATAACCACCATGTACGCTTTTTTTAAAATTGTAGGACGACATTTCTAGAATGTCAAGGGACAACATCGAAGAGATTCTCTTCAGGACAGTCGAACGTCGGCCTGGATTGGTGCATGATATTATGCATGCGCATCCACCTGATGGCACTCCTCCACGTGGTGAAGTGGATTGGTGCAGATGTGGCAACTGTCAGGATATGCCGACAGACGCGGAGAAGCTGTGCTGCGGCAATGCCCCTGAAGACTGCCTTAGAGAGCATGGGGTATGTAAATACAAGCATTGCCATGAAAGTGCAGACTAACGTAGATCGAATTTATAATTGATTACTTTGAATATAAATATTTATTTTGAATTGGGATAAAGTGGTAGGGTCTGTAAAAAGTATTTACATGTATACAACACTAAGAGTATACGTGTAACACTCTAGAAAAATTAAAACTAAAACAATCCTGTACAAGGAAAAATCGTATAATTGCATTTAGAGGTACGTTTACGCAGGGGCGGATCCAGCCGGCGGCAGGGGAGGGGGCCCATCTAACAGAAAAAGGTCAAATTAACGTGTTTTTACACATTCTTTCAGGCCCCCACCCCTGGATCCGCCACTGCGCTTACATACACCAGCTATGGATTCATTTCTCATAATAATTTTCATTTCAGTTCTCAAATTCGAGAAGAAAGCATTAATTGTAACTAAATATAAACTTGCAAATTTGTTGCATCTAGATTACTTTTGCAATGTTACGTACCTGTCTCTTTCGCAAATTTTTCAAATTCCAAACATACAGGATCGTTCTCAATTTTCATTCTACATAAATGTAAAAAAAAAATAACGACATTGAAATAATGTGTATATTCAATTTAGTCACAATCTGTGATTGAAAAAAGGAAGTTAATCGAAATGTAAATGGTGATAGATCCATCATGTCACTTGCCATGTCAGGGAGTTTGCTATGTTAAATGTTTTCATGGTGAAACACAACCAAATGCTAAAGACATTAGTATGTCTCTATAATTGAAATTGTAGTCTACTATTTTTTAAATCATTTTTCTGTCTCTTTCAGGTTTTCAAAATGATAACGGACGAAGTGTGCCTCCTTCTACAAAGGGCAATGTGGGTCGACGCCTACAACCTCGAGGGGGAGCCACAGGAGCCCGGTGAGGAGAACAAATGTATGCGCCATGCTGGATACAGAAGTTATATTTTTTGGCAGCATGGCAAATTAGGGCAGGGGAACCGCCGAGTTATTCCAAGCTGCTGTGTAACAGGGATTCGCAGACTGTATCCGAGCATTAACGGGCAGTACACAGGCTATCTGCCAGGCAGATTTGTGTAGCCCAAGGATGTTATGACAACTGTAAATGTTTTATTACATTCCATTATGCCTTTTGAAAAGCTGGTCATTTCAGCAACATTTCATGATTGATGTTATCACAATTAGAGTTTGACAGTGTACCTACTTTGTTCTTTACATTCCACAAGTGTGAAGCTTGTAAAAATTACATTTCTTACATGCATAACTCAGGGCAACAAAATTAAACACCTCCCCCAAAAAACCTAATTGAATGATACAATTTGTGGAAAAAAAATGGACCTAACGGACGCTGATGTACACAAATATGAAAACTGTTAGGCAGCAACTTGGTATATGTTATTAAGCAAAATACAAAAAAGTTAAATATTTTGTTTTTCAGAACTAGAGCCTTCCAAACCTATAAAAATAAATCAGATATTTATCCTGTAAATGTGCAGAACTTGTATTGCCCTTTAAGATTTTGAATGTAACACTCATTCGGTCGATGTGACATCACATGTAAAGTATCCATACAATAAATTAAACACATGAAAAGCACTTTATTTCAATTTTGTTGTAGACAAATATTCATGCCATTTTAATAACAGGTATTCCTGAGTAAACATGTGCAGACGAAACAGGTCTTACAGTCAACTTTATGAAACATATTTCGGTACAATATACAATTTTTAACCCAAGTACTATGCATCTAATAGTTATCAACTTACAAAACTTGTATCATTGCATGAAAAATATGTTGCCTTCTGAGCCTGAAATATGAACAAAGATGTATATACAACTACTGTAATAAACGTTTACACACTTTATAGTCTTCAAAGTTGAGAGTGAAGAATGTTATCCTTCCTACTGTAACGTTGATTTAAAGATTGAAGTCATTTTATCAACACAATTGAAGTGCATGTAACTTCATGTTCAACTTGCACACCTGTAATTAGTTCCCGAGTAAACATGTGCATACATAACAGGTCTTACAGTCAACTTTATGAAACAAATTTCAATACAATATACAATTTTTTACCACTTGTTAAAACTAGTTCGATTAGAAGAAGAGATCTTGCCTATAGTTCCTGATTTATATGAAATCATGTGAATATAAATGTATTTCATAGCGAGCTTTTTATTTTTTGTTTAATGTACATGTATACAGAGTAATTTAGTACTATGCATGTAATAGTTATCTACTTACAAAACTTGTATCATTGCATGAAAAATGTGTTGCCTTCTGGGCCTAAAATATGAACAAAGATGTATATACAACTACTGTAATAAATGTTTACACACTTTATAGTCTTCAAAGTTGAGAGTGAAGAATGTTATCCTTCCTACTGTACCGTTGATTTAAAGATGAAGTTGAGTTCTGGTCATGCGATTGCATTGTGAAAGAAACGGTGTGGAATCGACCAGAAAAGGTTGATCATCTAGCATATAAGAATTTGAGTGTATTGCAAGGTTCTGGAATCATCAAAATGATAAGAAATGTGGCCAAGTCTTGGTAAAGTTACAAACACTGTACACAGAAAGATGTATATGGGACTACACGAACACGTGGCGTAAAAATCCTACCCCAGAGTTTTACGATGTTACATGACATATTTAGAATATGAAGGCATTCGAAGAGCCAGGCTTTTCTGATGTTCTTCCACACTTGCATAATAAGAATGATAACGTTCACAAATTATTTTTCACCTCTTCCCAGAACTCAACCTTCTCTTCAAACGTTCAAGTCATTTTATCAACACAATCAAAGTGCATGTAATTTCATGTTCAAGTTGCACACCTGTAATTGTACATGCAAGGGAATTTCCATATAGTGCTAAGTGCAACAGTATATCTGACTCAACAGAAAAATATGCCTATTACTATTGACATCCAACTTCATATCACGAAAATCATGCATCATAAAAACCATTATAGCTTTGATTGGAATATGACATAGCTATGATTATTAACAAAATATAATCACTGCACAAGTGTGGCCATGTAGTTGCCATCAGTTGCCATCTAGTCGGGTATGTCTCCTGCCCAATATTTCTTCAATGGAGGGTGGCGGAAAGGGAGCAAGACGTGGTCGGATTGCCCGAGGATCTCCTGGCATCAGTCCTGTTTTGGCGAAGAGGGGCATCTCATCTCTCTCTCTCCTTGCAAGGATGTCCCTCATGAGAACTGGGATGTACGAGTATGTCTTAGGAACCATCACAGGCCGTGCCACATAGTTCTTGGCATGCTTCGACCATACCGCTACATGCCTGTGGGGAAATGAAATAAAGAATGTAATGAGTAACAATACCACCAAAAAAATGGAAAGTCGAAGGCAATGCATATCATCACTTTCACAACCTTTTGGTATGTTGACTGAAAAAAAAAATTGCATTTAGCCTCCCTGAGAATTTCAAATTCTGGTGATTACTTTTTCTATAATCAGATTTGTGTTATACTGAACAGGAATTTAGTTAAGTAGTGCCATAGAAATACAATTCCTTATACCTTCCTGCCAAAACAAAAACACCTGTTAATATATATTTCTTGAATTTTAACTTTACGACTCTTTTGTTTTCATGTTCCTACTTAAAGTTTCTCATTTTACAACACAAAAAGACAAAAATTATTAGAGTTTAAACTAACAACACCAACAAAAATGCACAACATACTTCTGCTTCCCCTGATCATCAGTCGTCACAGGCCTGTCTTTGTGAGCCATGTAGTCGATTACTGCCAAGAGGTTCCTAGCTCTGTAGGCTGGGTACCTGCATTAACAAAAATGACAATAATAATAATAACAATAATAATAATAGCCTAATAGTCCACTCCAAATGTTATTAAACCGAAATGGAAATTCTTTTTGCCCAATTGATCGTGAGCCCGGCAGCCACTGAGCAGCGCCAGATCGACGTTGCTCTATCCCTTATTGTTGAACGCCAAACAAGGTAGCAACAACTCCCATCTTTTAACGTCTTTTGGTATGACGCAGCCGGGGTTCGAGTGGAGATTAACATTTATACCCAAGATTATAAAGGTAAGCTAAAATTCAGCTCTGATAATGGAATCGCATTTCAACAAAAAGTAGGTGAAGGTAATTCTGAATCGTAATTCGTTATGGCATTAGATTCCTTTTTTGGACCAGCAAAATGTCAATAAAGTAACAAGTAACTAATCATATTCATTAAGAGCCATGTCATCTGTATTACTACTGAGGTAACAGCTATAGTATAAAGGGGATGTACAAGGTAGGTACTTACTCAAATGAATACCGCTTGGAAGCGTACATTAGGATATGGTTGTGGAGGGATTCCAATGTACCGGTGTGTCTGTATTTGGGAGAAAAACAAGAAAACATAATGAAATGTTCTTGTCATGACATTCAAGATTGTATTAATCAGGCAATATGCCATAAATTCATAGGCATTTGACAAATTATCATTGCTTAAAGAGAGAAGTTCATGTTTCTAATGTGGTGATAGTAACAATAAAGTGGGACATATGAACGAGTTGACAGCCAACTTGAGAGTCTAGTGATTTAGACTAAGACTTCTATGAATGAGGGCATATAACTGATGGATATGAAAATACCTGAAATTGGAGAAGTAGCGCATGTTATTGATGAACTTCCTTTCGTAGGCCACCTCCACCAGTGCTTTGTGAGCATTGTCTCCTGGGCTCAGCCACTCCTCCCTGTCTGGATTCTCCAATTCTCCATGGTCGCATGTATTTGACTGTCCCATTCCAGAGATCCAGGTGTGTTTGTTCGTTACATGGTGGGTGAGCCCATGCCATTTTGCCTGATAATTCAATCAGTCATAAAAATAAATGAAATTGTGATAAGGAAAAACTTAAATACCAGCATTTATTGACCTGTCTTTAGAAGTAGTGAAGCAGGAATTGAATGATGGAAATGCAACTTGCATTGTGGAAAAAAATGTAAATGGATAAATTATTTCCACTCCACACTGTCAACAGTTTGATATGCATTACCTTGAAAGTAGCCCTAAAGATGTTTGCCCATATATGCAACCATCTCTTTGTACTTGCACACATTAAGCCTAAAGCCAAATGAACTTTAAGATGAAGCACTTTACCCAATATCATTTTCATGTTGTTTTCCATGAGGGTGACGTTTCATCTTTTCTTGAATCTGCTTTGGGAAATTTGTGTTATAGATCATGCAAAATTTAAATATTTGAAGCCTTGTTGGCAAATCTTGAAAAAGTGAAACCTCTTTCACAAATCGCAAAAAAATATTGATGCATTCCTTGCACTTGGGACAATATTCAAAATGAATTTCAAAGAAAAAATAGGGAAGAAATTTGAAAAACCTATGACCCGGATTTAGCCTTCCTATCTTTATATTTTATGTATTTATCACCCCACCTCCTCATGGTCTATCCTCGTGACAAAAGTACTGTCAACACTATAATTATCTAAACTCACCTTCAAAGCCCTAGTATCCCTGCCACATTCCTTTGCGCAGTACCAAAAATGGAGCACCACATGCCTAATCCAAAACACCAAACGCCTCGTAGCTGCTCTAGCGGACACCTGGAAAAGGTGAAAAATTGAAACAAATAAGAAAATACATGTAAACTCTTATACACAATTCTTAAATCACAGGCATCATAGCCTTCATAAACATTGATCCAAAGAAGTGCAAATTTGGAACCATACAACACAACATATTTAAAAAAATTAAACAGGTACAAAGGGTAATTTAAACATTGTCCAGATCATGTAAATAATTACATAGTCGTCATGACATATATGCAGATGTTCAACTCAGCTCAAGACTTGTGATTCCATCATCCAATTCATATTGTAATGTACAATTTTGTGCAGGGTGTGTTCATTAAAAAAAAAAAATTACAGAATACAAATGTACTGTCCGGCATGAAATAACAGATATCACCTTTCCTCTGAAACAATTTTATTTGAATTTGTCCTTACCTTGGACAGCTTCTTTCCCAGATTCTTGGCACCATGCCACACGTCCCAGGAGTGAGTGATGTCTGGCCGTTTCTCCCCTGAAAAATAAATATGATACCACTATGACTATATATGGTACTTTTTTGGTCACTCAACATTGCCAGGCATTGTGTTCCAATCATTTGATCCATCATACAATCAATGGTACATGGTTGGAAACATCTGAAACATTCATATTTTGATAAGGTCATACTACATTTAACAACCTAAATCATTTTATTTAAATGGCTTTGAGTCACAAAATCATTGAATAAATGTTTAGAACTAATGTAAATACCCCCACATAAGAAGAATTGAATGTGGTCTGTTCAGTTGTTTGAGGAGCCAACACACATGGCTGTAATCTTCATTCGGAGAAGACGCATAACTGCTTCAAAAATGTATTAAATCATCTTGATGAAACTAAATGGTTCAACTACAAAATAAATAATACATACTCATGTGCTTGGCTATCGAGGTGTGAGCATCGGTGACGATCTCTTGGATGTGGACGCCTTTTTCCTCCAATTGATGGAGGCTTTCTTTGAATGCTTTTGCCTCCATCACTGGACTCTTCATGTCCACTTCCCTCTTGTCAACAAAGTGAACGTTGAATACGTCCTTTGTATCATGCTCCATGAGCGTATAGGTGAGGTATTGGGCACAGAACCCAGGGCTATCATTGCGTCCGTCCCCTACAAAAAAAGTTATAGTACATAAGTATTCATTAGAAAGAGTTTCTTCTTTCATGCACATTTATATCCAATTTTATTATGAAATCATACTTTTACACAAAGGTAACATAATGCATCTCTATCTTATAAACATTGCTTTGGATTTGAAAGCCATTAACTTGGAGAGAACGACAAATCTACTACTTGTAATAACTCACCACACAGGACTACGGGTGTTCCAGAGTGCTTGGCTAGGGTCTCCCTCTGCACTCCCTCCCAGTACTTCTCGACACACGTACACAGGTATTTCTTCTGCAGCTGGTAGAAAGTTGTTTTGTTTATGCAGTGGAGCCTCATAAACTGCGACATCATTTTTATTTTTTGGAAGTTGTTTCCACTTAAGAGAATTGCACTGGCCTGTTTGATGTCCCCGATGTGTGACCCATTGATAGTCTCCTGCGAGCACCAGGATGGCGTTGTGTGACCATCTGGACATACCTGCAATAAAGAGGAAAATTAAATTTGCTCATTAATACCATTTCTCCATCATACACAGAGCCATCCTTACTAAAAAAAGGTACTTCAACACTTCAAAACTGTATTTACTGAATTTGTTATGTATATCTTGGTCTGGAGGAGTAAAAGAAATGGGGATACATAGCTCCCTTCAACATTATGCTAGTGGCCATCATTACCATTATTATAATAATGTATAAATGCTCCTAAACATGGGCAACATTAATAAGAAATCTCTAAATAGAAGAACATAATAATCATTGACAAAAGCGTGAAAACACAATCAATATGTATAACATCATATTCTATAACAAAAATAACAAAAGAAAATATAAAACCAAGGTCATTACCCAGTCTACGTGTGCTGCACTGCCATTGGCATGACGCACAGCAACTTGCACACTAGACCCGCATCTCTGGCATCGAGACTTTGCCTTGGTGGCCAAGTCCACCAATCGCTCTTTGGAAATGATGTAGAGCTCCATTTCCTCTCCTTCCTCTGCACCAATCTTTTTGTGTAGCCCAGATCTGGTGAACTCACTCGTCATGTCTCCCTGTCCATCTGTTACCTCCCCCAACACGTCGTTTTCTGGTCCAACCGCCTCAAGTCCTCTGCAATCCTCCCTACAAAGTGAATAAAAAAAAAAAAAAAGAGTGTCTAAACAAGGTAAGATAGGATGTAAGTAGCTCTCTATTTGACTCTGCAAACAAACATCATGTTAATTTGTTTTCTTGAAACATATGAATCCACTCTTTATGGAACTCTGGAATTTTGGGGATAGTTTACTAAGATAATTTTGAAAATTTTCCCAAGCAAGATTGAAGTGTGATGCTGTCATACATGTAGATGCAATATTAACAGGAATTGCAATGTCTTACCTTTTTTTTTTCTTCTCATGACCCCATATTCGTGTCACTTGAAGTTTTTACACTAATGCATGTTGAACGTTGAATAATTTCTAACCCTATTCAGAATGGGTTTTGGGGCATGAATTTTTTCATGGAGGTAATAACACCCCCCCCCCCCCCTTTACACACACATACACACCTCCATCTATTATCCATTGTGAAAGACCTAAAATGATCAATGAAATTTACCCGATTTGTAGACTTAATGTAGCCTCTGGGTCCTCAAAGTCAGAATCATTTTCCACGTCGACGATGGGCTCTTTTGGGTAGATGTAGTCCCCTTTCTCCACGAAACTGACACTGATACTGCGTGTTCAAACAAGACAAACAAGACAAACAAGACAAACAGAAACATTAAGTGAAAAGCCTGCAAAAGAGGTGTTCAGAAATTTTGCCAGTCCTGAGAGATAAGGGAGGGAATGAGCATATGCGTACCCTAAATAGCACTGAGTGGGGAGGGGGGGGGGGGGGGGGGGGGGGAGGGGGATGGCGGGTTTTCAACCTTTGATCTACATACCCCATAATCTAATCAGATAGTCTTCCTATTATGGTACATGTTATCACCAAGTCTGAAGAAAATACCTGTAATTTAAAAGATTGACCCCTGTGAACTTTGACCTACATATCCCACAATGTAATCAGATTGTCTTTCTATGATGATACATTATACATACTGCCACCAAGCATACAAATTCATACCTCAAGCAGGACTTGAGATATAGCGATAAAGAGAAAGCAGAACTGTGCAGACGAAACAGGTCTGTCATAGGTATGCGTTGATGAACACAATATACAAATGCATATCTAATTAAAAGTAAAGTAAAACTTGTGAATTAAAATATACAATTAAATAACTTACTCAAACTTGTTTGTTTCACTTGCAACAGAATCCTCTGTGTTGTGACTGGAAGATCTATTTTCATGAAATAATGTGAAATGAAAAAGGTACATGTAGAATAAGAATTATCTTTAAAATATTTTTATTTTTAGTTAAGATAGTAAAAATGCAAAATTTGAATCAAAAATTAGATTTAAAATATTAATATATTACAATTTGTTGTTTTTCCACATATCTGTCCTATGTGGGAATCTTGGAGCAATTACAACAATTTTTAACCTCTCATTTGTTTGGTATTCCCCTTTAGAAGAACAAAATATCACAACAACTTATAATCTAAAACTACTGACAAGTGCTTAAATTCAAACTCTGAAATATGTTGTTAATCTTAGAATTTTTAAGATATATTTTTGAGTATTTAAAACAAGTAAAGGCAAACTTACCGGGTAGTGTGGATAGAACCTACAGATGACGGAAGAGATGGCACATCTGAGCCGCTAGAAGATAATTAAAAAGGGTGAAAAATTATTCAGATACTTCTCAAGTACATGTATTGGTGTTGATTTCACCTTCGAATCAATCTATTAAAATATCTTTAAAATCAAGTTTTAATTGAATTTAAATTCTAGATATAACGGTATTGAAATATAAAGGTATTATACAAATAAATTGAGGGTAACATTTAAACTAATAATGATTACAGATGAAAGCCCAAAAGGCCCTATCTCAAATTCTGGGTTTCGCCAGGGTTCGTAAAAGATTGCAAGAAAGTTCGCAAACATTTTTTTTTTTGCCGCAGAGAAATTTTGAACATGTTCAAAACAAATTTCGAATCTATTTTTCCGCAAACAGCTGCAGGGGTTTGGAAAACAGTTCTGTTTGATTCGCCTATGGTAGCGACCATGTTACCATATGGTTCCTTATAAAAATTGACCCATTGAGTACCAGGAGTTATCAAAAGGTCTCAAATAGTAGGAAAGGATTGGCAAATAGTTGGTAATCTTCGCAAAAACTGTCGCTAACATTTGCTTACAGACACTAATAGTCACCAACTGCCTTTTCGTAAACACTTTCAGTAACATTCGCTCACATGCTAAACGTCACTAAAAGTCATTGATTTTTGCCAACATTCATCAGAAATGTTGGCGAATCCAAATTCGCAACGTTCTGGCATTTGCCGCTCAGTGATTAAAGAGATAGAACAAATAATGTACATGTAACTAAGGACAACAAAAAAAAAAAATCATCAGATGAAAATTTACACAGTAAGAAAAGAAAACAAGATAAATGATCAAATTCGTCCTTGTTTTCACGAAGTGACGGTAGTGAGGAAAATCGTAACGCGAAGTGAATGCAATTTTTTTTTCACTACCGTCACTTCGTGAAAACAGCGACGAATTGTTCAATACACCAAAACTAAGGGTCAATTAAATTGTCTTGGTTTTAACATTGCTATAAGAAAACTTACCTGTCAACTTGGCCTGTAACTGTCTTAACTGGTGTCGATGCTACCAATGGACATCTCCTGAAAGCAGATACATGAAGAATAGATAGGGTTTAATCAAATTACATTCATCGATACAGTCACATCACATCCTCCATGCTTATTACCGTATGCAAGTTGTCAAATGTATACAATCACGAAGAAGTAATAATCTGGCACATATCTTTTCACAGAATGTGTTTATTTAGCTTCGATTTAATGCTTACAAGTACTTTTTCTTTCAATAAAACAATAAGGTAGTGATAAAACCCATAAATTTAACAATTTTTTCATAAAAAACTAACAAAAATTACAGCACCAAAAAATTGAGCTATGGTGACAATAAACATTTCACGTCAGACATGAAACAAGTACTTCACCAAATTCCCCCCCCCCCCCCCCCCCCCCCCCGTGCTAAAAGAAAATCATACTTGTACGGATACTTTAAAAAAATACACATAACTTCATGCTAATTTTTCATAAATAATATATTAGTCCAACAATAAAAGAAAATCTTACCTGTCTCCTGTATTTCTCACGCTGGAAGTGGAACAGTTTTCAGAATGTTCTTGATACCTATGTTTGACGAGACAACAAAAATAAAACTAATTGATAATTTCATTTAAAAAACAAAAGACACGGTAGACTATTTCATAACTTATAATTTTTGCAATTTTAAATATATCTTGTACATATAAGCAATTAAATGGCAATTTTGTACAATTAACAGGAGCTTGAAATTCTGTTTTTATTTTCAGCGTAAATGCCAAAACATGACATAAATACAGCCAGGTGATATTTTACAGACACACACACACAAATAAAAATATACACAATCTGTGTCACCAAAATTAAATATATAAATAAATAAACAAACAGCACACCAACATCAAGCCACTGAGATCTGTTTCAGAAATGTCATTTTGAGGCATTGGAATCTTTATTATAATAAATTTTAACAAGCTTGTAGACCAGATAGACGATCTGTTGGATCCTGGCCTATAGTATATATAGGTCATAATATTACAACAATCAATAGAAGAATAGCAAGCTTAGCCTGACAAAAAAAATATATAACAGTCAACAAAGTGTTGCCATCTGAAATGAAGCCATGCACTCAGACACGGAGGAGACACTACGAGTTGTAGTTATTTTTAATACATTTTTCAGGGTCGCAGATATATAAGTAGGGCATAACGATCCCCTGCAAAATTCTAGTACTCTGGCGTGCAGCACTGCAGTGGCGTACATATAGGTGTAGCCAATGATAGCCGGTCAAAAATAAAATTCATCTAGACATAGACTCTAGATCTAGATATCCAGAAATAGATCTATTATGTTTTTAACACTTAGATCTAGAATCTATACTGTTATAGATCTAGACCTAGTTATACCCCGGTGGGGTCACTCCCCTGCAAAGAGTGACACGTATGACCGTTACCACCAATGCATATAACCCCCTTTTGCGGTCAATTTCAAGGACATTTTGTGAAATTTAACCCCCTTTTTCACGTCAAAACAAGGACAAAATCGTACTTTGGAATACCCCTATTTATAAGATTGTAAGGACATTTTCGCAAATTTACCCCTATTTTACCATATTTCAAGGACAAGACTCGGCTCCGAGAATTTTTCTTCCCGGTTTTCTCTTTTCCCTTCCCGGTTTTCTCTTTTCCCTTTTCCTGACCCCTATTTATCAATTTCGGGGACACCTGTGCACCCCTATTTTCTTTATTTCGAGGAATATTTTGTCCGCGGACATTGCTTGAAATTGACCCCTTTTTCCGCGATTTTGGTAACGATCATGCGGTCCGGAAGTCACATTGAGTGACCCCACCGGGAGTTATACATGATTGAACATGATAGTAATCTAACTTAGATTCTAGGATAACCTTTAAGACTCTAAGTTAAATTTAATCATATTTTCATAATGTTTAATGATTGGATGGCCAGTCTAGCACAGATACAATTGTTGCCACACATGACGTGGCACAGCTAGCTCAGCTCCATATTCAATAATTTAATAATTTCCACAAATGGCTCAACACCGCCAATCATTGGCTATTGTTGAGTTGCATGTCTTGTCAGACATACCTGCATTACAGCTAAGTAATTGTTCATTACAATAAAGCATGGAGCTGGAGGGTCTAGTCCAATTCTAATCATTTTAACTCTTGGTTAGTATTGTTACTTTGAGAAGAAAGACGGAAAAGTTGGAAAGCACATGTTCCCTTCTTATAATATAAGCTACTTACGTTTGTAGCAGGAGCTCCAAAAAGCTGTCATTTTGGTCGGTACCGGCGGAAGACATCGTCTCTCTAAACATTCCATGCACCTTCGTCGATAGTGAAAGTCGACTCCGCGACCCCCGTCTAGTTTCATATGCCGCCCTGGTCTCCTTTCGCCGGGCCTTTCGCCGATCCATATCTTCCATAACGCTCAAGACAAGTCACGATATTTATTGAAGATTATGATATAACTATATATTCACGCAGAAATAAATACAAAAGCTTCTTCAAGTTCAAATACGGACAAGTTCACATCTGAAACGCGCATGAATGAAGTGAAGACAATGTAAATAAACAACCGATCGATAATGGAAGTACACAAGTGCGTCTAGATCTACAGCGTTTTCATTGTGTACGTTTGGCTTTTCCGGCCCAAATGATATCGCCAACCGAGAATTATATCGAGTTGCTGCCGAATGAGGGAGCTAAACAGAGATATCAGTAATTTTGAATTTCGGTTTGTACCAACCCCGACCGATGATAAATTCAACGTTTATTTTGCTCTTTTCTCCGCAATTAAACAATTTCGTTCAAATTCGTTTAGCAAGAGTCTTTTATTTGTACTGATTAACAATCAGTGTGAATTTGAATAGAAACTGTTTCAATGATTTTTTCAACATTACCACTACTGGATGTTAGCTTTAATTCCGTTTACTACTTGATACCAACACGTGCATGATGGATCCCCCGGATGGATCCTTATTTAGACAGTGAGACAGTTCTGTTACGAGAAGCAATTCAACGAATTGCCATGGCTTGTATATGTTCTAGAACGCACTACGCTCTTTCGATAACACGTGGCCCCTATTCAGCACTATATATACGTATTTTAGTTATTCTTAACAATGACCTAGATCTAAAACTGGCCGCGGATGTAACCCCCCCCCCCCCCCCCCCCTTCGTCGCAAAGAAATATTCGATAAAATTCTTTGACACAGAATGATAAACTAATTTCTTCTTGAGATATGTTTGGGGTGAAATTTCAAACATCATTTCCTGGTAACTCTCTCATGTACGTAAAATAATATTAAAACAAATCAGTAGCCAAAGTAATGCTTTTCAGAGTCAAATCTCGCAAGACGAGAGCGACACACAAGCGGGCACTACATGAATAACTAATGCGCCGGACCGGGCGCGAAAGGGCGCGAAAGCTATTCAAAGTTTAAGCTCCCATTCACAAATGTCAAGTGCTTCACCGGGGCGCGCCCCAGCGGGGTAATTTCGTAACAATGAGACTCCAAACAATAGCCAGATTTTAATGAGCTGGCAACCAACTGAAGTCCTCTCCTATCCGACGCAAAAAGGCGCTAATGGGCGCATAAAGGCGCCTCCTTTGTTCTCATATCCTGCTCTGCGCCCCGACGCGTCGCGACACAGTCGCAACTTTGGAAGGCTCCCCTTACCAGGTAACATATAAATTTGAGTTAAATCAAATTGAATTGAATCAAATCAAATGGTGATCTTGATTAACAGTACCCTACATTAAGTATGACATGCTTTTAGTCGAGGTCTAATTCAGATTTGTACTGGCTTAATTTCACATGGTTATCAGCATATATCGATAAGCTGGGGAAAAAAGATAGAAATCATCATCAAGAGTCTCGACTAATAAAGTGCATGTATAACTTTAACATCTGTGCCACTGCTTGACATACAAGTGGTTTCCATGACGATATCCTAAAGAGAGGTTGTACAATGTGCTTTGCTTGCTTTGCGGTCAATGCTCAACATAAGCCAAATTCTTAATTCCTTCCATACACCAGATGGTAAACCCAACTCTAGTACGTCCCTCACACCAGACTAGAAATACACTGTATACTGTAGACCGCACAAATAGTTGCACTATCCTGAATCCCCATGAATGGGTTGGGTTAACGTTGATTTTGTGGTTGGGTTTATTTGTTCATATATGGAACTAAGTGGCTTGGCCTAGAACTCGATGTCAACACACACGTTTTCTGAACAACTCACCCATTTCTTGTACACGTCTTCTGTTGGGCTGTTCGTCTTCTCTGCTGATTCAAACACTGCCAGAGTCTTTTCTGATCTATACATAAGAAAAATTGATTGAAGAGGTTGAAAAATTATTTTTACAAACAGGATTCATGATACCTGTGTTTGCAGACAAAACAGTTCACAATCAAGAAATCTAAATCGTGGCACATGGTAAAACAAGCCAAATTTGTTTACATTTTGTATCATTCAGTATCAGATTGTTTGTTGACAGCATGGTGATGAGGTATTTTTGGACCAATCCTCCTCAAGAGTCTAACGGATAATCATCATAAACTGAATGAAAATGGATAAATTTTGATAATTCAATACCAAGCATTATTCTACATTTCCTCACACTTACCAAATCTTCTTGCTATAACAAAGAATATCACTTGCTTTAAAAAAAAAAAAAATCCAAAAACTATAAGTAGACATGCTAATATATGGGATTAAACATGCCCTTATTTCTTACACAAATCAGAAACACTAATTTTAATTCGATGTTAATAATAAACAGTGAATTCTAAATAGTATGAACTTAGCGTATCAGTCATTCTTTTCTCATAATTAATGCTGATATATTTGTTTATGTACTTTACTCTACTGCCAAGATGTAAGTTAACACTTATTAATAGTCTGTGTGACCTGGGAGCCTAGACTAAGTAAGCCCTATCACAACTCAAACACTATTTGGAGAATAAATGTCTCACCTTCAAGACAGAGGCACACTGACTTGGTTTGAAACCAGGATCTCCTAATTTCCAGACCACTGCTCTAACTACAGAGTCAGCACATCCACTCATGGTTGAATCTGCCCAAAGACAGGTTTCCATCAAACAAAGAGAGATGTTGAGATAGCTAAAGAATTTGAGAAAGGGAGAGAAAAAGCGTATAAACAGATACAAATGTTTTTTTCATAACCAGCAGAACAAAGAAGGGCCTTTTTAGGATTTAGAAAATGAAGCTAAGAAAGTTAGGTGGTTAAACAAAATACGAGTCAAAATCAGATTCATGTTTGATGACAGCATGGCTATTCAGACCAATAGGGAAATTTAGAATCATCACTTATAAGACTCATCAAAATACATAACAACCAACCTTTCAAAGCAAAAATTAAGAACATCTGAAGGCAAAATTAAGAATACGGCCATTTTGTTTACTATTTAAAAGTTTTCATCAGAAGAGAGGAATCTAGGATTCATAACATTAGTGTGATGGCCAAAAATTAGGAATCATTCCTTCAAAATAGGAAAGGTTGGCAGCTATGATAATGTACCAAGTTGGTGTAAAATATGCACAAAGGACGAAATTCTCAAAAACTTGTTTCAATTTATGCTAGTACATATTGAAGTGTAAGACTCCCAAGTTAAAACTACAACTTCTAAGTTAAAGCCACACCTCACATATGCTAAAAGCTGACCATCTCTCTTACCTTTTTTTCCCAGCAAGTTCCGTAGACTTCATCGACCAAGTTGACTTCTTACCAACTAACTGACCAACGATGCAAAGAGTAAAGAAACAAACAGAAAATTAAGTCTTATTGTTCACTCGTACACTCCTCTTCCAACATGAAATTATGCCAAAGTTACAAATACTTATCATTCAGAATCAGATTGTTTGTTGACAGCATGGTGATGAGGTATTTTTGGACCAATCCTCCTCAAGAGTCTAACGGATAATCATCATAAACTGAATGAAAGTAGATGAATGTTACATTTTTCATGGGGGTGTATTCTTCATTTTCTCATTCCCATCTAAAGCTTGGTATGAAGCAAGAATTTGTTTTCCTTCAGTATGACCAGCAACTGCTCTCTACATCAGAATTGTACATTGTATAATTAATACCAACTTTGAGGACTGTTCTTCAAAATAAGAATAACAAGAAAAGAACAGTTCTTTTACAGTGTATTATACCTTTAAAAGTGTCTCAATGGATAGGAAAAGCTAAGAAATAAGCAAAGCAAGCAAAACAAGTATAAAGCTGAAGGAAAATGTCATAAACTGCTTCAGAGCATTTTCAAATCAGCTTGTGGTGATGATTTAGAAAATTTAGAAGTGATATACGCTATAGTACAATAATGGTATTCAAAGTTTCCATCACTTCATTCCGGTCCATTCCAAATGTTACTCACCTCTCAATTCTGAATCTACAAGACAAGACAGGACAGGACAGGACAGGACAGGATTCCACATCAATAGATGAAGATCTTGGCTATTTATAACTATGGGCAAAAAGAGTACAAATAAAAGGGTTAGAATAAAGTACCTCATAATGCATTATCCTCCCATTACAAGCCGTAATAAAATATCTAATGATACGTTGCATAAAGATAAAATTGAGGCCATTAAGAATTTGGTTAGGAGAATGAAAGGAAGTTTATGATTTTAAGTAAAAGAGTCAACATCAGATTCATATTGGACATCAAGGTTGTTCAGACCAATAGGGAATTGGATCATCACGTTGAGGACTCCTGATAATCTAAAGCCTAGAAAATGCCAAAGTAACCAGTCATGCAGACAGGGAACGGGATAAATCCCATTTCTCCAATCCTATTGATGACAGAGCAACATCAAATTAAATTTTACATGTTTCATGAACAAGCCAATTAATGCCAGATCAAATAAACAATAATAAGTCGGCACAAAATAATCGCACAAAAGCTTAATTGTTTACACCGTGGTATCATTACAAATTACATTAGGGGTGTATAACCTTAAAAAGTGGTCTCAACTCCTCACACACATGTCTTACTTACCCTTCAATCCTGAGCATTGGGACCTTCATCCGATGTTCACGACTGCTGCTGACTGACCTAGGAAACTAAAATAAGAGCAGTAGAAAAACAATATTTTACATCCTTCATTTTCTTGAAGAGTTATAGTTCTTTTCTTTTTACAGGAATGAGAGGTAAAATAATAAATTTCTCCTTTGTCCATGACAAATTTATTTATCATTCAGTATCAGATTGTTTGTTGACAGCATGGTGATGAGGTATTTTTGGACCAATCCTCCTCAAGAGTCTAACGGATAATCATCATAAACTGAATGAACATAGAAACATAAGTGTTTTTAATCTTCACTTAATCTCCCTAAGAAACCACTTTGTGTATTCAACTCGATAAATATCAAAGAATGTATAAATATACAACTGCTTAATTTTGTAGTGCCTTACCACACAATTGAAGCATGACACCTTGGTTTTGAACCCAGGACCTCGTAGTTTGTAGAGTGCTGCTCTTTCCATCAAGTCACCAGACCTCTCATTATAGAATGGCACTCAACAGCAGGACTTGTCTTCTTCAAGTACATAAAGAATGGCACCTATCCATGGATAGAAGAGAAAGTGATATTATTTAATAAACAATTTGATTGAGTAAGAATTAGAAAAGACAGAGGAGAGGACAGGGGAGGACTTATTTATAAGAACTAGAGTCAACATCAGATTCAAGTTAGTTTGACAGCAAGGTTGTTCAGACCAATAGGGAAATATGAATCATCATTTGAAGACTCCAAATACTGTAATAATAATCATAATAATAATAACAATATTTATAAAGCGCAACATATCCATCTTCTAGAGATGCTCAAGGCGCATACAAATAATTAAAATTAATATTCAATAAAGAAATATTAAATGTTAACTTGCATTAGATCATTCAACTAGACCCTAGAAAATACCAAAGTAACCAGTCTTACAGGCAAAGTAGGGATGAGTTCCCCAACCCCGAAAAGCCTTCTGATGACGAGAGTAAAAACACATAACTGACATGTGGACACTGCATATATGAGCAAGCCATCTAATGACAGATCAATTCAATTAAAACTGATATTCACATCTGTGTATCAATCTTAAGTAGATATGATGTGTGTAAACTTTAAAAAAGGTTGTGACTATCTCTCTCTCTCTCATGCATGGCGTGTACATGTCTTACCTTTCAACCCTGAGCATTGCCATCACTGGTCCACCCATCCAATATCAAGGACCACTGCTGACTGGCTAGGGATACCAATAAAAATGAATAGAAAAACAATGTTTTACATTCTTCATTTTCTTGAAAAGTTTAAGTTCTTTTCTTTCAACAGGAATGAGGGGTAAAATCATAAATTTCTCTTTTGCCTAGATGACAAATCTATTTATCATTCAGAATCAGATTGTTTGTTGACAGCATGGTGATGAGGTATTTTTGGACCAATCCTCCTCAAGAGTCTAACGGATAATCATCATAAACTGAATGAACATAGAAATAAGTGTTTTAATCAAACCACTTTGTGTATTCAACTCGATTAATATCAAAGAATGTATGAATGTATCTGCTTAAAAATTAAGAACTCGGGTGTTTTTTTTTTAAGTGAGGGATTAAGTAAACAGGGAGTCGTGCCTTACCACACAATAGAAGCATGGCACCTTGGTTTTGAACCCAGGACCTCATGGTTTGTAGACTGCTGCTCTTTCCATCAAGTCACCAGACCTCTCATTATAGAATGGTAATCTACAGCAGGACTGGTCTCCATCAAGTAAATGAATAATGGCACCTATCCATAAATAGGAGAGAACATGAGAAAAATTCATAACAATTTGAGTAAGAATTACAAAAGACAGAGGCAGGGGAGGACTTATTTATAGAAACTAGTCAACATCAGATTCAAGTTCGACAGCAAGGTTGTTCAGACCAATAGGGAAATGTGAATCATCACTTTGAAGACTCCAAAATACTGTAAACCCTAGAAAATGCCCAAGGTACTAGTCTTACAAGCAAGAAAGGGACGAGTTCCCCAGCCCCCTAAAACAAGGCCTACTGGTGACAGAGTGACAACACATAATACCTGAAATGTAGACACTTCATTCAAGAACAAGCCGACTAAGTACAGATCAATTCAATTAAAACCCATATTGACACCTTGGTTTCATTTTTAAATACATAGGATGTGTGTAAAATAAAAAAAATGTTATCACTCTCTCTGTCTCACATGCATGGCATGTACATGTCTTACCTTTTCATCATGAGCATTGCCTTCACTGGTCCACCATCCTATGTTAACAACCACTGCTGACTGGCTAAGGATATAAAAATAACAATAACAAATTAAAAAATGTTTTACATGCTTTATTTTTCTAGAAATGCTGGTTTTTCATGAGTTTAAAAAAAAAGAAGCCAAAATGGGTAAATAAATCAATTTCTCCTTTCGTCCATGATAAATCTACATCCTTCATTTTCTTGAAGACTTCTTTTCTTTTGAGAGGAATGAGGGGTAGAATAATAAATTTCTCCTTTGTCCATGACAAATCTATTTATCATTCAGTATCAGATTGTTTGTTGACAGCATGGTGATGAGGTATTTTTGGACCAATCCTCCTCAAGAGTCTAACGGATAATCATCATAAACTGAATGAAAATAGAAACATAAAGTGTTTTTATCAGACCACTTTGTGTATTTAACTTGATTAATATCAAAGAATGTATGTCTGCTTAAAATGAGAACTACAGTATTTTGTTTAAAGTGAGGGATTAAGTAACTGGGGAGTAGTGCCTTACCACCCAATAGAAGCATTGGGTTTTGAACCCAGGACCTCGTAGTTTGTAGACTGCTGCTCTCTCCATCAAGTCACCAGACCTCTCATTATAGAATGGTAATCTACAGCAGGACTGGTCTTCATCAGGTGAATGAATAATGGCACCTACCCATTAATGGAAGAGAAAGTGATATTATTTGATAATAAACAATTTGTTTGAGTAAGAATTAGAAAAGACAGAGGCAAGGGAGAGCTTATTCATAGATTAGTGACTACAGTCAACATCAGATTCAACTTAGTTTGACAGCAAGGTTGTTCAGACCAATAGGGACATGTGAATCATCATTTGAAGACTTCAAATACTTTAATCCCTAAAAAATGCAAAACAACATGCGAGCCGCCATTATCTATTGCCGGATTATAATGACAACGGAAACAAAAATGCGGGCCTACATTATCATCCAAAATGCATGTTTTGCCTCTTCTCTTACTAGATCTAGGTCTAAGAGTCTTAGACCAATATTATTAATATCAAATTCGTGAAAAGGCACTTTATATCAACGAACATGTTCTACAACAACTCTAAATGACTGGGGGGGGGGGGGCAATGAGCAATCCAAAATAACATCATTTTTTTAAATTTATTTTTTATAAATATTTTTACTCAAACCCCCCCCCCCCCATATCTGGGATTATTGATTATTCTGTCATTTAGAGTCGTTGTAGGGCATGTTCGTTGATATAAAGTGCCTTTAATGCCTAATATTGTGGTTTCCAACCATATTTGGTGGTAGACCGAATTTTCCGTCTCTTTCGTTCGTTAGCCTCTTATTGGGGTAGGGTCGGCTCTCTCTTTAGAGACGGAAACCGTCTATACACATTCCCTTGATAACGCCACGGCCATTTCAGGTCGTAGCGTTTTGCCCCCAAAATCCCCCTAAATGTAATTTTACCTCGTGCATGTTATATTGTAAATTAGGCCTAGGCTATAATAAATCAGTTCCACTTAACAACTTGACTGAAATAATCAGTTTAATAGTCCCTTTTTAGGAAATTATGGGTCAAAATCGAAATCCATTTTGAAAATCTTTTTCAACATGGATTTCGATTTTGACCCATAAATTCCTAAAAAGGGACTATTAAACTGATTATTTCAGTCAAGTTGGTAAGTGGAACTGATTTATTATAGCCTAGGCCTAATTTACAATATAACATGCACGAGGTAAAATGACATTTAGGGGGATTTTGGGGGCAAAACGCTACGACCTGAAATGGCCGTGGCGTTATCAAGGGAATGTGTATAGACGGTTTCCGTCTCTAAAGAGAGAGCCGGCCGACCCTACCCCAATAAGAGGCTAACGAACGAAAGAGACGGAAAATTCGGTCTAATTTGGTGGTAGGTTTTTTCATAAGTCGGAAGATTCTAGATCTACTACAAATTTGAGGCGGGATCGGGAGGAATTCAATTAGGGCGTGGTGGCGCACTGGCGAGTCTCCCTCCAAAATATGTGGGGAGGATTGACAGCCCTGCTATATATGTCACATCATCAAGTATTTATTTTTCAGTTTGGTAATCCTTCAGATTCTGCCCAAATTAAATCAAACTTCCAAAACATCCAAAGATTCCTAGTTCAATTCCACTGACCACTGACCATGCTGGCATGCAGACAATAATTTAAGCTCACACATATCACACAATCATGGCAATATCTTTACAATACTCATTCAGTCACTGCATGTCATGCACTTTAACTAAGTCATAAGTTACAGTTTAGATCGTATTGTTTAAGCTACACAAAAAGTTAACTTTAAACTTACAAACTTCAGTCAAACTGCGTGCACACCCGGAGCTGTGGGCCCTCGTTCAGAAAATGGCCAACATATCTCGCGCACAATTAGCTAGCCACGTGTTGTATCCAACAGCCAACGTCAGATGGCGCCATATAAGCCATGGACTCGTCCTAAAAATTGTTCGTATGAGACCATGAATATGATGGTCCTTTTTTGGGGGGGGGGGGGGGGTAGTGGGAGCTGGTGTACTCGGGTAAAGAATGGCCGAGCTCCAAAGTACTAACTAAAGAGTTGGGGATTTCGCTTGTCTATTTTGTTTATGATAAATAAATTGAATGAAATGCTCTTTAAGTATAATTATATGAAAAAAACATTTTAAATTTTATCAGTCTTGATAAAATGGGAAACTTACGTATCCATGCAGGTTTATTCTTTTTATCATTATTTATATTTCTCATACTTTAATTGCATTATTCTCGAGACATAAACTCATTTAAATCAAATCTTATTCAATTCTACTTCAAAATTATATTCATGTTGACTCTACTCCTTCTGACTCGACATGTATCTACTTCGATCTCACTTTATTCTCCATCCTTGCAACGCTACTACTTTCCTTTTATTTGAACCCTCACTTTTTCCTTTTCGCTTTATTACTCTTTTCCCCCCGATACAGTTTCTCTTTTTACACTTCTTTCGACTTATATCTTCTGAGGAGGCTTTGCCTTTAACGTCCGTTTCCTAACTTTCCCTATACTCCCTTTTTTCTTCTTTTCTACAAGTCGTCCGTTCTTTTCTCATTCTTTCATCCAATAAAATTTGTCTTTGATATTTTCCCTTCCTCCCCTCCTTTTTTAAAAATCGCTCCTCTCATTCCACCATAATTTTTCCTTCTTCTATTTTATTCTCTTCCAATTCCTTTCATCCTATTTTACTCTTCTTTCCTTCGTCCCCTCCCGTTTCTTTAAATTCTCCTTCGATCCTTTCCACCATCATTTCCTTTCACTCTTAATTTCCTTCTTCCGTTCTATTCTCTTCCCCAACTTTTTCTTTTCATCCTAATCATTCTTTTCTGTTGCTTCACCTTTCTCCTTCCACTCCATTATTTATCTTTTTACTCTTAATGTCCTTCTTCCATTTTGTTCTCTCCCCATTCCTTTTTCTATCATCATCAGAATATATTGCACTCTTCTTTCTACTTTTTCATGCACTATCTTTTTTCTTTTCACTCTTCCCTCCTACCATTATAGTACTTTCATACTTTTCTACTTCCAGTCCTTTCCTTTCTCTTTCCACCATTTTTCACATCCCAGTTAAATCCATCGATTAAATATTTCCACTCAATACTGATGCAAGTCCTTTCTTTTCATATTTCCACTATTTTCTCCCAATTTTTTGCATTTTCACATTTATCCCTGATTGTCATTGACTATCTAAATTTTCTTTTCACATGCATCTATTAATCTCATCAATGTTACACACCCAAATTAACATTTTACAAAACTACAAGCAAGTTAAGAAGTATTAGTTTCATGGAAATGTTTTTAGTATCCAAAATAAGCTGGAACAATTATTTATACAAGCTGTGATTAACGTTACACACTATACATACAAGAGTTTCCTGGTAAAACATCTGAATAACATATATTCACCATTGTCTGTTCAGTAGTTTTCTGGCATGATCGGTGAACTATGTACATGTATTGGGTATCACGATCACCCAAACTCCATACAGTTCAAATAACAAAAAGCCTCAAACTCTTAAGACGAGAACAAAGCATATAAAAATAATCTGTCATTAAAATTCATCACAGTCGCATGGTCTCTATGTCCAACTGTGTGATGATAAGAAACATAATTGTATCTGCCCTTTCTGTTTCCACATAATATTATGCAATCCAACTACAAAATGCTTTTACTCAGTACATAAAGCTTTTGAGATGAATGTGCCGATCCTATGACAAAAACATCCATACACACTGCATGAAAATATACATATTTACATATATAACCTGTTGGATCATTGTGTGATTTACACATTATCAATAGTTCAAAACTTCTATTTTCCCTTTTGTTGCAATAAGGGGATACATAACATAACATATCTTAAGTTTCACAGCTGCCAAAAGTTTTCTCATATTGATTTGTATGTACAGTTACCGGTATGTAATGAGTAGAAGTCCTAATATGTTGTTAATCAGAATAGGAAAGGCAGATCTCATCATTCAAAACATAACCCAAGTCAGTTACACAAGTTTAACATAAAAACAACAACAATGCAGTACCATTACACAAAAGTCTGTCACTAATTTACACGTACGACAATAAAGAACATAATTATTTACACTCATAATAACATGTAAGCTTCAAACATAACTCCAGAAACAAAGAAATAAACTATGAACATCCTTTTTAAAACATATTTACAACAACCATGTTCATATTAGACATGAACTTTATACATGTACTGTAATTTTACAGTAAAAAGTGGCAATAATGCAATGAACACAAGTCTCTTGTTCGATAACACAAAATATAATACAAAATTCTCCCTCTTCAGTTCAATAGGCATACATGTAAACTAAATGTACAAAGATAAAAGTAGTGAACACTTGTGCTAAAACAAAAACAAATTTGTGCATGTCATATTAAGAGTCTGTGAATATATATATTTATATATATATTTCCTTCTTTTTAACAACATATAAAGCATAAATGGTACATGGTACACAAAACTTCTACACCTAGACATCACTATCCAATACATGCACATCTTGAAAATGTCATAAGCTACATAACTTTGTCTGCCAGGATAATCACTGCATTACATTTATCATTTATTTAAAATCAGGTTTCAACACATTGCGAAGGTCACTGCACTTGAGGAAAAAAGAATCCGTTTACATTGAAGTACATTATGTTTGTTGTAAACCTTATGGACATTTATATCATAATTCCATTTTATGGTAATTGTTTTTGCAATCTTTAACGTCAGATATGATTTAAATGCAGCAGTGTAAAGCTAAATTTGCTAAAGGCTTCTCCCAATTACACCATGATGTACTTTCTAATAATATCAATCATGATTAAAGAAATACACATCACATGTAATTACAATTTGAGCATCATACCAGAATTATTTTTTCTGATGAATAGAGTACAACTTACTTGTCTGCATACACAATCAAACTAATTCAATACTGATGAAAATTATTTATAATAAGAATGCTGCATGTGTCCAAAATCAAATTGCATTCCAAAGCCTTACAGTCGGTATGGCTTTTAATTAGCAGGGTATTCTAGAAACATTGCTACCACTGCTGTAATATATTTCAAATGCGCCATCTTTAGGCAAAGGCCTCCATAGAGCGATTTCCAATTCCTGTACTCCAGTATCATCATGTGTGCTTCATGCAGTTGATGATGCATTGTGGGACACGACTGTCAACACATCAGGTCATTGTGAGCAGCAGATGGCAGTGTACGTAAATCTGAAGTAGTACCATACAAACTTTAAGTCTCCTCAAACAGCTTTAAACAGTCATTTTGGCAAGTGATTGTTACAACCCGATATAAATCCTTCAAAAACAACCACTCCAGATGGAAAAGCTCACCATGTGTACTCACTTACATTATTTATACCGTACTATAATTAACACAATATGCTTTTATAAAATGTCAAAATCTTAAAACAACTATAAGGGTCAAAGAATACATGCATTTCAATCAACCTCTCCTTTTATCTCTGGAGTCTGGAACACTCTCTGTAACTTGATAAATTGCTGAGAATACATCTTAAAAACAACAGATAGCATACAAATTATCAGATATACTTATAGTAATATATATGTATCACTTTTTCTTGCACGGAGGAATGGAGATGTTCTTTAATCCATCCACTGTTGAAGGATAATGATTATTTAATAACAATACAGCTTATGATTCTTAGTCACCCATACGATTTTACTTTCAAAATAAAACCCCTTCATCAATGTACAATATGATGGTAAATTAGCATGTAAACATAGAATTTGTTTACTAGCAGATAGCGCAAATAAGTGCTCAAACATTCGAGTTCACATTATGTCCAGTTATGTGGTTAAAGAAGATGTTTAGGTCTCTCCTATTACAGCACATATATTTTACTAGACCCAGGAATATTCATTAATCTACAAATTGTCTTGCAGAGTTGATTATTCTAAACACTTAATGATCCAAAATGTAATTTCTCTATTAGTTCGCGATATCGTCTTCGGCAATGCTACTTCAGACCATATTTTTCAGGTGAGAACAGCGATGATATCTCAAAATAATATTAGTTCCCACAATCACAGCTGTTACTTTTTGAAAAATATATATACAAACATGCGTATTCAATCAGAGGCAGACTGTATCTCATATAAAAATCAACTATGTTCAATAAAACTACAGCACAGTGGCCTTCATAATAATACAGTAATACAAAATGTGAATTTAAGGGCAGAAATTAAGAACTTATAAAATACATAAATACAATGTGATAATACTGATGTTTAAACTTTTAAAATCATTAATACAGTGACTACCACTGTTTTTTTGTCAAATCTATAAGAAACTTTACTTGGAAAAAACTAAATTGGCATGAAATCTAGTAACTGTTTGCAAAACATGTAACTTAAATTCATCCATCTTTGGTACAATTTCATAGTCATATGTGACACTAACGATGTGAACTATATTCACATTGGAAGACTGTATTAAATATGCTCGACGGTTGACATCAACACAAGATGCCACAGTACCTAAGCGATTTGGTGTAAAAATACATTACAATTTAAAATGAGCAATGTTTGCCTTTTGTACTTTGTATGCCAATAACCCAACACAAGATCATCACAATAAAATTATGATTCCTTAATGAAATTCATGAACAATGAGCTAAAATTTGTATGTAAACAATTATCCTAGAAAAAAAAAAGATAGACATAGACATATATACACATTGTGCTATTACCTTTTCATATTAATGATTAGTAAATTTATATACCTTGTAAAAGCAAACCCCTTTGCACCAGGAAAATTACACCATTATAGTAAATGGACTACAAATACTGGAATATACTGCAGTTAGACCAACAAAATTGGCTTGTTAAATCGACTTTGTTATCATTATTTTTTAGAGTTCCAATGTACCATGTCATAATTACATCAAGAACAATTCCAATAAAAAGAGAATACATTAGTCCTTAGTAACATAATACACAATTCTAAGGAAAAGATCGGTGAATAAAAATGTTGTATAAATTAAGGGGATGGGGGTGGGGGTGGTGCGTTTGCTTACAATGAAGTTCATTTTGTTTTTGTACCATGCAACTTCAATGTCCATACAAAAGCTGCCTATTCTCCCTACCGCATAAGGCTGGCGACAATCCAACGTATAAAATGGTACTCTAATTTTACTAGTAAATTTGCTGGGATTTTCTAGTCGCATGAACTTCTGGTTAGAAAGGGCCACAAAGTTTTGGACTCACATCTCACTGTCAATACGACTAAGAATGAGAAAATGTAGTTTTGCTTAAATCTCTAATGATGTAACAATATTTGAAAAGGCAGACCTTCTGATCTTCAAATAAGTGACCCTGCTATCTATTACGGGAAATTCTTAATAATTACCAACATTATTGGAAAAAGAAGCCACTTGTGTTGCAGCGTGCCAGGTTTCTCCAAGAGAATTTCTTTAAGCGCTAGCATTTGCCAATGCTGGTATGTTACTTTAATTACAAAATTACTTACTGCTTGTGTATTTTTCAAAATTTGTATTTAGCAAGCAAGATTAAGAATTTCAGATAATGAATTATTTGCATATCGTATAATAGTGGACTACGTGTGTTAGGATCACTGGAAGTTAGGGTGTCTCAAAAATAAATATAAAAATCGCTGAGGTATAGGACGATCACTGCATCATGGGAATGTATATACCTATATGCGGTTGTGAGAAATTAAGGACTGATAGCACAAGCTGTTGTAAGTTACATGTTCACATGGTACTCTCACGATGTAGAGTCTGATGATACCTTAACTTGAGTTGCCCATGAGAGTATATCTACGTTTGATTCAGGGTTAGAATCGCTCTGATGTTCAGGATCTCCCTTCATCTCATCATTTCCTACATTAGATTTCTCTTTGGGTTGATTCTTGACCTCAGATGCCCAGAGTAGTATATCTGCACTTGAGCTAGGGGGAGGTTGAGGACCATTACTTCCTAAAGCAGGCATCATTTCAGTTTCCTGTTCATCCTCTGTTTCACCATCTGCTACTTGGGATTTTACTTCCATGGTTGCTCCTCCTTCATCCTTCTGTGCAAGGCATGTGTTAGGAGACAAACAGTCATCACTTCTAACATTAGTTCTACCAGAGTGTTCATTCACCATGTTACTTGGGGAGTCTTTGCTTATATCTGTTGGACATTGATTGCAGTTCTCTTCGATGACGTCATCAGATGAAAGATTAACAAAACTAAAATCTTTGCATGCTGAGGTGACAATACCACATGTACCTGGAGTGTCCACAGAAGGACTTAGAAAATGTGCAGTAACATCAGCTACAACTTTGGGATCTTTCCCGGAGTCCAACATTGACTGTTCATTCATCTGAGAGTCATTTGAAGAAGCAGTTTGAGTCCCTGAGCATTCATCAATCTGGAGTTCTCTGTCTGAATTAGCTCCAAGCAAGTCATCATCTAAATCAGAGGATGCATCATCTTCATTCCCTTTTCCCAAGATGTCATCATCATCATCAGGGACACTGGGGGCAGCAGAGAGAACGTTTGTCTTCATTGATTTCTCACCTTCGCTGATGACAGCATTGCTTTCAAGACTAATACCCTTGTTTGAACTTGCATTTGGGCTATCAGCTTGAGGAGACAAAGGATTATTGCTTGTGGCCTGTCCATCAACAAGTGTTGAGCTTTCTTCTTTCTTTACTTCCTCATTTGAAGGTAACTCTCCGTCCTCTCTTGAGTGATGAGATGCATCGTCGTGGAGATCAGATCTAGATGGAATGTTTTCCACAGCACTCTTAAGGAGGTCGACTGCTAATTCGATCTGGTCAACATCTTTGCTTCTCCTTGTGCCTGTGTTTTCCTCAACAAAACTGTTTTGTATTGCAGTCCCATTCAGGTTTGACTCATGAACTGTGAAGTCTGTTATTGAGAGATCTTGATCCTGACCATCCTTGACAGATGTTGCTTCTGCAGTCTCCAAGGGATTCTTTTCAGGGGAAGAATTAGATGCGACCCTGTCAGAGTTTTCACTATCTATTGAGTTTTTGACACTGCTTTCCACCTTGGCCCTTGTATCATCATCTCCAATTTGTGTTTGGCTTGTGTTAGTAGTGGAACTACTACTGGGACTTGTCTCACTTTTCCTCTCTTTGTCACTGACAGTTCTAACATTTTCATTCTTCTTAGATTCCTCATCAGCCATTATTTTACAGACTCTGTCACAAATGCTATAATCCACAAGCACAACTATGGTCTTCTTATGCTGGAGTGCTTTGACTGTGGCTTTAGGACTTGTGGGAGGTGGATTTGTCGAATCTGTCCGTTGGTCAGTCGTCGGCTGCACTGACTTGTCCTTCTTACCACCTAGAAGACTGATGTAATTCTCTGATACTCCTTTTGATTTACTTCTTGTTTTAACTTTAGACTGTCTAATACCTATTGGTTTTTCACCATCCATATGCATTACATCTGCCATTTTCTGAGGCTTCTGTGTTTGCATTTTCACACTCTTAGGCTCCTGGACTTGTTTTTTCCCTCCAACACCAGCTGATATTTTGATATTACTTTTGTCTTCAAGAGTTGTAGATGTGACAGTGTTCTTGGAAGTCCCAAGGCCTGTTACTTTGTGTTCTCTGTTGCTTTTATTCGGAAATGACAACTGCTGTGCTACCTCGTAATTCTTCTTTGGAGTACACACAAGCTCCCATTCTTCTTCTTTTGCATGTTCCTGTATGTTTCTGATCAGGAAGTACAAGTTTTTCATCTCCTTGATTTTGTCTGGATGGCTCGTCTCAAATCCTTGTGGATCTGCATGGAATTGGGATTGTTCCTCCAAAGGAAGAATGATTCCCATTACACATTTCATTACAGCACAGCGATGGTACACAGGTACGAACGTCTCACTCTTAACCTTCTTCTTGTTGCTCTCTTCATCTGATGACTTGCAATCCTGGACTTCTTTGGCAATTATCCACTGGATGCATGACCACGCATTTTCTCTCTCACTTGAAGGAGTCTTTATTACTTTGAAGAAGGTTCTCTGCATTAGATTCATTTGAGCTTGTAATGATGGAGGAAGTTGTGTCATATCTGATTGCTGAAGCACAACAAGCTCTTCTGGTGTGAAGAGATATCTGAGGAGAACTCTGACCATTGGAACTACACCAACTGCTCTTTGGACGCATACCAGCTCCTGTATCACAGCTTGAAAAAAAGGTGTGGCGGATGAGGTCGAGGTTGCTTGCTCCTTTGCCTTTGCCTCCAATGCAGACACAGCCCTTTGAACATATGCATTAGTTAAACTGTCCACTTTGTATCTCAGCTTCTCTGTGACAAGTTCCTGTAGTTCCACCGTCAAGTTGTAGATCAAAGTCATCACAATTTTCCTTTCCATGCTTTCTTGAGAAGGGAATGATTTCTGAAAAGCATTTATCACTGCATCTACTTTGCTTCCTCTTAATTTCTTCAACTTTGCACTGTCCATTTCGACTCTTTCATCAGCTCTGAATGCCTCCATCAAGAGAGATCTCATTTTCTTCACCTTTCCTTCCAAGTCAGACATTGGTGGGTATGGTTTGGGTTTGTTGAGAACCTTCACTGTTGTCTCATTCTCAACCAATGTTTCATCCATAATCTGGGTTAACTGTTGTCCCAAGATCATTAGAGTATGCATTAGCCGTTCCTCTAGCAGATCATTAGCAGCTGCTTGTTCATTTCCTGGTACATCATATAGGAGGAAGAATGCACTCTTCAACATCTCAATGCTTTCATCAAGTGACAATGCTGCACTCTGGCCATCAAGCAGTTTTGCTCCAAAAATGTGCATTATCAGTTCATCTACTATTTCATCTTCTTCAAGCTTGTATGCCGTCAAATGTTTGTACAGTTGTACCAGACCTGGTCTTAGGATGTACCAATCCAGGGAGTCTACTGTGATGTCATCAACTTGTTTCATTTTGTCTTCCCTGCTACTTGTCCCACTGCATTGTCCGACATCATTTTCAGAGATTCTTGATGTCACGGAGTCTATTATGGGTGTAGTTTGGCCTGCTGACTTGGATGTTGTCTCACATGATGTATTTTTTCCACTGATTGGTTCAGAAGGTGCTTTCTCCTTCTTGGGGAAGACTCTTTCCGTAGGTTCAGGAGCCATGTCCTCGTCTGATGATTCTCCGCCTTCTGGATAATCATCCATTCCTCCTGTCCAGTCGTCCTCTTTGTCACTGATAAATGAGCCAGAACTATCTCCATCATCTCCACTTTTGAAAGTGTAACCTGATATCTTGTTCAGGTAGTTGATTGTTCTCATTGCTTGATTCCAAGCTTTCTCTTTTTCAGTAGGCACTACTTCGTGGATTTTGAAGAAAAGCGCTTGAAGTAGTTTCATCTGAGAAGGTGTCATTTCATCCGCATCTCCCATAAGATCCTCTGGGTTGAATAGCTGCTGAACCAAGCTTCGAATCACAGTGACTGCATTGTCCTTACTCTCCATGACATGACCTCTGGCATCGTCTGTTATCTGTTCCTCTAGGGCACTAGGACTGGTATGGATCAATGTTTCTACTTTCTCGTCTTCTTGTAGAATTTGCTGCCTCAACTTCCTGTTCTTCTTGTCAATCGTGTTGCTGCACATTTGCCACAGCTTCTCCTCTTTGTGTTCAGGGACTGATGCAACTGTAAAGACAACATGCTTCAAGACATCCATCCTTATTGGATCAAGCTGCAGCCATCCAGGAGTGCCAGAACAACTACCGAAGGCAAGTTCTTCGGTGCTAAAGAAGCTCTTTCTCATGTGATCTGAGATGAACAAGCACTTGCCAACCTCACCAGATGGAAGCCATGGAAATTCTTCTTGAATGAATGCGTCACAATCAAGATCTGCTGATCTTTGAGATTCTGTCTTGGACTCGTTATTCTTATACAAAGTTGCATGAGCAGCTTCTTCAACAGCTGTCTTCTTTGATTTCCTAGTCCATACATTGCAAAGTGAGCTTCTGTTTTCCTTACACACATCTTCAATGATTTGCTTGATTAGTGTCCAGCATTGGTCCTTTTCTTCTTCACCATACACCTGGGAGAAGACAGCTTCAATTTCTATCCTTTTCTTCTCATGCAGTTCCATATTCTTTGCTACATTGTCAATCTCGGTTTCAGTCAAGATTCGTTGAATCAACAATCTCACAACAACTTCCTTGCTCCACTTGTAGCATTTCATTAAGCGAATGGATGTTTCTTTTACATCTCCTATCGATCTTAGCTGTCTCAGCTTGCTCTCAGCTTCTTGCTGAGCATACATGTATTTTGATGGATTAGTCTTGTCTTGCAGCTGTGTAGACTCATCTCCAGACTTGGTGCTCTCACTTTCTTCCAGTTCATCATTACTTCTTATAGGCTTCTCATACAGTTTCCCACTTTCTACAAGGCAAGAGATGGTCTTCATTGCCTCTATCCAGCTCTCCCCTAGCTTGTCTATCGATATTGAGCATATGCTCCAGTATACCGCTCTAATCAATTTCATCTTACTAGGAGCTCGGTAGAGGAATTGGTCATAATCTTCATCTTTGCGTATGAAATGGTTCAACAACTTCTTAAGAACTTCTGAATGGTCCTCGGCACAAAGCAACAGATCTCTGCGGAGCCCACCTTTGATAAGAGTCGTACACGAAATCATCTGAAATCCAGTTTCAGAATCTTGTTTCTGTGCTTGAATTCTGGACTTTGAGCTGATAAGAACAGTTGCACATTCAAGCTCCTTCTCAACTTTTCTGTCTTCTGTCACAAAGTGTGAACCTTTGTACTTGAGTGCTTGGTCAATATCATTATGAATTCTATCCCATGTTCTCTGATGTGCTGATGGGGCAATACCTGCAATTGCAAAGGTAGTACATTTAAGAACAGCAAGCCTCTTTGGATCAAGGGTACACAGTCCTCGAGTTCCAGCAGTATTACCCGTCAACAGTTCTTCCCGAGAAAACATTTTCTCCATCAACTTACAGGCTATGTAGACACATCTCTCAAATTTGTACTGTGGGAGATTCTTAAGTTCGTCATCAAGAATTTCCCTGCACATCTTGGACCTTTCTGCTGCTGAAAATGTTGATTTCTCAATACTTGTACTGGCAGGTTCTGTCCGACACAGTTCCTGATTGGTTTCTTCAGCACTAAATGTGTACTCACATTGTTTGGCACACTTCTCTACCATTACTTGTATCTTCTGTGGTGTCTGTCTGCCCCAATAATCAGAGACTGTTGCTTCATTCAGATCTTGGATGTGATTGATTAAACAGCAGGATGCAGCAGAGTCAGCAGGATCATAGAACTGGGAGTATCCAGTTTCAAACACTTTCATCTTGAATGAATCTAATGATCTCACGTTCTTTGCACATCCAAGAAGTTCATCCTCGGTGAAGATGTATGCAGCAAGAAATCTTACAAGAATGTCTGGATTCCATGAATAACACTGGAGCAAGCTCATAAACTGAGGACGTAAAGTTAACTGTGATTCATGATGTGTGCCACTTCCACTAGCATTCGGTTGAGACAATGCACCCTTCTCTGTGATACCCTTTCTCTGTAATTCACTAGCTTGGCCAATGACATCACCACTTCTAATCTTATTGGCATGCTTCTGTTTCTTAGGTTTTGCCCTATCCAGCAGGAGAGGCCTTTGCTGGGTGGCTTTCACTCTATGGCCGGGACGAAGCTCAGATATTGCATGTGGCAGCGTTCTACCATTCTTTTCCAGATTTTGACATGCTATGGTGAAGTAAGCCCAGAAGTTCCACCATAATATATCAGCTGCTTCGTCACTTTCTGGGGGGAAGATTGAGAAGTACACTTTTCGAATGATGGCGATTTTCATCCTGTCAAACACCCTCTGCTTCCGTCTCCTCCTTTCATGGAATCTTCTGATCTCGGGTACAGTGTATACGTTCTGTGTTATGAACTCTACTGCTTCACCCTTAGCAATATTTCTCTCTCTGCAGGCTTCTTTCAGAGTTTGTGTCCAATTACCTTCTTCCTGTGTCATTACAGTTGCTCCAAGATTTGACTCGGTCACTGGTCTTCCATAAACCAGTGCCACTGTCTCTCCCTCTTCTGTTATCAAAGTATATGGTTGTCCACGTTCGTCTCCACAGCTCACAGGTCCACTAGATACTTTGTCACTTGCATTTATTACAACTGGAACAGAAGTTCCAGATTTAGTGAAGAATGGCACATCGTCTTCAATGATGGAGTTGGCATTGCTTGCACGAGTGACGTTCATATTCAACTGAGAAGCATGTAGATGATCTGTGTTAACTCTACTTTTTTTTGGCCGTCCAACCTGCCGTTGTGAATCAGATGTTCTCTTAATATGCCTTTTCCTATATTCCTGTTGCAGCTTTTCCTTGCGGATTTGAAGTTTCTTTAGCCTTTTGTATTTTTCAGTCAGAACAACTTTACCAAGTAAAGTGTTCCTAACCATTTGCCTGATCTTATCAACAACACGTGCTAGGTGGGCCCAGCATTGGCACCACAACTGGAAAGGATCCACGGTACAATTATCATAAAGCTCAAAATACACCTGTCGCAAAATCGCCATTTTCAATGGGCAGAAAACAGTCTGCTTGGCTCTTTTCCGATGATGGATGTTGATGATATCATCTTTTGAGTACAGTTCCTTCACAACTAGCTGTACTACTTGTTCCCTGGTAAGCTGTTGTATATGGCAAGTATGTTTCAATTTCTTTTTCCAATTCTCTTCCTTTGATGTCATGACATGGGATCCTATTTTGCCAAGTGACATAGGGGTACCTAGAGGTAGTGGCACCTCTTCCCCGCTCTCGGTTTCTGCTACTCTTGAAGTAGTTGGCAATCGATCAGTGCGTGTCTTCTGCCAAGCCCGTCTCTTCTGCAAATTCCAGCTCTTTGGACTCTCAGACATCTTTTGACCCTCAGACATCACTGCACCAGTATGAATGAAAAGAGGAATATCCTCATCTCCCTCATCACCTTTTTCTTTTTCTTCTGAAGATGAAGAGTAGGACGAGTTGGACATTCCTCCACTCTGTGAGCTATCGTCATCAGAATCATCCGTTTTATTCTGATCTCTTGTGTCCATCTTACTGACAAATGTCCGAGGAACAGATATCAGTGAAACAAACCTTCTGTTGTTTAGCATCATACTTTGAACACTTCTTGCTAAGGATGACCAACAGTGAGCCCACTCGCTTTCTTCTGCTTCCGGGTTGCAAAGTGGAAATAAGCTGAAGTAGGACGATCTGATTTTTGTCAGCTTGAGAATCTTCAAAGGTAGCTTTCTGAGGGCAAGGCACACAGGAACAGATGAAATGTCCTCCTGATTGATGAGATTCATGACAAGCTGATTCACAGCCACTTCTCTGGCCTGAGAATCAGAGCTCCCTTGGATGTTGTCTCTAATGTGGTTAATTTCTGCAACTTCATCTGCATTGAGCACCATTGCACCAAGTTCCTCCTTACGGCATGGACATCCCAGGAATGAGTATGCATTGTCCCTGACATTTTCCTCTTTGATTCTGACATTGTTCACAATGCCGCTTGATGATACTTCTGAGGAGCTGCCCAACAGAGATGCCATATGATTTGTACATCTTTTCCAAATTCCACACTGCACTTCATGAGTGTCATGTGAAAATACAATGAAAATGCACTGTCTTAGAACAGCAAGATACATTGCTACACTTCTAGAGTCAGCTGACTGGTTTTGAACATTGCCTTCTTCTGTGATGATTTTGGTGAGTATATGCTGCAGGATGGATTCTCTCTTGCCTCTATCAGCGATTTCTTTCACAACATCGAGATGGACTGCAATCACTTTACTCATAACATATGCACCCAGGTTTTCTGGGAGCATTGTTTCAAAACCGGGGCTTTTCTCAATACCTTGTGCTGATCTTATGCTGTCCTGTTTGCATGCCCTGCTTGTACTTGGGTACCCTTGCTTCATATTCTCCTTCAACTCACTCTTCAACTTTCTATGGGATTTGATCCTCACCTCAGTTGGTAGCATTAGACATCTGAGAGTTGCAGATTCTGCTTCGATTCTTTCAAGAATCTTATTCATGAGTACGCGAGCCATGAGCCACTCCTTCACGCTTTCCACTTTGGCAATTGGAGCGGTCAATGTGCAAGATTCACCGTAGCAAATGGCAAAGAATGCTTGTCTTAAGAACGCTAACTTAACACCAACTCCTGAAAGTTCTGGCATTTCTGTCTTTTTGGCAATGAGCAGGAGTTCATCAGGAGAAAGGATTGTCTCAAGAAGTTGTTCCACTTGTTGCTTCTTAGACAACGCTTGGTTTCCTGGGTTGCGTATGTCTTCCAACATTCCGTACTCTGAAGCAGTCATCACGTAGCAACCCAACTGACTCTCCATCAAGTAGTTCCAGCTGACTGAAGCTTCTTCTAAAGACATAAGAAAATAAATGAATGAAAAAACGAGTATTTCCAACTTGCTCTCCTTTAAATGAAAATGCATATTCATTGTAAGATTTATTGAAGTTTCAAAGTTTTAACTTCAACCCTAAAGTATTAAAGTTACTCTTTAATTAAAGCAGAAACAAAAATTAGAAAAAGAAAAAAAATAGGCTTGAAGGAAATTAGAAAAATGAAATGAAGAATTACACCAAGATGATGGACAGTTCTCATCAAGAAGAAAGCCTGTTTTACAAGACAAAGATTTTGATGGCACAATTAAAATGTTCTCAGGGAAACACATTTTCTAATCGATGCACTGTTTAAGTTGTTGCATGTACAGTGCTTCATCGAATACATTTCTTCTACAAAATCAAAATCAAGTAACTATTTTGAGAAACTTCACATTTATGACAAATACTGTTTATGAATTTCATAAAAATTTTCCATTTTTTTTTAAGGAAAACAAATAATAAAAAAACCCACATGCACATGAAAAACAAGTTACTATTTAATACTAAAGCTTGGGTAAAGACATGATGAATCAAGTTTCTGGTACATTTCAAATTATGAAATTTATCATTTAAAAATCCATTTATAGTAAAAGAATGACATACAACTCTCCCATTGGTATAAGGTTTGTTAATTCGTTATTAATTAAAACATTAAAAAAAAATTGTCTCCACGCTCCTAGTGGAGTTATCACCCCCTTCAGAGGTAGGAGCATAAAATGTTGCACACAACATGGTCACATGCACAAAATATAAGTTCAAGGTGGTATCAAACAGGCTTCTTGATATTATTCAAATCTACAAAATTCTATCTGAATATATCTTTTTACATTATTAAAAAAAAAGAACAAAAAGTAACAAATCACAAAATTATTTAACTTCAGATACTTTATCAATGAACTACATGTATAACTTACCCGCAAGTTTTCTTTGCTCAGCAAGTTCCTTCTGCTTCTCGCAGAGAATGGTCCTGACTCTTTCCTGCTCTTTACTCATCCAAATTTTGACTAGTTGAGGGTCTGTGTAACTCCCTTCTTTGGTCATCTGTATCCTCAGAAGGTTGGCTGTAGAGTCAAGTACATGTTTCATGACCCTTATCCTCTCTCCTTCACTCATTGGAGTTGATACATTTTCTCCAATTGTAATAGCGTAGGCATGCTGTAGGACGAACAGCCTAGACTTACAGAATGGTGCATAGCCCTCTTTACCAGTGGCACTGCAGAAAGCACGTTCGTAGTCAGAGAAGAGGACCTGAGATAACCTATTTAATTTCTCACTCTTTGCCAATCCAACATCACTAAAGGAGTTGACTGCTTCTTGTACTCTCCTAGGCTCATCAGCACCGATATTGTGGATGGTCAAAGCAGCTACATCAGTGAGGATTCTCTTGATCTGAGCTTCAATGCAAATCCGATAACCATACACTGCTGCAAACAGCACGCTAAACGCATGCAGCTCCTCGGGTGTCAGATCACGTACAGCTGGATTGTACAATGGACCAAAGCGATTAGAAGTTACAAACTTAAGTACTTCCAAGACCACATAGAGTCTATGTGCAGATACTTTTTGCAGTCTTTCCACAAGCATTTCCCCCTCATTCATTATCCGTGACCTCTTGCTTTGGTCTCCTGTAACATCCTCACATGGCCGTTTCATACCCTCTTTGTTGATGTTGGCTCGTTCAAGAATCACAGGGGACTCACACGAATCAAACTGAGTCACATGGTTATGTACTTCAGAAGTGGCAGCAGTATTAACTTCTCTTGGAACAGGGGACTCACACAAATCCAACTGAGTCACACGATTATGGACTACAGCAGTACGAACTTCTCTTGGAACAGGGGACTCACACGAATCCAACTGAGTCACATGATTATGGACTACAGCAGTATGAACTTCTCTTGGAACAGGGGACTCACTAGAACCCAACTGAGTCACATGGTTATGTACTTGAGGAGTGGCAGCAATACTAACTTCTCTTGGAACAGAGGACTCACAAGAATCCAACTGAGTCACACAATTATGGACTTCAGCATTGGCAACAGTACTAACTTCTCTAAAAACCTGTGATGCAACGTGTGGATGGAGAGATTGAGGTGAATTAACTACTGGATTAAGTGAAGATGAACTTGTGGTTAACAGGTGTGGATTCACAAGCACCCATGCTGGCATGGTAGTTGGCACTGCTATTTTGACTGATGTAAATTCAACTCTCATGGAATGCTGTTGGTTTTTCGGAGTTGTGTCCAGAGAGGATGCAGAAGGAGATGAACCTGATGGATTCACCGACGTCTTGGGGTGCTGGGGAGCCCGTCCTGAATTCACTGTAGTTGTTGCCTTCTTATCATTACTAGGCGAGCATTCTCTAAATTGGCAGGAGCTGGTGGCAGGATGTGGGTCATTTGGTTTATTCTTGGATGGACAAAGGATTGTTGAATGAGCTGCTTGTTGATATTGCAAAAATGCACTTTGAACAGATGGCCGTGGATTCGAGATAGTTGCAGGAGGATTGGGTTTTGTAGCAGATGTTTGTTGAATGCATTGTTTTCCTTCCTTGGCTTGGCAATTCTGCAATAAAGTGAAGGATGGTCTTAAAACCTGATCTCTTTGAGAAGGGGGTAATTGATTATACTGAAGGTGAAGAATTCCTGGACAATGTGGATTTGCTACTGGCTGCTTTTGATTTACAATGATTGGTGCTGCCTGAAACCTCACGGGTGGTTGGGCTGGTGGCATATTCATATAACTGTATGTAAATGGCTGTGGTGCAGAAGAACATCCAGTTGGTGCAGCTGGAACAGTGCTTGCGCTTGTCTGTAGAGGAATTGACTGCATTGGTGCCATTGGAACAGCATTTTCTTGGGTTGGAGGAAGAATCAATCTTACTGCTGGATTTAAAGACCCAAATCTTGTTGATTCAGTTGGTACAGTACTTAAACTGGTTAGTGGGGGCATTGATGCAACTGGCACAGTGCTTACACTCGTCTGCACAGGAAATGACTGCACTGGTGCCCTTGAAACAGCATTTTGACGGTTCAGAAAAAACTGTGTTGATGCAATTGGTGTAGTGTTTATGGTGGTCAGTTTGGGCATTGGTCGTACTGAATTGATTGGAACAGGGCTGACATTAGTTGATGGAGGAACCAATCGTGTCGAGGCATTTGGAACAGAGCTTCTACTGGTAGGTGGAAGAAACAATCGTGTTGATGCACATGGAACACTGCTTGCACTGGTAGGTGCCTTGGCTGATGTGGTTGATGCAAGTGATACAGAGGAATAGTCATGTTCAGGATCAGTCACTATCTTGATAAGCTTAGAATGACCATCGACTTTCTCAACACTGGTGAATCTTTGTATATGAAGTCTACCTTGACCCTGTGTGGTAGATGGTACTCGGTCACAAGTGTTTTGAACTACATCTTTTCCTCCACTCAAACTACTCTGAGCTCCTGAGGACTTGCCAGATTCTTCATCATATCGGGGCCTTTTATTCGTGGTACTTCTTCGACCTTCAGGTGATGGTCTCTTGGGTTTCTTGGAAGGACTTTCTACCCAATTTACAGCTCCAGAACTGAATCTCATACAATTTGAAATATGATCTATAATTGCAGTGCCTCCTTTTAAATCCATGCGAAGGACTGGATCATAATTCTTGTTCGTGTTATCAATATTGGTATTCGCATTCTCTGCATTGCATTCCTCTTCTGTAGGCTCATCTAAGTAAGAGTCAACTATCTGGGAAGCTGCCAATTGTCTTATTGAGCGTTGCTCTTGAACTACTATTGCTGAATAATCTCCACCATCTTCAATTGGTGTACTTTCTAGCACAATACCTTCCTTGCGAGTTACTGAACTTTGATGGCTATCATCATCTGTCATTTTGTCCTCTGCAGACGTGTCACTCACCATTGTAGCTCCTACAATTCCTTCCATTTCTTCTTCAGAACTTGCTGCTCCAGAGCTGCTGTCTGATAGTTCATCTAAAGCATATGAATCATCAAGTGCTGTTTCAGTTTCTCTCTGTTCAGCTGCCTTAGAATCAGTGCCGGACTCTATCCACTCATCTATAATGAGTGGTGCATCAGATTCTGTCTGTGAATCTATCACTGCTGCATCAGATTCTGTCTGAGAATCTACCATAGCTGCATCAGATCTGTTCTGTGTATCTGGTATGAGTGATGCATTATATTGTGTCTGCTCATCTGAACCAGGGGCACTTTCTGTTTCCATTTGCTCATTTGAAATGGGTGCTGTAATAGATTCTGTTTCTTCATCTGCAATGGGGGTTGTATTTGATTGCATTGGCGTATCTTTAATGAGTGCTGCAACCGATTGTGCTTGATCATCTACAAAGAGTTCACTTCCAGATATTGAATGCTCATCGGCAATGGGTGATGCACTGCGTTCACATAGCTCATCTACATCAGGTGCTGTAAGAGATTCTGTTTCTTCATCTGCAGCGGGGGTTGTATTTGGTTGCATTGGCTTATCTTTAATGAGTGCTGTAACCGATTGTGCTGGCTCATCTACAAATAGTTCACTTCCAGATATTGAATGCTCATCGGCTACAGGTGATACACTGCGTTCACATAGCTCATCTACATCAGGTGCTGTAAGAGATTCTGTTTTGTCAATTGCATCTGGAGTTGTACAAGATTCCATCTCATCGGAAACAGGTGCTACATGTATATTCAAGTCTGTCCTAGTATCAGCATTAGATTCTGTTTCTTCATCTGCAATGGGGGTTGTATTTGATTGCATTGGCGTATCTATTATGAGTGCTGTAACCGATTGTGCTGGCTCATCTACACAAAGTTCACTTTCAGATATTGAATGCTCATCGGCTATTGGTGGTGGCGCACTGCGTTCACATAGCTCATCTACATCAGGTGCTGTAAGTGATTCTGTTTTGCCAATTGCATCTGGAGTTGTACAAGAATCCATATCATTGGAAACAGGTGCTATATTCAAGTCTGTCCTATCTGCATTAGATGCTGTTTTCTCATCTGCAATTGGAATTTTATCTGATTCTGTTCGCTCAAGGGTAATCGTGGCAATTGGAGCATTGTCAGATCCCATTTTCTCATTTGCATTATGAGTTTGGTATGATTCTGTAGATTCAACTAAACTCTGGGTCACATCAGCTCCTATTTGCTCATCTGTATCTGATTTTGTCTGCTTGCTCTCATTAAGAGATGAATCTGAAACATGTGCTGTGTCATATTCTCTACGCTCGTCTCCAAGGGGTGTCGTATAAGAATCTGTTGGTTCATATACAATGGAAGAATCATCAGATTTTGTCTCAACAGCTGGTTCGTATGTTTCCATCTGCTCATTGGCAATAGGTGCAATAACAGATTCTTGTTCCTCAACTGCAATTGTGGATATATCAGATATAAGCTGATCATCTATATTAGTTGCGATTGCACGTTTTGTTGGCTCATCTACAAAGAGTGCACAGCTTGATTTCATCTGCTCATCTGCAATAACTTGTTCATCAGTTTCCATCTGCTCTTCTACAACAGGCAATGTACTACAAGATTCTGTCTTATTATCTGCAGGTAGTGATTTCAAAGATTCTATGTGGTCATCTGTAATAAGTGGTGTATCAGATTTGGCCTGTTCATCAGCACTGGGCACCTTATCATAGGCCATCTCGTCATCTACATCAGATTCTGTATCCTCATCTAAAATGAGTAGTTTATCAGATCCCATGTGCTCATCTCTGATGAGAATTGAATCAGACTTGTTCTGGTCATCTACAATGTATGGTAATTCTGATGCTGTTTGGTTATCTACGACGGGTGCTGTATCTGACTCTGATTGTTTATCTGCACTGAAGGGTTCATTCATTTCCATCTCTTCATCTGCAACTTCTGCTTTATCACGGGCCATCTGGTCATCTGCAATGTGAGCTGCATCAGAGTCTGATTCTGTTGGGTTATCTACGATTCGTGCTGTATCTGACTCTGATTGTTTATCTGCAATAAATGGTTCATTTATTTCCATCTCTTCGTCCCCAACTTGTGCTTTATCATGGGCCATCTGGTCATCTGCAACGTGAGCTACATCAGAGTCTGCTTTCCCATCAGCAATGAGTGGTTGATCAGACTCGGCCTGTTCATCAATGATTGATTCTTCAGATTCCATTTGCTCATCTGCAGTGGGTCCTGTAGTTGATCCTGTTTGTTGATCTGTCAGTATCACATCAGGTTTAATGGGTTCATTTGCGACAGGTTCTGTTTTTGATTCTGTCTGCAAAGCTGCCCTGAGAGCAGAAATAGATTCGCTTTGCGAAACTGTACTATCATTTTTCAATTCTTTTTGCTCCACATCCATGTTCACTGAAAGAGGTGCTTGACTTCCAAGGCGAAGTTCAGACACCTGCTGCGTACCTCCAGAAGATTCTGAGTCATCCATGTTGGCAGCAAACCTCTCACATCCACACAGGTAATGCAGCAATCAGTCTGCATAGAATAAAAATATATCAAAAGAACAAAATCATTTTCAACTTCAGATACCGGAAAATTGAGAGCAAGCATACATTTATATTTTCTCAGATAGTGAATTGTATACAGTGACATTTAATACTTGTGTAATCATGAAGCTAAAAGATACTTCTGACTCACAAGACTGTAAATCAAAGCAAATCTATGAGCATTACTCCTTGATTGGATTAGTTTCATTAAAATCAAAGTTAAATTGCTCCTTAAAGGGAAATCGGCCTTGATAACAAACTACTCTAAAAGGAAAGCAGAAAAATCAGAGAAGTAAACTGATTAAAGTTTAAATGAAATCAGACAAACAATAAGAAAGTTATGAATTTGTAAAAGTAATCACTGTAGGTATGGATTTTTTAAATTGACCAAATCGGTGATGTCTCTGTGATGTAGTGGCGGACCACTTTCCCATTTTTTCCACTACACAAAATGTTTAACTCAGGAGGGTCTTTCCTCCTTATAAGACGTAAAATAATATCCATATTGTATTTCAAGTAGTGCCCCAAGGGGGAAGGCACTTAAAAGAAAAAAGAAAATAAAGATGTATTTGCACACTGTCAATTTGAGATTTGCATGACTTATATTAGTGGTCTCGTAATTCAAACATTCATAACTCTCTTATTATTGGTCTGACTTACAATGTATATCAAACTTTCGCTATTCAGTTTATCCTAATTTTCTTTTTTTCTTCAACCAAATACACTTGTAGCAAGTGCTGGATTGCCTGTACTTATTTTCATATGATTCTATTTGACCCATTCAATTACATGGGTACGTTACTCTTGAATTTTATATGGGATAAAAATAGCTTGGACTTGCCAAGCGTACCAGTATTTCCCTGATAGCATGCACTCACTTTACATTGTGACTTCAGTGAAGTTCAGTCAGTTTCTTGGGTCAGGGGGGAAGCAGCACAGGATTATCAGGAAGAAACGCTCTGGAATAAAATGTTTGAAAGAACATATTTAAAGTGACTCAGTAACATTGCCTCAGATTCCGAAACAAAATTCTGGATTTAGCTCATGCTAAAATCATTATTATAAACCTTTAGGAATCCTACAACTTTTACAAGCAGATCGCGTATCTGATTATCAAGATATTTATGATTGGAAATTGAAATTTCTGAACATTTTCTGAAAGTTTTTAAACCACTACAGTTTATTAGGGAACATGAGTATGGTAAAACCGGTAACTCAAAAGATTTTTTACTTTTTGAGGCACTTCATGATCATTTTGAAGCACAATTTTTTTAGGGCTTCAATATTACCGGTACACTATATCACAGACACTGATAACACTTTAATAGGGCCATGCATCTCAGATTTAACCTTGTTAAGATCAGTATGAATATTGGCATGAAAATCAAGCAACGCCATTGCAAAACATGCTGCAACAGATTTAAAGCTGATCTAAAGTAATATCAACTTTTTAGAAATTAAATTGAAATTTAATGTAAATTTGTTCAGCTATTGCAATCAAAAGGTTGAATTTAAAGATCTGGTATGGGATTGAATTTTAAGAGAAGCCTAGCTTGATTTGATTCTTTATCACTGTTGTTGTTTGCACAAGCAAATATACAGTATGAAGTATTTACAAACTTGCTGGAAATCACATTCAGTTAAAATCTAATTCATCATTACACCTAGAGATTACATGTCAATTGTATTATTCTATAAATTGAAAATATGTGGTTTCCATGTCCTGTGTAACCTGTGCAATGCAATGTATGTTTTTTAATTTAATTCAATTCTCAATTTTATTAGTAATTATTTGGGATTTGCATTCAATTCATAATTTGTTGTACGTCTCTGAAACTAAAAGAAACTTGCAACTGCTGCTTCACCTAATTTCAGGAAGCTATACACATATACCCATGTATTATTCATGCACTCTGTCAAAACACATTAGATTTCTGGTTCTGTGACATTATTTATATAATCGCAATACTTATCAATATTTTTATTAATTAATCTACCATCTCGTAAGATTTTTGCGTTTAGTTCCAATTATTATATTTCTCATCATTGGTTGAAATTATGTTGTTATTGTCAATTTCAATATTTATCCAAACATGTCTTTTCTTCCTCTTCTTCTATTTCAGGCTTTATCTCATCATTAACCTGTATATTTTCATTTCCTTGTTGATATTTTTTGTGCAATCTTATTCCTACTTCTTCAATCATTGTGCATGCGCATATTATATAAGGAAGTTGTGAGCCGATGACAAGTCATCTAACCAAGTTTGATCATGTTCTTAACTATTAATAGAATAATATAATTTTAACATTTCACTTGAGGTATTACCAGATAACCAGCATGCACATACCTGCAAATCATTGCATGACATCAGTACCTGGGTAATGTTGGATGAGATCTCTCATGAAGACTGTGAAGCGGCCTTACTCAATGTCTCACCTACATAAGAAAAAAATACAGAGACTTTCTGTCAATCCTTAATACTTTCTTCAACACTTGCTTTTGAGTTTTTTTGAGGAATGATGTATCATACAGAGGTGATCTGAAATAAAGGGGGGGGGGGGGAGGGCATCACAGAATATTTGAGCTCAAAGGGAGCTCATGATCGAATGAGCAAATTCTGGAGAAATGCCTCATAATAACAAATCCTCCTTTAATAGACACACTGAAAAATATGTCTACTATAACTTAGTATAAGATAATGGTGCATCTTTATGCATAAAAGAAACTCACCAATACATATTTAATGATATTTTACATTCTACAATAAGAATTCATAGAAAAATTTTACATTTCAACTCTATTGGACTTGGAGAGTATTTTTTAAAAGATTTTTAATTTTTTTGGAAAAAGATTCAAACAGCAGGTTGGATCACATTTTTTCTTCTAAATGTAAAGAAGTAGTAATTCTAATTTCGACTCATTTGTTTTTTGACTCCTCTGGGCATCAATTCAATCACTTGAAATTATAATTTGAAGAAGTCTTTGAGTTTGAGTTTGATGGGAGAATGGGTGATTCCTCGTCGACTCCTAACCCAATTCATCCCATGTTGATTCAACATGAAGAGAACATACACATGCTAGTCAAAATTGTAATTGCTAGTCTATGCTACTCCTTTACATTTCGAAAAAATGTAACCCAATCCGCTGTTTGAATCTTTTTTACCTATGCATGCAGGTGCAGGTCAGGCTCCAGCTCTGGAGCTCGGACGCCTTCGGCGGGAGCTCCCTGGAGGTGGGAGCTCCCTGGAGGCTGGAGTTGATTACCCTATCACTGAGTATCAGAGACACTACCTAACGAAACGAAGGGTAAATCAGCTAGGCCTATAATTCGTCCTTGTTTTCACGAAGTGACGGTAGTGAGGAAAATCGTAACGCAAAGTGAATGCAATTTTTTTTCACTACCGTCACTTCGTGAAAACAGCAACGAATTATAACTTGGCTTACGTCTCTACCGTAGTACAGCTACATATCCAAGTAGCCTAGACTAGATCATCCTAAGTAAGAAAATTTCCCAAAACACTCAACACGCTCAAGACTCAACTAGTCTCTAGACTACTCTCGGCTCACTCTGCCTCTACAATTCTTCATTATAATTCTTCATTATAATTCATCATGATAACATTCAACTCCACCAGGGCCAGGGAGCTCAGCTCCGACGTCGGAGTTCAGGAGCTCACTGGTCCTGGAGTTAATAGCTCTCTCTCTCTCTCTATCTACTCTCGACTCTGGTCTCAAGATAACTAAGAACAGTAAGTAATTGGATCAACACCCACCAAACTAGCTTTGTCGCCGTCCATTTGATCCAAAAGTTCATTTCCCTCAGCTCAACCTGTCACAGATCAACCTCAACAGTTTTCTATATTTCAATCAATCCGCAATGCATATGAAGTTGAAAGCGGCAATTAGAATACACTCGACTATTAAAGCGTACGGCCTTTACGTACTGTATTTTGTAAACACGCACGACTAGACTAACTAGGCCATATACGACCGCAGCACATGCTTGCATGCTCAAAGCTAGGTGATCGTAGGCCTAGCGCGCGAGATTAGGCTTGATATCCAGGCTATAAATACATATTTTACCATGGTTCATCAGGATTATGAAAATTGCACAAAGTTCAAATTATAGGAGACTGGGAAGTCTAAATAACCGTATATCGAAGTATATAGCTTCCTCTCTTATTCGAAATTTAACAATTTAAAGCATATTAAAATATTCAAAAAGGAGTGTTCAAGTACGTAGACCTATATACACAAAGTTTTTGGTCCATAGACTTCCTTCTTCTTCTTCTTCCTCGGTAAATGCAACTTCATACAACGATCAGATTGCATCAGAAAAGAAAGTTTCATACTTAATTCACTCAGTTATGAATATTCTGCAGTGGTGGATCTAGTGGGGGGGGGGGGGTCTCCCTGGCCTCCAAAAACGGGTAAATTTAACCTTTTTTTGAAGAAAAAAAGACCACAGGCCCCTTCCCCTGCCCTGCATGGCTCAAGGGGATCGATCGAGGGGGGAATTTTGATTTTTAAAAATTTGCCTTTTTGTAAGCATAATATTTTATTTTGTAAATGTAAGTCTCACATATTATTTTACTCAATAGGCCAGCCACTTCTACATCATGTTTATGCTGTTTTCCCCATAAAATTATATAGTGTATATGTCTATATGTATATGCCCAGTATTACAGAAAGATGAAAGTTGTAAATTATTGAATCAATAAATTCACAGAATCTTAGCGAATAATACATGTAATTCAATTATATATGTATGTGTGGTCAGTGGAAAATATGTATCTCGGCACAAATGTTTGAGGATTATTGAAAAGAATAATTTGTTAAATTACTGACAATTTCAGTTGCCCTCATTACCAGTATATCAATTACACACACTTTAAATTAATTTCACTCACAGGGGGTCTCTCAGCAAGTTTTAATTGTACAGGTATATCATATATAAACAAATATTCTCCAAACTCTCTAAATGTCCGCTTTTTACATTTTACACAACTCTTATTTTCACTTTTATCTATCACTTTATCAGCTCTACTTTTCTCTCCATTTCTTTCACTCTTTCTCATATGAGGCTCTTTAATCTTCTTCCTTACACTTCCAATACATCTCACAGAACTAGTCCCTATACAAGCACTCTCTATTTAATAGACCAATTCACAAATGCATTTACATTATATTATATGATCCAACTTGAATGTAAGGAGATGGAAAGTACCGGTAAATGAAATATTTGCAATAATTTAGGTACCGTAACCCCTCCTTTCAATTACTTCAGGAAAGCGTTTGCACGCGTTAGGTTATCATGAACAACAATGATTAGGAAGTTATTCTTCAAGAAATTTGTGAATTGGTCTTGTCCATTCCAATGACAATTCTACTCAGTGCACCGTTTCTTAATATCAGATTTATATATTTTATTTCATGACAATCTAGTTGAATTACAGTAGATATTCACACTATGTAACTTCAATTACGCCCATAAGGTGTCGCAGTTCGACAGTTCAGTGGTTTGACTTGATTTGAATCACTAAGCTCATGGGCTCAAGTCCCTGTAACACATAAATCATGAATGGGCTTCTGCGAAGCATTGCTCTACATCTACCACTCTCAACCCAGGTGTAGTAGCAAGGAATCCTGTAAATGCTTAGAGCAATGCAATCACCTGTAGCAAAGGCTGGAGTGGAGGGCCCCTTTATTGGCACTTCATGGAGTGGGCATGATACACAAAGACAACATTGATACAATTTATGTTCATTGTCATAACATATCAAATATGGTTCTGCATCAGCCGTTCAACTCTCCTTCATCAAGTCAAATAGTATTGGGATATTGTGGAGTACATCTAGATGTATTGTGCACATTTCATTTTTCACATATAGTGTACAACAGAACCCACTTTATCCCTTGTGTAAATGGACAATTGAAAAAGTTAATGGTAGATTGTGTTCCATTTAACATGTATATGATTTGATGTCCACAAGGGTAGAAAATAGCTGTTTTTATGATTACTGATTAATAGGTCTTCAAAAGTTATGAGTAACCATATAAGAATATAATTATAAAATAGGGATGTTTAATAAAATAATCCTGTTAATGGTAAAATGCAGCGTCAGTGAAAGAGATATGAAACCATACTATAAACATGGTTTATTGATAATAGTCTTTCACAGTTATAATAATAATTTCTGGATAGTATCATTTAACCTGCCCAAACATATCTCATGACATAGGTCAAAAAGGGTGCTGGTAATTAGATAAATAGCTTTAGACGTATTATTTCACAAGATTTCTTGCAACTAAGACAATACAATGATGGAAAACGATGGTTATTCAATTCTTGTCTTATATCGTCTATATTTCTATTACATATAATATGACATACAAGAAATAAAACACAAAAAATACTTATATATTTTTCAATTGCAAAGAAAAGGTAGAGGGATGCAATCATGCAAACAATGTTGCTTTAACAATGGTTCACTGGCAACATGTCCTTCATTTATGCAATAAATGTGTAACAAAACCTGCTCAATGACAGCAAAGCTACCCAGACACAATAGTGTTTCAGATCAAGCAATTATGAAGACAGTGTCTGTAAAGTATTAAAATACTAAAACATGTATATATAGTTCTTGTATTTCATTCAGTTTTCATTTTGCCATAGATCCACTGACGTAATCTGCTGCTTGACTGCCTAACTCTTTAACTTTCTCTGGTCCTCTTGCTAACGATGAAAATGTCCACTTCACACCTAAGTAAGCAAGAAACAAAAACAAAAACTTATGGTTACCAAATCTGAAATGGAAAACAATTTTTAAAACATTTTTGATGTATGTCTCCAGGTTTCAACTTCTATTAAGAGATTAAACAAGATTAAATATACAGGACTAACTTCAAAATGAATTTACCATGCATACACTCAAACTGAACTTTGAACATGACATTTTGGTACTATAAATCTTTGAACTACTGCTCTGTTTGTTTCTTTTCATGCTAATACCCCCCCCCCCCAACAACAACAACAAAAACAAAAAAAAGAAAAAAGAAAAAAGAAGGAAATTGTATAAAAGGCAGATGTCAAGGAAGGGATTGAAGTAATCTGATAATCTTTGAAAGCAAACTAAGTTGATACCGCATGAAACCCACATTAAGTGTGTGTGGGTATGTCCACTTATTTCCCAGTGAAAGGTTTTTTTTACAAAGATTAACAAATTTAATGAAAATGATAGCATTTTATCTCACCTAGTTAAAAGGCAATCTAACGAGGTGAGTCAGGTCACTTAATTACTGTGACTACAATGTTTTCAATACAAATCATCCAATAATACTCTTTGGCAACAGTTTTCATTTCCGGTGGTTTAGATTTCGGATCTCAGTGTTGCGCCAAGCAATCATTTAAAGCACTTTGCATATAACCTAAATGTAAAGAAAAAAGGGAAAATAAAACAATTAAATACCTGAATTCCAGCTTTGCCTTGTATTACTTGCTAATTGCTCAGTTGATGGTATCTGCAAAATAGTAAGACCACAAATTTTCATTTCTATTGTAAATATACTTAATTCTGGCGAATCATCATTTCATTTTACAGATTGGAATAATACATATTATATATGTAAAACGTTTAACAGAATTCATGGATTCTAAATAGACCTAGTTTGTATTTTTGCAGAGCATAATTCACCATGCGAATGAATTTTTATCGATATCTTTGTCAAATCAACAGCTGTAAGGTGCAACCAAGGAAGAACCATTAATCTTGATTGTGCCTTAGATCTAAAACAAATTTTTAAAAAGTTAGAAATTCTTCTTAGCTTCACCTCTATTAAAATATGGTTGACAATTAACTCATCAAAAAGATCCCAATCCTATGACAAATAAAACAGCCTAGCCCAAAGTTTCTGTCTCTTTCGTTCGTTAGCCTCTGATTTGGGTAGGGTCGGCTCTAGGAGCTGACCCTAGAGCCGACCGTACCCAAATCAGAGGCTAACGAACGAAAGAGACAGAAAATTTGGGCTAAAAACAGCCCTGCATGAAAGTTACATGTACCATGTTTTGTTTATTTTATCAGAATGTAAAAATGAAGTAAAATACAAGTAAATTAATAATACCTGTCTGAGATATTCATCCTGTCTCTGTAGGGTGCCTGTTAGCTTGTTCATTGTTTTTGAACCATCAAATGAAGATCCCCAGATCCCTTGCTCAACTGATACGTAAAGTGCTCCTCCTCCTATTGCTATCTTGCAAAGCCCTCTGAAAAGTGAAAAAGAGACGAACACACGATGTTCAGTTTCAGGATATGGTAAACCAGGAAAACTGTTTCCATCAGACTACAATAGAATCAATACCTGTTGTAACTTACACTTAGGGTCTAAAGCCTAATACTATAGTAATAGTAATAATACAGGCTACAACTACATCCTGTTCCACAATCTTAATTTTAACAGAAGCAGATTAAAGTGAATGTTTGAGGAAAATTTTCATAAGAATAAGATTGTCATTTTAATTTTTATACGTTTGGCGGAAGGTTTTTTCATAAATCAGGAGATTCACATCGTTTGCTAGAGAGCGGGAGGGAGGGCATGGCGGCGGGAGTCTCCCACTACAAGCTGGTGGGACAGCGGGAGAATGAGCGTGAAGGCGTGAGACTCCCTCCAAAATTGGGAGGGTTGACAATGACAGAAGTCGGTAGACAGTACACTCCCGTTTAAAAACCCCAAATAACAAACACACAACACTATATCAACACAGCATGCACAGCGCTAGACCGAAAGCTTCAGTCTCTATACCGTCGGTTGTTCCACTGAGACTACGTCTGGCTCCACTAGACCTCTATAACCGGAGGTCTAGTGGAGCCAGACGTAGTCTCAGTGGAACAACCGACGGTATAGAGACTGAAGCTTTCGGTCTAGCACAGCGCAGTCTCCACCTTTGGCTTTGACTCAATCGATCTCCCCCTCTGACAAAGTCTGGTCTCGACCACTCCAGCAAAGCATACAGAGTCGAAGCTAAAAAAAGGCGTATTGACTGGGTCTCGACGTCTCTCGGCTCGCGGCTCATCCCAGGCACCGGGGAAATGCATGGCACGAGATACGACAGCCGCCATACTTAGCCAGAGCCCAGACAGGATTTCTAGTTTTCTAAAATTCTACGACTAAAATTATTCTGAAACTAAAAGGTGAGAGTTAATTTAACGTTTTTATCATACAGCAGGTGAATGTGAGATTACTAATATAAAATCTTAAACTTACTTCAAGATCGGAACAGCCATTTTAGATAGATTTTTAGATGATACTTCAGAATTTTAGCAGTTCGGTCGTGTCGCTGACTGGAGTGTACCGGTACAGTGTGTGCCAATACGGCCCGCGCCGCGCCGGGCTTGCTGGCCTAGTTAGCTAGCTAGCTAGCCATTCGATAACGCCGCAACAACGAGCTAGCATGTTGTTGTTGTTGTTGTTTTAATTTATAGGCGTTTTTCATTCAGAAGTGAATATTTACGCCTCTTCTCTCAGGATTTTTATTCCTTTAATATTTTGATATATAGATTTGGATAAATTGGATTTTTAAAAGCTAAACTTTTATTTAATGATGAAGAATTCAGTGGCTGGCGAGCAAAAGGCTTATCGGCTATATAGGACGCCCAAGGAGCATTCGGAGCAAACGCTAGTCTCGATACAAGACGCCGTTTTTCTATTTCCGTGACGACGTGGCGACTACAGCGCAATTTTTAGCAACAGGTTCGGTTTATCAGTTTATGAAAATTTCATGTTTTCGAAATATCATATTACGAATGCACTGTTGTAGCACTTGGCTTGGCATTATCAAATGATAAACTGTGTGTCTTGTCTATTAAAGTAAAATTATGTGCTGAAATTGTTTCTGTGACTCTACTTTCTTGCCCCACATGCTTGTTTTCATGTTTGTATAGAGGTGACAGCTTAAAATTCTCATTAATTTATAAAATGTTGTTGTTCAGAGCTACCAAGTATCACGCATTAGGCGTGACATCACGCATTTCGAGGGTCTGAAAATGCTCTTACGCACAACGTGTGCGCTAGATTTTGAAAAAACGCTATAGATACGTGTGTTATAGATCTACCCTCTTGCCGAATCATGAAAATGTCACGCTTTGCCGATCTTTGAACTTGGCATCTCTGAGTTGTTGTTTTGGTTTATAGGCGTTTATTATTCAGAAGTGAATATTTACGCATTATTATGTATAAGATAAGAACTAGTCTTGCCTCAAGCAGAGAGAGAGAGAGGTGAGACTGAATGAGAGACCTGGGGGGCAGGTCACGGTCAGTGAACGAGTGATGATTGAAAGTCACACTCAACGACAGAGAGGTCTGCAAATCGCTTATTTGTTCTGCACAATTGTTTTTATTAAAGCATTTTAACCTAATGTCTGTCAGAGCATACTGACACTCACTGACAGTGAGACTGTGAAGCCCAACTTTCTGTTAGTGTGAAACTATTTACAAGACACCGTCCAGCTGTAGTCGGCTAAAAAAAGGGCCTCAGGCCACCCCTCAAGAATTCTGTCCATGCTTGATTGTATGTTGAAGAATCATTAGTCATGAATAGTGCCAGTGTTTTTATGGGTGTAGATGAAAGAGAAGGCATAATTATGATATATGAGATATCTTTCCAACTCGATGGGAGAATGCATGGTTTGGTTCTTTTGAGTTGGGATCATCTCAGAAATTTGTGTTAAAGAGAAGGTTGAGTTCTGGGAAGAGATGAAAAATAATTTGTGAGCATTACTCATTCTTATTATGCAAGTGTGGAAGAACATCAGATAAGACATGTTCCCTGAAAAGCATGGCTCTTCAAATGCCCTCATATTCTAAATATGCATGTAACATCGTAAAAATCGGGGGGGGGGGGGGCCGGCTTTTTACGCCACGTGTTCTTGTAGTCCCATATACATCTTTCTGTGTACAGTGTTTGTAACTTTACCAAGACTTGGCCAAATTTCTTATCATTTTGATGATTCCAGAACCTTGCAATACACACAAATTCTTACATGTTAGATGATCAACCTTTTCTGGTCGGTTCCACACCGTTTCTTTCACAATGCAATCGCATGACCAGAACTCAACTTCATCTTTAAGGACAAGTTCATCCCTGGCCCTACATCAAGTTGATATTAATGGGGTCATTCCATGTCAAATCACCCAAAAAATCTGAAAATCTTAACCCGACCATTTTTGATTTTGATGAAACTTGGTGAACTTGTTGAGTGTGATCTCACAGCACCAAATCCCAAATTTTAGGTCAATCGGGTGAGGGGTTTGGGAGATACGGCCCACCAAATTTTGAGTTTTTTTCAAAAATGGGGGTGGTAGGCCTACCTTTGAACCCTTGTATCTCGGGACCTAATGGGTCAATCTTCTCAAAATTTGTATTGTTGGAAAGGGTATTCAATAAGGATTCCAAATCTGCCGCCATTTTGAAGATTCGTACATGTTGGGGTACTTTGACCTCTTGACCTCAGATTTGACCTTGAAATTGACCTTGTGGATCACGTAACTTTGACAACATTTTTCATGAAATGTTATCTCTGACATGTTTACTAAAACATATAAAAGTTTCAGAGATATAATATTTTTTGTTTTGGAGCAATAAGGATTGAAAGTATCTAGCTCACAGATATTCACAATAAGCCCTATTATAATGTATACAATACATGCAATATGCACAGTACAACATACATCTTCCACATGCTTTTTTGTTTTAGTCATATCCATCCTAAATGTCAGCGGTACTTGTATAGAAATAAAATGACAAGTTCATATAGGCCTAAAGGGTTAACAGGATGTATGGCTTTAGACCTCTGAGTCAGTTCTAGGATAATTACCCCCTGGAAAATTCCTCCCCCCGGAAAACTACCCTCTAAGGACAATTACCCCAGAGGACAATTACCTCCCCCCCCCCCCCCCTATTTGTTAAAGGGGAAGTCCATCCTGATAATAAAGTGGTTTTAATCAAAGCAGATTTTTTTATTATTCTTGAGGGGTAATTTTCCCAGGGGGGGGGGGGGGGGGGGGTAATTGTCCTAGGGGTAAATTGTACGGGGGTTAATTGTCCTTGGGGGGGGGGGGGGGACAGATTGTCCTAGGAGGTAATTTTCTGGGGGGTAATAATCCTCTGGGTGTGATAGTCCTTGGGGGGGTAATTGTCCTCGGGGGGGGGGGGGGGGACATTTCCTGAAGGTTAATTTTCCAGGGGGTAATTATCCTAGAACCGACTCAGAGGCCTAAAGCCATACATCCTGTTAACCACTATTGTGAAGATTGACCCATTAGGTCCCGAGATACAAGGGTTCAAAGGTAGGCCCGCCACCCCCATTTTTGAAAAAAACTCAAAATTTGGTGGGCCGTATCTCCCAAACCCCTCACCCGATTGACCTAAAATTTGGGATTTGGTGCTGTGAGATCACACTCAACAAGTTCACCAAGTTTCATCAAAATCAAAAATGGTCAGGTTAAAACCATTGGGTGATTTGACATGGAATGACCCAATGATTGTATTTTTAGAAAAACATGATGGTATCTATTTTTTCATTTGAAGATTTCTCAAAATCAACAACTGCATGAAATTGCTTTTACAGTATAGCTACATGTTAAAGGTATTACAAAGTTTTGGTATGGGGTCATGAATTCGGTTCACATTAAAATATTGAAAGCATATGCGTTCCTACAATATTCATTGATCGTTGTCGCGGTTAAAATCGAGTCTGAAGTTATGAAATGATAAATAATAAACTCTCTATGTTGTATAGCTCCCTCTCAAGGACAAGATATTAATTTAGCTATGAAACAATGTTTCTTGACTAAAATCGACCGTTTAGCTATTCCCGTTTGAAAATTATATATCACAACTACATATTCTGAGATTTTCATGGTCGCAGCTACCATTGTATACGGCCAAAGGAGCTATTTGAAATTTATCAAAATTTACCGGGAGCACCGGTAAATTCTTATATTCAATTTTTCTCGAAAACAGAAGTGTTTTAGGGGCTAATTTTTTAGTGCTTATAATACATCCACAGGGGCATCCAAATATATGAAAATTGTAAAGATTCACTATCCACCCAATTTTCAAAATTTCCCAAAACTTTGTATTACCTTTAATGTGTTAAGATTTTATCAAACTTCACTGAGAAGTGAGAGGACAATAATAATGTTTACAGTTATGTATTTGGGGTGTTGAGATTTTCTTCAGGAAAAAAAATTGGGATTGGAATATTTTGTGTAAAATAAAAAATAGAGTAAGTCTAGATTTCAAAATGAGTTTTCAAAATGGGTAGGGATGTTAAAATGTGTGAAAATTCATATCTTTCTTATTCTTTATTGGGTTTTACCTAAATCTGATAATTTCTAATCAATGGTTGGGTGGTTTGGGTGTTAATGGCAGTGGGCTGAGATGGGATGGAAGTGAACAAAAATCACTTAAGTATTCCCCTCTAGCTCTGAGCACATTGTGTTCTTCTGGATAGAGATTGTGACAAAGCAGTTCACAGGAGGGTATCAAATTCAAATTCCCTAAAACATGCATTTTATCAAAAATTACTGTTTCATGATGAAATTTCCTTTCCATCATCTGTTAACTGTAATCTATGAGTAGAATGTCAAACTCCCACGATCCTAAAGAGATTTTTTTTTGCATCCTGATGAGCCCTGATTTTCATATGCTATTTGTTTTCTTTCAGCTACCATACAACATGGCAACCAAACTAGTCCAGTGGCTCACAGTCTTTTTTCTTGTTGCCAGTATTTGGAGTGCCCTGTTGTTTGACCTCATCCCAATTCGGTTGGATGATACATTAAAAGAAGTCATATGGCCGGTGAGTGTCAAAATTTGTTTCCAGTTGTGATTTTAGGAAGAAGGAGTGTAGTGTTGTTATCATGGACAAGTGGCAGCATCACACATTGTTTGTATCAATTGGTGAAATTATTATTTGGTTTATGTGTTTAGTGTTTGACAATTGGAAACAAACCGTAATTATAATTACATGTATGTCCACTTCGTTTGCAAACTTTTATTACAGACTGATTAAAAGTATGTATGGTACCGGTATATTCATTGCACTTTTGTATAAGCAATTGACTTATTTACTTTGATTTATTCTTCTTTTAGGTGACCCCCATTCTACTCAGTAATTTCTTAAAAGTTTTAATGTTCACTTTACGATTAACCACAAAAACATGTTTAATATTTTAAGTTGTTTGATCCCTAGGAATATGTTAAAAAGCGCATACCTATATGATTTGTATTATTTGAATCATGGGTTACATGTTCATCTTATCGATCATGATTTAAATTCTACAATCCTTCTTTTTTTCTTCCACAGTTCCCAGCGTATTTTCTTGTAGTATTTGGGGTAAGTTCCAAATTTGTTTGTTACCATGATGATTCATAGTTTTCTGTACACAAACATCAGGTAGATCTACATTGCATTGTTTTTGTAATCTAAATTTACCTGATGTGTTCTTACTGTAGTTTGGTTGAAGGAGTTAGAGGTTTCCTCATTAAGATGTTATGCCAAAATATGTAAAACATGAAGTTTAGCATGCATAAGAAAACCTTGAACTTGTTTGTCATCAAAACGCAAAGTACAAGACTCATATAGTTTTCTTTACAAAGTATAAAAGTACTTGATCTGCTTATTCGTGATAGTCGACTTCAGACTATGTTTCCAATTTGCAGGTTTAGGCATGGCTGGGTTGTGGGTGGGGGAGGGGGAGGGGGTAGTAGGGTCAGTGTGGTGTTTTTGTGTATTATTAGTATGAAACAAAGGATGTTGAACATATTTTTGGTGATGTTATAGTCATGATATTCATCCACTTTTACGTTTTTTTTTATATTTACCTGGTAGTGCTTTTCCCTTGGAACCATTGGATATCGAGTTGCTACTTTTAATGATTGCGAAGATGCCGTAGTTTCACTTAAAGAGGTAAATATTTCTTACAATACATATTTCATCGAACAGCTATACATTCCCTTTCATTTTAGTTTCCTATGCCTAATAGTTAGAATATCTTTAGATGTCATAATTACCATGGATATACAAATATAGATATTGGACTGTTTACCAATGTTCAACCTATCCCTAGTTATGTTTAGATTTATAGCAGAGTTCCCAATTCTTTACAGATCTACACAAAAATGGTACTTATGAACAAGGTTGACACATCTTTTTTTATAGAGGCACATTAAAACCTCACCCCAAAGAATAAGTGTAGGTATTTTGAAAAATGAGATGTATGCCTGTCCTTTGATGTACAATATTCCTTACATAAATGTACAAGAGATATATGATATATAGAGCACCAACTTATTTATGCAATTTGCGTTCCGGCAATTGTAGTACAAAGGATAATAGCAGGTGAATGAAATGTTTCATCACGACACACAGCTAGGAAGGAAGCATCCATAGATTTTAATACATTTACTTGATAAACTACTTCACTTAGTATTCCATGTTATAAAAAAAAATGGTGATGCCCATGTTGCGCTGATAATCTGTACATTATTCTTGCGTTATGCCTCTCTCATACACTTTGGTGGGGAATCTTGTAGATTAAAGGTACTATGTCCCTTTTGCAGCCAACCTCAAATTATGTAGAACTTTGCAGGAATTATTAATATGTCATGTATGTCCTATCTGTGAAATTTAAATGTTAGCAGTGTTGTCATATTCAAATTATGCAAGAAAACCTGTTTACTTGCTAGACTTCACTGTCAGACACTATTGAGTGACTGACTGGCTGTTTTTCTTCTTTGGTAATAACATACATGAAAAGAGTTGTAAAGGGTACATGAGCATTTGTCTACATCAATAACCCACTTCTTGTGATGGCCAAGATTAAACTGATTGAATCTTTGCGCAGCATAAAACGTATGACCATTCGGTACAATTGTCTGAAAATCAAGACTATTACTTTTGGGCTCTATAGCCCTAAAGTCGATTTGACAACTAATAGTCGTTATTTTCCCACTTGAAGACATTTTCAAGCCCCACCTTTTTTAGGGAAGTTCTAAATTAGTATTACCTTTCAAATGCAGTTGGAATTTAACTTTTTCATTTTTTTGGCCTGCAAATGGGACATAGTACCTTTAATGGGTAAGAATATAATATATCTCTCAGAATAAGTAAAGTTATTTCTTGGGGTGAGGTTTCCTATAATCACTCTGCAACTACACATATGTGAATTAATAGAGCTATTTGAAGATGTATCACTAATTTCACTAATATCACTAAGTTATTCCACAAGAATATGTGTGTGATGACCATTGTAAAGAACAAAATGACTAGGAGACTAAGGGCTGTTTTCATTTTCAGTAAAACATGTTGACAGATGTTGATGAAGAAGAGTACTACAGTGGTGTATTTTGAAAGAAGGAGTGGAATTATAGTTCTTTGAGATATGAACATGGTTGTAGGTCAATTAGCCCAGCTATAATTTGTAAAAATGGGATAATTTCTACATTTTGTATATTTAATGTACCAGTATTAATGTTACATTCTTTTTGCTAGTTGAAGTAAACCTATATGAAAGTGTCGTAGTCGAGTGGTTTAAGCACTTGACTCGAAATTCAAAGGTCGTGGTTCCCCAATACGTCACTAATGTCCTTTGGCAAGGCATTAATCTTCATTTGCCACACTCGACCCAGGTGAGGTAAATGGTTACCTGGCATGAATTAATTCCTTGAAATGCTGGAGCACTGTAATGGCAGCTTGTAGCTTCATCAGACACTGCTTTGGCAGCTAGGCTAAAGCCAGGGTAATAATGAATGCGTCTCAGGATAGAATTTCTAGACAGACTGTGCTATAGAAATGCATATCATTATTATATCTCCGAAGACCGCTAATACCTTATGATTTATTTTGTGTTTTGTTTTCTTTGTTTTTCAGGAACTCAAAGAAGCAAGGAAAGATCTGACCAGCAAAGGATTTACATTCTCATGACACGGTGGAATGTATAGACTCTAGAAATAATTGAAACATCTCAACAGCCGTATTTACTTTATAAAGCAATTGATTTAAACCTAAAGATGATAATTGCCACTGTGTCCCGATACTCTTGTGTTTGTACTCCAGTTTTCATTCCATGCTTTTGGCTGTAAATTTGTAATGGTTGGAAATCATGAATACAGAATGGTCTTTATATTCAAACTCATCAGGAGATATGTGCACCAAGTATCAGGAACCCATCAAGTTGCTGGCGGCAACAAGAGGAATGATTGCCCAGAGGATTTAATATGATGGTATCCACAAGTGGAAGTTTGCTCAGTGTAGTTTGATTCATTATAGCAAATATAGCAAGCAAATCTTCAATGGTTATCCGTTTATTTTTTGGATAGGATAGGGTGTACTATGATCTTATACTTAAAGGGAAATCCAACCTGAACAACAAACTAATATAATAGAAAGCAGATAAATCAGAGAAGCACACTGGTGAAAATTTGAACAAAATTGGACATAAGATAAGAAAGTTAGGAATCAAATATTTAATATTTATATGTTATGTAGTGCCCGAAAGGAGAAATTTATTTTTGTAAACAACAAATTGGAGATGAGTCTGCATATGTCACAATCTAGTGCCCAAATTGCCAATTTGAGATTCGCATAGATACAGTGACCTAATAATTCACACTTGTATAACTTTCTTATTATTATCACATTTGTTTCATATATTAATATTTATGTGGGGGAAGGTTTTTTTTTCTTGTTATTTCTCTTTCTATAAGCCTGAATCTTGCTATAGTAGCAAGTTATGTACCGGTGAGGAGCCTGCTTGCTTTAAACCAGGGCCCGTCTTGTAAAGAGTTGAGATCGATCTGAATTAATCGCAAGACCTCCAATCAAATGCAAGTTTACAGTCTCGTATCTCTTATGTACATACAGTAGTTGAGATTGATATTAATCGCAAATAAGTTCTGATTAACCGTAACTGATTAAAAGACGGGGCAATATGTACTGCTCTAAATAGATGCACTCACTACAAAGAGATACTGTCCATATAATTTGTGAAGACTAAGTCATGGAACTCATTGAACAACAAATAAGTAAATCATAATATGTAAAGGGCATTTTTTTCGTTGGTTCAGGTATTTGTAAAAAATCCTGAAACTGAGAAAGTAAGCATATTGCGGTATTAAACAAATCTTATTAACTTTGATGCTAACTTTGAGCATAAAAGTTGAATATCAGTGCTTCATATGGATGATGTATTTAAAAATTTTAACCCCATGTTTTGTTGTATTGTGTCTGTCTCTATCAATGTGTCCATTAAAAAAAAACTTGTAATAAAACTATACATCTCAAAAATTCACCTAAGTCTCAAGTTCATAGACATTTCCATTGACATTCAATAGGATTTCTAAGAACTTAAACAACGGTTTCATAAATATGGCCCTGTTGTGTTCATGCCTTTCTGCTTGTTTGTACTGCTTGTGTCATTTTAACTGTTATTGCTATTTGATTTATGCCAAAGTGGTTTCTAGAAAGATATGACATATACTGTATATGTAATTAATGGTAATAGAATTTCTTCCATATTTGTCTGTATAATGTGCTTTTTTTAGGTTTGCCGAATCAATTTTTTGTGTATATACATGTAAACCGACTTGTATTTCAAACTGTAGGTCGCAATAAAACTGACTAGAATTATAATCATTAAATGGACAAGTCTGACTGAATGTTATTATTTGAATATGTACATGTAAGTCTACAGCTCTGATCCCCACCCCCCCCCCCATCTTTTTAGGGGTACAGGTATAAGTTCTTGGTGAAAGTGATACTAGTACTAAACCTCAAGGCATGATGCATGTACTTGCCTGCACTTTCGAGTCAGTGACACATCAAATTGTATAAGTATTAGAGCAAAGTCCCAATTGATCATAGACTGTCATTTCATTGTTTAATTGTGCAGGTTGATGGTGAATTTAGAAGAAAAATAAGGACCATAAAAGAGAAATATTTCTAGCACCAATTTTCAATTTATTTCAAGCACAAGTCATTGATACATCTCCATATATCATGTTTGTTCATGCTACATACATTTTTTATAGATATTTATATTTATTTTTTATACATAATTAAAAAATTTGTATTCCTTTCATAACCACAGAAAACAAAATTTGGTCCTTGATTATCTTCTTCAAACACAATTCTGGATTGCAAATAAGAAGAGAGATAGCTGGGAAGGCAGAAAAAATACATGGAATCTTGGAGGGATGTAGAGTTGTGGAAACTACACAATTAAATCTGCCAATATTGATTTTAAAATTAAAAAAAAAAATCCTCTGACGATTGAAGAAAGGGGTGGAGAGGGGAAGAAAAATAGAGAAAAAGGTAGTCAAAAGGAGAGAGAGAGAGAGACGGACAGATTGGGGGAGGGTAGGGGGAAAAAAGGAAGGAGTTTTGGTAAAAGTGATGCCTCAACCTAATGCAAATATTGCTCCTTCATTCATGTATCATAAATGCAAGAATACATTTTCTTTTTGTGAACATTTATTTCCAAAGAGGTAATAAGATATCATTGAATATTTCCTGTATAACATAGGCTGATACATTTAAAAGATTTAAAAATACAAAAACATGCAGAATGATGCAGCTTGGAAGCATTTGTGCAAAGACAAAATCCACTTAATGAAAAGCCTATATGGAAAATTACTTCATTCCTTTAATTCAATCCAATGACCGGGGTAATAGTTTATTTGTAAAGCGCTTAGAGACATTTGTATTAAGCGCTATATAAAAATTAAATATTATTATTATTATTATTAATTCTGGGTATTGGTATAATTGATAATTACAAAAATAATGTCATAAAATTGCACAAATCACATTCATGATCCATGAGATTTAAGATTTGCCATCTAAAAGGATAAAGAATGAGGATTTAAAGTTCACAGAACAAGATATTCCTACAACCAATTGATGACTACTTCTACACCTGATTGAAGACTGATTTATTTTCGCTCTTGAGAACAAAATATCTTACTCGATGGGTAAAAGACGCATACCAATACCTCACACCGGTTCTCTTTCCTTCTTTGTTAAATACATATGATGTATGTCTCTATCCTTAGCAATACAAATGATTTTCTTCAAATGTCTTCTGATCAACCGCAAAAAACATATAATGTATGGCACACAAAGTAGCATAATGCCAAATACCATTTGATTGCTAACATTGATCTAGGAACCATTTCAACTGCTTGAAATATCCTTATTATTGCACAACACTAAGTTGACTCATTTATGACATGCAAATGATACACTTTAGCCAGTGACTTGAAAATGGTTCTTCTGACTTATTAGTTGTTTCAGTTTTTAAGGAAAAATATGTAGATACAAACTGAAATGACTTGATCATCCTTTTGTTTAGTTTTTGCAGCAGAAAATGAACAGTCTTTGTAAAAGCTTTGGCTTTTTTATGACATAAATATTATAATTTAACCAGTAGCTTGAAAATGATTCTTCTGACTTACTAGTTTTTTTCAGTTTTGACCCCAAAAATGTAGATACAAACTGAAATGACTTGATCATTGTAATTTTTTTTTGCAGCAATGAATGAACAATCTTTGTATTAAAAAGCATTTATGCTAAAATTCTGTGTCATCACTTTTTTAAAGCATCTCAGCCTTATCTTGATTAAATGGTAAAGTAACGTAAGCAGTTATGACTGTATGACGGCCAACTTTATAATATAAATACATCAAATCTTGATTGTGTCATTAAACATTTCTTATTCTATGGATAAGTAGTAAATGTATATAAGTCCTAATTACAAAGAAGAAAATGAATGGATACATATTGCAATCTTTACAAATAAAAAAAACATCAATAAATTAACCATCGAACCATCAAACCAAATGTATCTCAATTGTACAAAACAAAAGTGGTTATAACAGTATAAATAGATATAGCTAGATTTACTTGGGTTATTTTAGTTCTGGAAGCATCATGAGGGAAGAATATACCCCTTTGAAGTTTGTACTAAAATGTTTGTTTTTTAGAGAAGATAAACATGATACTTGTTATTAGGGAAACCCGGATGAAAAATTGACCTCAATATTGACTAGGATGTGTTCATTTGGTTGATTGATTCTCAAAGTATTATTGAATACTTTTTTGAATTTTGAAAGAGACCTTGGTATATAAATGACCAAAAACTAATAAGATTTGACCATTTCGACTTATAAATCAGACTTACTAGGGAACATTCCTAACACACTGGTTGACATGGCACTTCAAAGAGGTTTGTCATGTTCGCTCAAATGCACATGAAAAAATGAATCATGCTAACCCTAGGCCTTGTACAGCAGCATCTTACCTTCTATGTTTTATGAAAAACATATACTTATTCTTCACCAAAACCATGATCTTGATCTACAATGAAGTAACATTTGAGAATATGATAACGCCAAGGATAATGATCAAATGATATATAATAAAGATAAACAAATACATATTCATTTCACTTGTAACCCGTCTAAATGGCTGGATGGATGATTACTGGATGGATGATTACTACTGCATACAGATGCTCATGTATCTCACTGACCATGTCGCATCTAATAGGAATTTTAACAAATTGAAATAAATAGCTAGATGATAACATGCCAGTTAAGTCATACATTGCAAACTGCAAATAAATAATAATGAATATTGTCATGTCTCTAACTTGAATATACATTATAAATATGGGCACCAATATAGTGTAGCTTTTCTCCTTTTCTTTTTGAGATTGCTGAACACAAATTGTTACATGTCTCATATCTCCATGTTATATTTGACATAAATATATTTGACATAATATGTTCAAACAAATTAAATAAACCTTCAACTTACTACATCCTTCTCTTTGAATATCACGTTAATAATAATAACATTAGCATTCTGTTCTTGTATAGCACATTTCACATAATGATATAACATCCCTGTGCGCTTCCAAAGATATTTTGATGTTATGAAAACTACTTTTGTTCGAGAGACTGAGTACAATTCACTGAGAAAGACTTTACTTGATTTTCAATATCATGCACATAATAAATATTTGATTACATCTTATTGGTTATATGCACCATTAGTCCTATGGTAAAATTAATATTTCTGTATTATACATTGGTGGTAATATGGTAAACCATAGCCCTAGACCCTAAGCTGATACATAGCACCAGTGGGATCAAGCTCACTAAATCTCAATTTGCCACATATCAAATTTGAGCACATTTTCTCCCCCAAAACACATACACAGCATATCATGGGGAAACTAGATGGAACTTCGACTGCGCGCAGTCGAAAATGATGCCTCCGTTAAAGAGCAATTTTACAAACCAAAACAGAATAAATTTTTCAAATTCCAGTTCAATTGTAATCCATTAACAGGTTCTCAGAATATCGTGATTATAAACAATTTCTCATATACATATATGACCCTTTGATCTTTGACTTCATGACCCTAAAATCTACTCAGTTCATTGGCTCTGCAAGATGTCCTGAGTTAAATAGTAATCCATCTGTCAGTTCTAATGAGAATGCATTCACAAGCTATTTTTGCATACATAATGAGCCCATGACCTTTGACCTTTGACCTTATGAACCAGGAATCTACTAAGTTCATTGGCTCTGCAAAATACATAAATGATCTCAGTTTGGCAGGAATCCATTAATCTGTTCTAATGATAATACGATCACAAGCTATTTTTGCATACATAATGAGCCGCATGACCTTTAACCTTGACCTCATGACCCCAAAATCTAATCAGTTCATCGGCTCTGCAAGTAACATACATGACCTAACTTTGGCAGGAATCCATCAATAGGTTCTTGAGATAACGCGATCACGAGCTGTTTTTGCATACATAATAAGCCCTGTGACCTTTGACCTCCTGACCCCAAAATCTAATCAGTTCATAGGCTCTGCAAGATACATACATGACCAAAGTATAGCAGGAATCCATCAATCGGTTCTTCAGATAACGCGATCATGAGCTGTTTTTGCATACATAATGAGCCTTGTGACCTTTGACCTTTGACCTCGTGACCCCAAAATCTATTCAGTTCATCGGCTCTGTAAGATACATACATGACCAAAGTTTGGCAGGAATCCATTAATCGGTTCTTCAGATAACGCGATCACGAGAACGGGACGTACGTATGTACAGACGTATGTACGGACGGACAACCCAAAAACATAATGCCTCCGGCTACTTCGTAATGGAGGCATAAAAAGAAAGAAGATCTACGGTCTTTAAAGAGCTTTAAATTTGTCCTGTGAACTTTGACCCAAACTTTTGTTGGATCTCTTTGACAATGAGTTGGTCCTGTTCACTCTCTTGACCCTCTTCTATTGCTATGGCAACGAAGGCACTCTCAAGCTCTGATAACCTATGGCAGTCCTCCCAGTATGAGGTATTGATGAAGATGCTGAAGATGAGAGACAAATATTCTGTGCGCACCTGTCATTAAAACAAAAATGAAAGGGAACAGTAAAGATTAAATCTCTTTTACCTTTACCACGGTAACCACAATACTCTTTTAACAAACATTTGCCAGAAATCTGCTTCATTGAGTTGATGATGATAAGTTTTAGATGCTGCTTGTAAGTGTCGGCTTGCATGGTCATGTAGATATACAGTAGGCTTGCGGGTACACCATGTGAGAGAGAGAGAGAGGATTGAGGAGTCCTGAAAAAGGACTCTCGGTAATCTTTCTTGGGGGTGTGTGTAGTCCTGAAAAGGACTGTTTGTGTAGTCTTGAAAAAGACTGTTGGTTATCTTTCTTAGCTTATAGTTCTAAGGAGAACTATAGCGCTTTAAGAGGATGAGTGGCAGGAGTGGCTCGATGTTTTAAACAGGTTGACTATTCATCGTCAGGAAACGAGAGTCCTTTTTCAGGACTCCTCAATCCTCTCTCTCTCTCTCTCTCACATGGTGCAACCACAAGCCTACTGCATGTATAGAGATAAGTTTTGTTTGATCTTAAATAACCAAATCCAAGTGCGCTTCATTGAAAGTAAAATTATGTAATACGTACAAAAGGTGTGATTATTAGTAAAACCATATTAAAGTGTAAGAACAACACTACCCAGCACCCCAACTTCTACCCCTAAGAACGATCATTCCCCTAGAGGTAGTTATGATGGGTAATAGCTGTATTGGGAGAATGCACAAATGAGGAATTTTTCTACAATCTTCTAAATTACTGGTATATTGAGCAGATCAACAGTTTTCTATTCCTAAAGATTTTTTTAAACAAAATCAGAACCTGAATGTATTTTAACCTAAATTTTGAAAACTTGAGGTCAATTTAATTCTTCCCATTGTATAGTTTTGCAACTTTCTCATCTTCTATCTGAATCATCAGTTACACATTAATGTGGTGGAAAATCTTTTTAAATACAGAAACCCCTCTTCAAAGGTTGTCGGGACTCAGCTGTCATATTACATCCCACTCAAAATTTCACCCAGACCCTATATTGTTATCACCTCAATGATTAATTAATCTGACTGAATGCATCCCAGTCCTGGGGGGTGTTTCACAAAGATCGTAAGTTGAACTTATCTCTAAGTTGGACTTAACAATTATGGAAAGTTGTTCGCATCTTTGAAAATATTTTGTAAAAGTTATTTTAAAAGGCATAAAATGTTGATTCAAATAATTCATGATTTCTATTTTCAAGGATATTTCATGGTCTTGATGTGGGATTTATAAAAAGTCTATAATATTTGAATTTTCACTATTGAATATGTTTTATTTTAAGGCTACAAATGGCTCTCCATAATATTTAAGTCCAACTTAGAGTTAAGTTCGACTTAGGATCTTTTTGAAACACCCCCCAGGTAGAACAAGGAAAAAACGGGAGTAAAACTAACCTGATCACCTGGATTTGAATCTTTGATCAGCCTCACAATGATATCAATCAGTACTTTCATATCATTAGAATAGAAGAGGTCAGAGGTCACAGGACTTGAAAACATGTCTGCCATGAACTTTAGAAGAGAGTCCTGTGTGTCTGAGCAATGATCAAATACCTTCACAGGATCCACTAAAGACAAAGATATAGTTGGAATATGTTACTAGAACAGGAGGGAAATATATATAAGTATGAAGTAAACCATTCATACTCTGAAGTTATCAGCAAAGTGCATTCCAAGTGGAGAGTCCTTGGCTTTCATAAATCCAATTTACAAGTAAAAAATGATAATAATCAAAGTGAGCAGTAGTTTTCTAGTTCTAACAAAAGAATATATAATCTATTAATCAAAAGAAAAAAGAAAAGAAAAGATGTCTATTGATAAGTACATGAATGTGTACAATTTAGGAGAACTCTTTGAAAACTGTGATTTTCCATCTAACTGCCCCCCCCCCCAAAAAAAAAAAAAGAAAAGAAGAAGAAAAAAAAAAATGAAAATAAACACACTTTTCATCCTAGCAATATAGCTTTCATTTTCATTACTAAAACTTAGTACCTATCAAAAAGATGACCATCATAATTAATTGATCCCCCAATCAGTTTGATGCTAACATATTTTTCATAGACTTTTGTCAACAGACCTCCTCTGTTGACCAGAAGCATGATCTTTTCACTGAAAGTCTTTGCACTCCTCCTCTCTGCCAATACTGTCATCACAATACTTTCGGCAGGAACTGAAAATAAATACACAAAATCAATCATATATTACTTACAATCCATTAAAAGAATGATCACACAGAGATTATTAACAAAAATAAGTCCCTACCCATTTTCTTGAAGAAAATTAAAAAAAAAAAAAAAATAGCTTTTCCTACATGCACCATGTGTCTTCATTAAAACAAAAATGAATGGCCATTATCGAAATTTTAACATGAAATTCATCAAAATTTCCAGTCTTAGAGAGAGCAGTTTACCATATTTACACTATATCCTACATAAGCTGGGTACCCACTTTATTCTTAATTATTTAAGTTATAATTATTGATTCAATTAAAACCATCAAGCATTATCATTCTTGCAAATTTCATTTTTAGAAAAGACATTTTTAAACTGAGAATTATCAATGATAATAGGGACTTTAAAAAAATCTTAAGATTCAATGAAACATAAAATAATAACTGCAATGGCAATAAAAACAATACTTCTTCAAGCATATAATTGCCTCCACTAATCTTATGGATAGAAGGAGATGGGAAACCCTAAAGAATCAGAAGAAAATATTATTTCAAGCAGTCTAGGAATGTAAGATTCATGGAGTTGGGAAATTACTTTACCTCTGAGATGAAGATTGAAGGCCAGAATGAGGTTGACAAACAGGTCTGGTACTTGATCTAGTTCATCAGCAGGAGGGGGGTTATCCATGGAATCTAACAGGTAGTTTACAAACTCGGCATTCAGTTGGTCTGCATACAAACACACAAAAGGTATTGACAATTATTTGAAGAAAAATTAGGGGGAGAATAAAGAGCTTACTTGAAAAGACTAAAAAACAAAATAATGGATACATGTGCGGACCTGATGATAAAAAGACAACTAGAAACCCTCATTCATATGTCATCAATATGCCTGAAACATAGAAGTACAATAAAGACATCAAGAATACGGCATCTAAATCTTGAAGACTTGAAGCTGATAGTCAAGCATTTTCAAACAAACTTTCTTACTGTATCATACACATTCACAACTTAGCACAGCTGCAGATCTATAAAAGATTTCATAATCAGAGATCAATGCTATAATAGAGAGACTTGTAAAAAATCTGTTACCTTCTGAATAAATCTCTTGAATACACTGTGTTATTCTGCCATTACATAAACATGAAATGGAAAATGTCATTACTCATTCATCAATGTTTACTTTGTGGCCAAAAGTAGTAATCAAATTAAAATAGTCTATTGCGTGAAGTATTTCTATCAAAGACAGTGTACTACAGACTCACCATAATGACCGAATGGAATCTGTTCTCCAGTAGAGAGCAGCATAGTACAAACGAGAGCCGAGTAGCAGAGCTTGGGGATGTTTTCCTGATCAGTCATCATATCCCTAGCAAGCTCCACAGGGAGGACAGAACATAGGAGACTGGACAGAGCATCGCGATCCAGGTTGCACAAGGCTCCAAACACCTTCAGCAGTAGCAGTCGAAGAGATGACCGGAGCTCCTACACGTCACACACATATAAACAACAATTCACTGTTAATTCTCAATTTCTTTCTGATTCATAATAGATAATCTTTTAAAAATGTTTTACCTCTCTACATTGCCCCAGGTCCCCCCCCCCCCTTCCCTAGAGTTATATAATCATCAACTATCAGACCTATGGACAGACTTCTTCTTCAGCCCCAAAATATTTCAGGGATATTTTGTTTCTTGTTTCAGTAGATCAAAAAGCATAAGTCTCAGCATCAGAATCATATGCATTTATTTGGGTTGTAATATGATCAAGCTCATCTTTACTTGTTATCAAAATAAAAGATTCCCATGTTGACTTACCATTTGGTAGTATAACACCAGATTCTGGATGTATTCAAAGTGATCCTTCTTAACCACTGCTTTACAAACCCTTGGATCTGCATCAGACTTAGGAAGGAAAAAAAATAACAAAATGATGCTTTTAGAAGAAGAAAAAAAGAGGTGTTAATTTTAATTTTTTTTTTTTATATGAAGTGATATATTCAAGCTAAGACTGTTAGTCACTCAAAAGGTGATGCATACAGTCATGTAATTGTATTGTTGTTTCATCGAAGTGTAAACTTAGAAAACATTAAATCCAATGGCAACATATTTTCACTGTTATGTAATCATTATTAGTTTTTCATAATCTTCAAACTCATATATTCACAGTGTCATGAATTTCAGACTACTACTTCTCATAATGATATGTCTTCTTAATTAACCCAGGAAAGCCACATTAGTATTAATACTGTTCATGCTGAGGGCCCTGCAATCATATCATTAAACCCTGCTTTCTCCTAGCTGACTTGAAAGGTACTCAAGCATTCAAGAAATTCCTTCCTACCAGGTACCCATTTACCTCACCTGGGTGGAGTGTGGCAAATGCAGATACCTATCCACTAGACCATGACACCTCTACAAGACAACTCACTAGTATTGTGATGAGTTCCTCTAGGTGTCCACTGATGATAGCTTCATCTTCATGTAATGCCCAACTCCTCTGCTGTGCATCATCTTTACAAGCTGTCAATTCTTTAAAGATGACCTCTAACCTCTCATGATCTCTGCTTCCTTCAATGATGATATTTGAGCTCGTCATATTCTGTATCAAACAATGATGCATTCAACAAAGTGTATTTTCTTTTAGATTAGTAAATATTTCTGTGATTAAATTATCAATAAATAGTTTAAAGTTATGGGATAAGAGAAAAACTAGATAATATCACAGATAAAACTCAGTTCTGAACATTTCAAAATTGTACAGTACATACAAATGCAATGGACACATCTTTCACAATAAAAATATGTATGATAATTAGATTTCATTTATGACCACCAATTGTAAAAAATATTCATTCTATTGGGAATTTGGAGCTTGGGAGAGACATTTTAAAATTATTTTGTATGGAATAGGTCATCAGGCTAGCAAATATATTGTATATCAAAAAGTTGATGAGGGCCATTTACCAACTTATATCTGTATCCATTCAATACACAAGCTGGCATTTCAAAACTATGGAAAAGAAATGAGAAAATACTAGAGTGCCGCATTTACATGTATACTGAACAAAAACAAGTATGCGATATGCTGATTCTACTCACCAGATCATTTGTTAAACTTGACAGAATTGCAGCCATGACATTTGCAACCTCTGGAACTGCAGATCCTACCCTCTCTAGGACAGTCCCTACTGCTTGCTTTGACATGTCGTAGCTCAAATCCGTTTCTATTCTAACCTGCTCCACCAGTTCACCAAGTAGTCCCTTGGGTATGACAGGTTCTGATGGCATTTGACTATGGTTTGGTGTTTCCCTATCGGCTTTACTCGTTGATTTGGGTGTAGAGGTGGCTAATGCTTGGCTAGAACTTCCGGAGTCAGCTTGATCTTGAGGGCTCTGCTTCACACTCTCGTTTCTCTGGGGTGGCTTTGGGGCAGCTCTAATCTTCGTTGAGGTCCTTGTGGAACGTGATAATCCTGCTGCTTGTTCTCGTTGGGGAGATGAGTTCTGTTGTGAAGGAGGTAGCGGCGCTTTTCGATGCTCAGTAGAAGTCTGTCTTGGGAGATCTGGGGCCTTTCTTTTGGGTTGTCCATCAGAGGACGCAGTGTTGCCAGACAGAATGGACTGTCTATGTTGTACAAGCTTCCTGTTTGATATGTAAAAAATCTTATGAAAATCACAATTCAACCAATAATTTTTTTCGTCTCTTTTTTAAATTGTATCCTTAACGAAACAAGTAGGCTACATATATATAATAGTTTGTAATTGGTTGAAAAGATACATATGTACTAGTTTACATGGGGGATTAGACCACCCTGCAAAGTCACTGGACAGGTGGTTATCTCATCAACTCAGCTCTCAATTAACATAAGAAAAAAGAAGATCATGGGGAATCAATAGTCACTGATTATGCATTGTTTGTTATATATATATAGAGGGCGCAAGTAGCTACAAGTAGTACAGTGGGGATTTAAAGGAATAAGGATTAACACTAATCCATACCTCATTAGATCTGATTCAATGAATGTATACGTACTGTAGGTTATCTCTCTGTTGCTGTGAAAGTGACCCTCCCTTCTCAGTAGAAGCCAGATGGATGAATTCAATCGCCCTGTCAATGGATCTGAGAACCTCATCATTAGATGATTGGTCTTTCTCAATGTATTTGGCTGGAACATACCCAGTCTGGCCTAAGTGGTTCATGACTTGCCACCAGTGTTGGTCTGTTTTCTCCAGAAGAGTGAACTGGTCACCTTCTTGGAAGCTCAATGATGTTGGAGCTTCGGAGCTGTAGGGGTATGCTGCACGTAACATGGTCAGGCTGAAAGAAATTGTTTTATTGATATACTTTCAAGGAAGGTCAAATAATTGCAGAATGAAACCCTGGCAGATAAGATTAGAAATAGCTCAAATCTGCAAAACTTACATTGTAAAAAACAAAGCTTTAGCAACTTTTGCAGGTCACCTCCTTTAGGGAGTCATCCTAGAGACACTCACAAATTTACAATATTATACTATAGCATAACTCATACATCAGCTAGCTATATACATATACACATGTTTGAAGTCTGGCCAGCTTATATGGCTAAAATGAGTTGACTTCGTATAAAAGGCAAACATACATTCATATCTCATGTTTTAAAAGGCACAATCATCAGCTCCCCGTTATGACAAAATCAAGGTGATAGAGATGATGATCCAATCAAAGGAATTATATTGAATTAAGATATACAGAGCTGCCAACCTTGTGCGACCCAAAAAAAGGAATTTCAAGCAACAAAAAGTAATTCATTAAAATGAAACTTACAACCACGCACGATACACTTCCAATGCAGAAATGTTCATTCCCCATGCTGTTTTTTCCATACAAGCAGGTATTTTTGTGTGGCTATTTTGGTATTATTGGCATTTCATTCTTTAGAGAATATTTTCTCTGTAAGTATGTTTTAAACTTAGTTTTCTATTGAATTTGTGATCAAATCAATATTTTAGGGCAGTTGTTTGACGTGCGGTATGTTAACAAAATGTTTTTAAAATTTTTTATTTTATGAAGAAAAAACATACTACCGTAATTTGGAGGAAAAAGCAGAGTAATTCCGGCAAAAACGGAGTAATTCCGGTAAAAACTGAGTAATTCAGGCAAAAACGGAATGGTTGTTAGCTCTGTTAATAGATAATTATTCTCCCTTGTAAAATGTAGCATGTCAGAACTTACAGAAGATACAGACAATCAAAGTATAACTCTCTTGTCATCCTTCCAGTTTAATTGAGGGAGGGAGGGAGGGAGGGAGGGGGGGGGGGGGGTACCCAAAATGACAAGGAATTGTAGAGGAAGTTGTTGCTCATCTTGGCAAAGACGGTTTTGTGAAGCAGACAAGTTGAGCGACAGTGTCGAGGTGTCGTCGATCTTGTAGTTACGACGGTTTTGCAAAACGACCCCCTGGATTCAACCTCTGCTGTATACCAATATGTCATGTGTCTAGACGTGTCATGTGCCATGATAGTTGATTTAAATTAGTGATTTGAAGAAGTTTATGTGCAACATTTTAAAAACAAAGTTTTATTAACATAATCGATAATTAAGAGTAGATCTAGTAGAACCGATGTATTATAGCCTAGGCCTAATTTAAAATTGGATATGGACGAGGTAAAATGACATTTTGGGGGATTTTGGGGGCATAACAATACGGCCGTGGCAAGTTTGTCATGTTTGTGGGAGGGGCCTAGCGGTTAAAATCTAGCCGTGATATCTTCAACATACGATGGTATAGGCGATCGTTCAGTCTCTATAACCGGAGGTCTAGTGGAGCCAGACGTAGTCTCAGTGGAACAACCGACGATTATAGAGACTGAAGCTTTCGGTCTATAAAAATAAAAGACAAATATGGATGATGGCTAAAGTAATGCTGTTTGATGCATACTTTCGTTCTATACCGAGGCAAAAGTGATGTCTTTATTTGTGATATGCGTCTAAACACATAACACCATTACGAGATTATTCAAAGTAGCCTCGCCGGATGAGTGATTGGGCGTGGCTTGTTTTTACATAATTTCACTCACAGCACAAAATGGCATTAACGGGACTGAACGTAATAAATACTAGAATTTTAGGATCCCACTGTTATACGTTTAATAGGATTTACTGGTTACATACAATATCAGTATATAATACATGCAATATCACAACATATTAGAGAAAAAAGAAGTGAGAAAAGGTGTATATCTTACAATATTACTGGACTGTCAAACTTCGGTAAATTTTCGGGAACTTCCTTCCCGATGGGTATGACAAGCTGTGTACGTATTCCATACATTCTGTTTGATTACTCATTAATCAAATAAAACAGCAGCTGGGCGAGAAAGTCAACCGTATTTCGAAAGAAGATATTGATCATACAATTGTTGAAATATAAAATCCAAGTCTTGAATATCTCTTTTCAAACATCTTCACGTAAAACTAGCAAGGAAAAAAAAAAAGGATACACAATAATAATAATTTGTTGATTACAAGGGTGGCTTATCATAGCACTGGTCATATCGATCTTGGTGTCACAACAGATTTTGTCCCCCCGCCGGATTGGGAACCGTACCCAAATTATTTTCAGTTTAGTTTCCAGTCAGTTCAGTTTATTAATAAACACATGGCATAGTAATCGTGACAAACAACATGATCCAAATTCATTGAGACCCCAAAAAGCAATGCTTGTGATAGTGGGGCCCCTGTGGAGGATGGAATGGACCTCTCAATCCCAGCGGAAAGAGACCAACGTGTTTCAAGGATCTGCGAAATTCAAAACATGAAAGATGGTAGGATACGATCATGGATTGCGATGCCTGCTCTTGATCAATGACGAAATAAACCTGTATTACTAAAATTGGCCAGACTCGACTTGAATAGATTCTGTTTCAATAGCCTTTATTTCTGTGATAAATAAAAATGTATTCTTGTAAGTAATTGACCTACCGTTGACCTATATTGCTCTGTACATATAGGCCTCTTTAGCTAGCCTATATGCTAATTAATCATAAACAACAATGGAAAGATAGAATTATCTGGCGGCCGCCAACTAATCTAGCTATTTCCCTCTATGTTATGATGTAGATAGATAGAGGAAAATGATGAAAAATTAAAACAAAGAATAACATAATGAGAGATAGAAAGAAAATATAGAAGGATATAAAAGCAACGAATAATGAAAGGAAAGATAGAAAGAACATAAGATGGAAGAAAAAGGAAGATAGAAAGATGAAATGATAGAAGGATGAAGGCAAAGAGTTACATACGCAATAGTAGAAAGAGAAGAAGATGAAAGGATAAAAACAAAGAAAAACATAAGGAAAGGTAGAAAGTGAAGAATATAGAAGGAAAATAACATCATCAATTAAGGACAGATAGAGTTATCTGGCGGCGGCTGCCAGATGATTCTTTTATTCCTAATGTTATGTTGTAGATAGAAAGATAAATAAAAGAAGAATAATAACAAAAAATAGCCGAACATAAGGAAAGATAGAAGGAGAAGAAGATAGAAGGAAAAGAAGATAGAAGGAAAAACAAAGAACAAGGAAATGAAAATAAAAAGAGGAAATGATAGAATAATAAAAACAATGAATACCATAATGAAAGATCGACTTATCCGGCGGCCGCATTCACTGGATCTTATTCAGTAATATTTTTCCATTCCCTTTCATCTCCCTCCCTTTTTTGAACCCTTGATATGGAGAGGGGGGAGGGTTGCTCAGTCGTTTTGGTCCTCCCTTTCCTCATTTTTAGGTACCTTATTTCATTTTCGGAATTATGAGCCCGATTTCATTTTCGGAATTACTTTGAACCTTAATTTTTTCATTTTCGGACATACGAACCTTCAGATTTATTAACCCTTTTCCATTCTCGAAATTATGAACCCCTTTTCATTTTCGGAATTATGAACCCCTTTTCATTTTCGGAATTATGAACCCTTTTTCATTTTTGGAAATACGAACCTTCGGAATTTCATTTTCGGAATTATGAACCCCTTTTCATTTTCGGAGTTATGAACCCTTTTTCATTTTCGGAATTATGAACCCTTCTTCATTTTCGGAATTATGAACCCCTTTTCATTTTCGGAATTATGAACCCTTTTTCATTTTTGGAAATACGAACCTTCGGAGTTTCATTTTCAGAATTATCGGAACCCTTTTTCATTTTTGGAAATACGAACCTTCGGAGTTTCATTTTCGGAATTATGAACCCTTTTTCATTTTTGGAAATACGAACCTTCGGAGTTTCATTTTCGGAATTATGAACCCCTTTTCATTTTTGGAATTACGAACCCTACTTCATTTTCAAAATTACAAACCCTATTTCATTTTCGGAATCACGAACCTTCGGAAATACGAACCTTCGGAAAAACGACATGTAACCGAATAATCGTACATGTTTTTTGATCAGACACCTACTGCAGTATATAACCCTACTAGTAGGCGTATTCCTAGATTTTCAGAAAGCTTGTGATACGATAGACCACACAATACCGGTGTTTTTAATAAATTAAGACAATTTGTACCTAGAAATATTTAATTGTTATCGTATAAAACATTAAAATATAATATATTTTATACAACACCTACGTGGATCCCTGTCATTTGATTGGAGGATTGTTGGTCACATGATATTCAATAGATGGTATATTGCACGGTCGTGCATTTTTGGTTATAATATATGCAGACTGCGTACCTCTCTGCCGTGCGCGCGCGTATCCCTGCGTGTATCTGACGCGAAGGCAATCTGAATGTAATCGAGAAGGCTTGAATCCAACTTGAATTTATCTTTAATATAAGGAGTAAAACATAATTTGTTGATTAACGTTCTATTAGATCTTCTTCGATGTTGTATACAACAAATAATGAATGTTTTTCATTTGTTCAATGGTGCGAATATTTTCATTCATTGAAAGATTAACATTAATTCTATTCAACTCGGCTGACGCCTCGTTGAATAGAATGTTAATCTTTCAACTCATGAAAATATTCGCACTATTGAACTCATAACCATTCATTATTTGTATAATATTTTTATTTTTATGGATAATGCGTTATACCACCATTCAATTTGGGTTTGCTCTCTTTTAAAATCTACTTTCAAAATCATTCTTTACATGATTTCAAGCTAACTTCGTTCTTAATTGTTCTGAACAATACGTTCATGTCAGTAGATGTGGGATTATTGGTCCTGTGAAGTCCCATGTACCTTATAATTATATTTAAATGCAGTTGTTCTTGAATGTTATTTTCTTGTATTTATGTATTTAAAGTGCCAATTTATACAGTTTTATTGTAAAAGGTATATATTTTACTGTGAACCATTTTTATGCCTGTCTTTTTATTGTGTGAAATCCACATCACGGTTGCAATAAATAGATAAATGAATTAAATTAGATTAAACATATATATATATATATATATATATATATATATATATAAAACACATTTTTAGACAGTGTATGATACATTATTGTAGTATTTTATCAGGAATGCCTATTTATACAAGTTTAGGCTTTGTATTCAAACACACAAACATGTATTAACTTAGATAGTTAGGTAGTATACCTGTATTCAATAATTATTCATATATATTTTTATTTGTTAAGATACTGTACTCTGAAGGTGCCAGACATGATTAGCATTTTATGCTGTTTACTGGTCAAGTTTATCCATTCAATATCTTTGTTAAGGGTCTCGGACAATTACCCCCTGGACAATTACTCCCCCCCCCCCCGGAAGATTACCCCGAGGAGCGTACCACCTCTGCCAAAAAATTCCTTTTATTAAAACTAACTTAATATCAGAGTAGACTTCCCCTTTAATGAACAGAGGAGAGGGGGCATAATTGTCCTAGGGGGCAATTTACCTCGTGTGGTAATTGTCCACAGGGGGGGGGGGGGGGCATATGGAAACGTTGTATCATCCGCTCAATCTGACTTGCGTGCATAGAACAAATAAGCATTTTTCCATGAAAAAGTGAAGTTTTCTAAAATGTGCGTTTCTTTCCAGCATTGGGGCGCCCGGAAGTCACTCGGGTAACATTTCATAAAGTATAATATAAAAAGACCATATGCGAATTTTCTGTACTTTTGTCGGAAAAATACATTTATCCAGCACAATGTCGTCTCTTTTTGCGTTGGAGAAGAGCAAATAGCGAGTTTCAATCACACTTTGGCCGCTCTCGCAAGCTCTCACTCGTTTCACTGTGGTCAAGAGACTTTGGGGCAATCGGTTAATGAAAATACTAATCGTTAGCTTTCTTCTGGTATCAAACTTATTTTGATTGATTGTATAATTTTGTCGGAATAAAGGAAACAAAAAGGCTCGACCAATCAGCGTCTGAATTGACATTTTGACCTTGAATTCCCTGATGCAAGCGCACTAATGACGTCATCTTCGCTAAATCGGTGTCTTTTATCGTATAATGCGACACTTTCACAATGTTTATACATCTTTTTTTAATTATTAGTAAGATATAACATATTTTTTCTGATATCACTGAAGTTTTGGGTTTTGTTTCATGAGTAATTTTAAAATAAGACCCATTTTACTGTTTTAATTTACTGGATCGTACCATTAAAGTCATAGGGTAGAAAGATGCATTTTCCAACCGCGCCAAATTTAATTAACGTTCCGACATTCTGTTAAATGGGTTCGTGTTGTTAAGAATCCACTGCTTTCTGCTCCAACAAACGTCCACATGCGGAGTCGTTTATCAACTAAATTATTCAAATTTATGGATGCTTCCTAGCTTCCCAGGTGTTTGTGTTGCTGTTGAAGCATTTCATTCACCTACTATCATGCTTTGTACTCCAATTGCCAGAACGCAAATTTCATTTTGGTTTTATAGTTTCATCGTATTCAAATTTATGAATGCTTCCTCCCCAGGTGTTTGTGGTGTTTGTGCATTTCATTCACCTGTTATTATTCTTTGTACTCCAATTGTTAGAATACCAAATGCATTTTGGCTTTATAGTTCCATGCAATAAGTAAGTCAATAAAAGAGTATGTTCTGCACAATAAAAACAATGTGTGTCCCTATTGTACAATGTAACGTGTCCCCTCATTTTGTTATAGTTAATTTACCCATTCACATAATGGAACTACCTGCCCGATGAAGCCAGTGGCCTATGACCTCTGAGCACTCAACACCGTGTGGGAGTTATGCTATGGTCACAAACCCCTAAAGTAGCCTGCTCGGCGGCCGAGCGGCGAGTTTTTAATTATTCTGCCCGGCGGCTGCCCGGCCACCGAGCGGCGGCCGCCCAGGCACCGCTCGTTTTTAGGGCATCGCTCGGTCGCCGCTGAAGTTTTAGCGCAGAGTTAAAATTTGGGCGGCGCCTGCTCACTTTTCACTCACCGCCCAAAATACGCTCGGTGCCTGAGCGGTCGCCGCCCGGGCACCGACCTAATCGCTGGGCGATGCCTAAGTCCAGCAGCGACCGAGCAGGCTACTGATCGGTCGGTCGCTGTTCTGATTTGTGACCATAGCTTTAGTTCGTGATCAAATTCTTTTATGAGACAAATACAAGCAAACGTTTCCATATGGGGGGGGGGGGGGGTAATTGTCCTTGGGGGAAATTTTCCGGGGTGTAATTGTCCTCGAGGGGTAGCAGTCCTTGGAGGTAAATTTTCCGGGGGATTGTTGTCCTGGGGGGTAGTTTTCTGGGAATAATTTTCCGGGGGTGATTGTCCAGGGGGTTATTGTCCCGATCAGGCCTGGTTATATGAATTGTACGTTTGTACGGGTGTGATTTAAAGTACGCCATCTAGGTGTCGTGGGTTATAGTGGTTCATTCCCTTTATTTTCCAATCCAAGGGAAGATGTTATCAAATGCCTTGTAGCAATACATTAATACACATTTGCCACTCTCTAGCCGGGTGTAAGTGGGTATCTGGCTAGTGCTGGGGTATTAATTATTTGAGGGTCTGCAGGACGAGCAATATCAATACCGATGTGGCTATCCTAGGTTAATAAGATCCAATTATTATTATTTCTTTCGTACATAATTAGTGACTTGGTACAGTTTTAACATGCATATAGGCCCTATCATGTAGAATTTAATTATGTATATATATATATATATATATATTGTTTAATTTGTTTGTTTTTGATGGGTTTTTTTTAATTTGTTTTTTTAATAATTTTTTTCTTCTTCAATGAATAAATAAATAAAAAAACATACTGCTAAAAATGATCTATTTCTGATTTTTTTAAAAAAATAAAAATACACAGGCGGGCATCTTGAAAAATAGCCCGACTGTCAGGAAAAATGTACCGAGAGGCCATTTTGAGCGGCCATTTTGAAGAAGAAAAAAAAGGGCCTCCTCCTTCCTTTTTTTCAAAAAGACAGGACGCTTAACATGTTTTTTTTTTTATTTGGCCTTATGTCGAAGTCCATTTGAGTTTTTTAAAAGGGTAAATGTCCATTTCAGTGCTCGCATAAGAACTTTTTTTTTGTCTAGGCTCTCCCCCCCCCCCCAAAAAAAAAAAAAATGAAATGAAGTAAACATGACGAATTCATGGCGATTGTGTAATGCAGGATCTGAATCGTTATTTTCTAAGAAATGCTTTTCGTTAGGTAACGAAAAAATAAATAAAAATCTATCGACGCTTGAATGTCCTAAGCCGACATTTCCTTGATATCGCAAAAACGCGTAGTAAAGGATTTAATTTATCCAAGAAAGACATCTAAAATGAAAAACCAAGCGGATGTAGATCTCAGATCCTTGATGAAGATAATCGTAAATACAATCTCTCCCCCGACCTCCGATGGAACAAGAAACCAATTTTTGATTCTGCGTTGCCTTGAGACAAGACAGCTAGAGATGCATGGGACGCATAAAATGAAGTGCAGTGTGAGTAATGTGAAAACTCAACTGACAAATCAAATGAAACAATCCATCACAATGAAACACAGTTCACTCGATGTACTAAAGTAAAAATTTTACCTTGTTTGCAACGTTTTCTATTCTGAGGTGATTTATTCACCGGCAGTGGGTCATAAGTTGCACAGCTTTCTAGTTGAGCACAATGTTAGACTATAAACCTAAGACATTGTGGTCATCAATAGGAAAGACATATTTACAAAAGCGTAGGGTCAGGTAAAAGAAAGGCCAGTGAGAAAATATAGTTAATTTTTTTAAAGTTTCTCTTTTCTGTCTCATTCATTTCTTTCAATCTTTCGACTAAAAAGTGGAGGAAATGGACGCCTTTTAGTTATATGCCACCGCCTCCATCCAAATCTCGGAGAACGTTTTTTGTTTTTTTTACTGGAATCTTGAGATGTTGTAATATCTAAACCCCCCAAAGATATATATTATATATATATATATATATATATATATATATATATATATATATATATATATACATGTACATATTATTTTATAGATAATTAAACAAATATGAAATGAAGACAATAAGGTAATTAAAAACAAAAGTATCATTTTTTACAAATGTACTTCAGGGTATGATGCTTCCGTTTGAATTGTTGAACTTGTCCAATCAATGTGAAGATGCATGTTTCTTCCGTCCTCTCAGAGTTCAGCTTCTATACAAATGACAGGAGAGAGAGAGAGTAAGTTTTTACCAAGCCCAAGGGTGGATGCAAGATAGTCTGCGAATGAGTAGGGGGAGGGGGTAGATAAATACCACACCTCCCCCTAAACAAATAATAAGAATAAGAATAATTGAACATATTGTACTTTTTTCCAAAGGTAGTATTGAGCCCAGGATTTAATTAAACGAGGTAATCCAATTTTCGATTCTATTAACAGATTTAAAATATTGTTTCTGAAATGCCTTTTGCCTAAGATATTCATATTCTTTTAATTCGATCAATGGACAAGTAGTCAGTAATCCTCATAATTGAGATCTACGTGAAAAATGAGATACAATCTTACGGTTTTCATGAATTTAATGGCCTTTTATGCAGAAGGAAAACTATATGAGCTTCTGTGAATAATGTAGATTTAGAGCTTGTTATTTCGGGCGAAAGATGCATGCGTGGTTTAATAAGTTGAGAATCTGTTCAAATTATTGATCCGACACACATACATACACACATACACACAATTTGTTGTTGTTGTTGTTATCTTGATAAGTTTTATTGGTCAGAAAACACAATGATTTACAAAATATGCGTTACATCTTTTAGCAAAAAAATAATCATATTGTTTTACACTTACAAATCATATTGTTTCACATTACAGTGTAACATAACAAAATATAGCATGATACTTCTACACAAAATCTTTACGACGTTTCAATATTTTAGGCTATAAAACGGATACGGGTGCCAATTAAAGTAATACATATTCTTAAGTAGACTTCGCGTCTTTTTATGCTAGCATATCTCTGGGAACTGGAAAAAAAAAAAAGAAAAAGAGAGAGAAAGAGAGAGAGAGAGAGAGAGAGAAAAAAAGTACTATTAAAAGCCTTAATACTTTCATGTTTAATATTTTCAAATGTAGAAGTACATAATTAAGATGACATTAAATGTTTTAAGATGTAATAGTGATAAACAACACACTTGACTTTAGGTTTGTCGTTTATTGAGAATCTCCCACGGCCTGATATGGCCTCGTGAAGCACAACCATGCAGACGTAAGAATTATAATCCTATTTTTAACATGGTGGGTGTGTGATGAGCCGCAAGATGAGAATCGATTTGATGGATATTTCAGGAAAAATGAAATGACTTTAGCAGTGCCTTGTTTTGCAGCACTTGTTGTTATCCCATTATCATGCAAGAGTAATTCATCTGAACCGACACGCAACGAGAAAACCATGCTGGATACGTGAAAGGTAAGCTGAGCAACCGTGTAAATATTACGTATATTACAGTTAAAAAGAAATCATGTAAAACGGTGAATATTTCCTCGAGACAATGGTTACTCCCAGTGTGTATGCCTACACAAGTAGTGATTTATATTCTAGATATTTAGGAAGAGGATGCATGTTAGCTCATGAGCCGTGACCGTGCAGTTCGCAGCGGTCTGTGTATCGTCTTTGCATTTTGAGCGTCCAGTGCGGATATTTTGTGAGTAATTTGGCGATCACTGATGCTCGCATATAGTTAGTGAGATGAGTGTGTGTGTATGCTGGTGTGTGTGTGTGAACCATGGGTGTGCTCTCTCTATGACTACCATCTGCACTCGGTGCATACACACATCATGCAAAACTCTTAGCTGTTCGCTCTCGTTCCATCTACCCACATACTATATGCGTTATAATCAATGGATTCGCATGGATATTAGCGCTACTTCACTATCTCCCGTAGACAAACGCCCTTATTCTGTAGGAGAGCTCATCGCTACATCCCACCGTCTCATCACCGGATTCAAGGATTAATTTCGCAACTTGCAGGAAATGATGAGGATTATTTTGATATGGGAGGAAAGTGTTAGCTGTAGATGCACTGCTTCACGGCGTAGTTAGCTGTATCATTTTTCTTGGTTTGGTTTTGTGGAGGACCGTGTAGCGAAACATGGGGAATGAGATGAGCGAGGAAGGAGAGGGGATGCCGCAACATCCAACGCCGATACCATACCAGACTGGCAGACAGCTACATGATGGTGTGGATAGTATGATGGGTAGGAGTTTAGAAGGTGCCAGAGGGGTTGGTAGAGGAGGTAGTATTAGTCCTGGGACAGGTGGTGGCACTGGTGTTGGAAGAGGTGGTGCGGTTGGTGGTAGTGGTGGTGGCCGGAGTGGTATGCGTGGGGGAGCTGGTATCAGTGGTGGCCGAGGAAATGGTAGAGGTGGCACAGGTGGTAGTATGGAGACTCGGGGAGGACACGGAAGAGGTACAGGAAGAGGTGGAGGAAGGGGTGAAGCTGGACCAATGGGTGGGCAATCTGGGCGTCGGACCGGTCCAATTGTCAGTGGATCTGCAAGTGTTTCACCACCTCATACCAGCGCAGCAAGTCCGGCGTTTATAATTCCAGGAAGGGGTAGAGGAAGGGGAGATAAAGTATCCACTCAGGGTCCTGGCCGCGGAGGGGTTAACACAGGACCCAAACCATCTAGTACTGCTCCTAGGACTAGTGACAGATCCAGGGTTCAGAATAAAGCAGCCCCTCCAATGAACGACCAACCTCCTGAAGCAGATCTAAGCCATTTGACAGAGGAAGAACGAGCTCATATTCTGGCTGTTCTAAACAGGGCTAAGGGTCTACAGGAGAGAGATGAAGAGAGAGTCAGGTAAATATAATCTACCTTCCTGTACATACCGAAGAAAACCAGATCATAATCATGGCAAGAAAGAAAACAATGTGGAAACAGTCTTTACCTTATCTCTCTTGTATGTTCGAAGTAGGCCCATATACAATTTGGCGTGCTATTGCAGATTGGAATAGGACTGATGTGGCTTTCACGATACTCTATGCATAGTTTTAAGGAGGGTGCGTCCTGGTATGTACCCCGTTGCACAAAACTTACCATTGATGCCTTTGATGGTAACTTTGCCATCAATGATAACTACCATGTAAACCTTGATTTTGATTGGCTGTTGAGCCCTGTTACCGTGGTGGTTGCCATTGATGGAAAATTTACCCCATCAATGGTAAGTTTTATGCAACGGGACCCTGGTCTTTTTTAAGTGCAGGTGCTTATATACCAGTGTGGGTGAATGATAGATGAATGACAGCTTATGTTGAGCTCTTGACAGCATGGTATGACCGGATTGATGATGTGTGTACACAATAATAACGATGTCTTCGAGCTCCGGTATCCACAAGCTCAGGCACTTCTGGTGGTAGGCAGAAATAACCGTCTGGTATGGGCTCTTAAAAAATAAAACTGACATTTGTCAACCTTCCCAATACATCTGTATAGAGGCGGCCAATGGAGCCAGACCTAGTCTCAGCGGAACAACCATCGATCTCAGAGACTGAGCTTTCGCTCAATTATGATTGTTGCTCCAGATAATAACGTGAACTGGCCGTAGTGGTTTTTCTTTTAAACAGTTAACACATTATCGAATAGTTCAAGAAATAAATTAATTTGTACATGGACTCATTCTTATTATTTCACACAAATATTTACATGGTATGAAGAGTGACTAAAGTGATATTTGAGGGTGCTTTATACGTCAACTCATTAAATCATCATTACAGAAGGTAACTCTCTTATAAAGGAAAAAGCAGGTCGCTCAAACATAACATAATGTAATGTATCAGAAAGGAATTGAGTGAACTTACTCCTCATAAAAATTGACTTATTTTGCAGATTCTAATCATGCTTGGAAATTTCAGCCGTCGTGAGATAACTAGAGATATATAACCTTCGGTCTTCTCTCTAGCACTATTTGTATTCCGTGACTATGGTAATTTTAGGTGTATTGGCAATCGCGTGTTTCATTAATAACTAAAGTTCTACAAATGACTCATAACTGACATCATCTGACATCACTGTCATTCTTTGTACAATGCGGCAAAAACAAGTTCTCTACCGTCATTTTGTTTACAATGCATTTAAACAAGTACTCTACTGGAACGCATCTTCCGTGGAACACCCACAAAAACGTTTGTTAATATCAACACTTTCTTTATCGTTGAGGTTATGTAGCCATTGAATCAACATGGTAAATGTTCAAGAGTGTTCGCTGCTTCTCAAGTAGAACAAATTTGTCTATCAAGAGCATTGACATGATAATGAGTCTGTAGAAGAAGACTAATGATAAACAAGGAGGGAGGTCAAGTACTCAATCTAGACTATTGATTTCTAGGACCATCTGAGCTCCACCATCTGCATGCACCAATGGCAAGACTATGATCGGACAGATACTGTGCCAGTTAAAGGAAAAAATCTACTTCGCTTCTGATACAGTTTCGATGGAGATGTTGTTTGTGTGGTAATGAATTGTTTACACTTTCTCATGAAGCTTAAACAAGACAGCAAGACAGTTAATGCTGGAGAGAAGACGTGCTTTCTGGGGGATTCGCCATGGTTTTTATAATGAGATAACCTTTAAAGTGGCGATGATGCGTGATATCTCAGTGACTATGATTGTCGGTTATCAGGCTGTAGGGCCTACTAAGAATAAATGGAATTAGGGAGGGGGCGATGGGATAATTATCATCCCTACTTGTATGAAAAGTATAGAGTTGACTTCTCAGTCATACATCAAGGGATTTAGACAATCACCCACCAATTAACCTGATAACCTCCATTTTTCCCTAGCAAAAAACTCCACCGAATCCATTAATCTTCCTTCATTCTTTGGTAAAGGAATTGTCTTCGATATAATTCAAAACAAATATTTGTATGTTTTCATAAGCATTTCATTAAATACATTTTTTGTATAAATACAAAGTTAGGTTTTTGAAAGAAGCCCGACATTTTGTATACATGCAAAATAACGTAATATCAACAGTGTAGTCAATGTAAAAATGAAGGGCAAAATTAAGAAAACGACTAAATTAAGGGGCGTTGACTAGAGCTGTTAAAGACAACAAACATGTTTGGGAGGAAATCAGTTTTATTTGTACCTAGTTGCTACCAGTAAAAGTCATAACGGTAATTCTTAATACACAAAAAATATATCAAGATGTTGTTCTGCTGAAAACGTGTGCCATGAATTTTTTAAAACTTATTCACTCGTCTCCGTACTTTCAAAAAAATGTCATTAAATGTGAGAGGACACTTCTTTGTTCAAGGTATGAGTACTACAGATGGTTGGAACACGACAGCTCAATCGATAATGTCCGGATACTTTCTGTCATAAAACACGCATAGAAATTTTATGACCTGTTTATGATTGAAACAATACATCATTCCCTCTTCATATCATTTTAGGCAACAGTTGCTGTTTTTCAACGTATAACGTCTTAAAATCTGGAGAGGAATTAAACGTTGAAACCAGAGAATGAAATCATGCTCTTGTCTCTTCTTAAATCTTATCTTGATTCGAAACGTTAAAGCCACACTGTCCTACTTGTAGCTACTTGCTCCCTCTATATAGAAAACAATGCCTAATCGGTGACCATTGGTCCCCCATGATCCTATTTTTCTTATGTTAATTGAGAGCTGAGTTGATGAGATAACCACCTGTCCAGTGACTTTGCAGGGTAGTCCAATCTTTCCTATAATCTAGTACAGATAAGCTTCAAACCCTTTAGAGTGAGGAGGATGAAATGTTAATGTATGTTTTCTTAACATCCTCAAGTGAGTGTACGCATTTCCCTCATTTTGTGACATATCTATCATCCAAAATCAGTAACAGCATTTCAATACTTAATAGCATCTAGATACAAGTCATGATATTTTCCCGTTAACATTGAGACTATTGGGTTTCTCAACAGCATATTACACCCTCCTACAAAACATGTCTTATGATTACACCTAAAAATACGCAAAAGCTTTCAGAGGTACTTTCTTAGGGACATAGATAAATTGTTTGAAATATTCAAGAAAGGTGACAAATTAAAAAACAAAAAAGTAATTGCACCATTTTTAAATTAAAAAGGACACTTGATATGATGTTAGACTATTTGGAATAAGTCCTGCGTCTTTTCTTGAAATACTATTACATTTTCACTTTTCTTTTTCTACGAATCTAGCCCAAAGAATCTGTGTGAATATGTATTTGATTCAAACTAAATTATTGTTCATCCCACCTGAAATGAGTCAATTAGTTCAGTCAATATATTCAGTCAATAGTATCATGAATTATTAATGACACCAGTGAAGAAAATATACGTCAAAGATTGGCATGCAGGTGCATTGCATATACTAATATTGATAATAACTGTCACTTTTAAAACGTTTTACCAGTTACAACGTACCCGACCAAAGCACTTACATAGTATTATTACCCCCGTCAGTAGATTCTTTTATGATTCTTCACGTAATTGTTGCATTCTGGATTCTTTATTGGTGCAAAAAGATCTCACAGTCGAGATTTATCAGTCAGTAAATATGAATGAAATCGCCCCAAATAAATTGTTAGTTTATCCTCTGCAAAGTTCGACTTGAAACTAGTTGCAACTTTCGAGTTATTCTCAATCAAAGTATCAATGTCTATTTATTTTACACTAGTAAAAAAACCATCAGCAAACATCTACCAATACATACTGCTTGGCGTTGAATTGTATACTATTTCACGTTTGGAGTTCGATGCTTACTTGAGACCAACTCTACCCTAAATGTCGGTTATTTTTGATATTTTTTTCTTTATTTTTTTTCTTCCAGTTTTAAAAGCATTATATTAGGGATTTAGATCAATGCAGACGAACAATATTTCCCAACAAGTAAAGAACGCTATGAAGTTATGAAGGATAACATGTAAGGAAATCGAAATCGAAAATGAAAATGAGGCAATGACGCCAAATTTTTATGATCAAGTCGTCAATTTGCCTTCACTATCAGAGAGTAATATTCACTAAACTAAAAATGCATAACTGCTATCATTTGGTATTCAAAATGGCGCTCGTATACAATTTTAGCGCCACATGTCCATACAATATACCAAGTAATAGGCCCAAATCGCCCTATAAATAGACTGTCTCCATTTTATAAACAGTGTAATGTCGATGGCATATCTGCACATTATCAATATACATGTATGCCATTACACCAAGATAGAAATAGATTTATTCTTTATACAATTTTATACGATAATTACAAAAAAGAGGAAATATTAAACATTTATATTGCTATAACTTCACTGTACCCAGCAATATCTTTTGAGTGCAAATAATGCATAGAATTCACGCCACAAGCATGTATTCATCCAATTATAGTTTTCGTGATGTAATAATCTTGTGTATTCCACGACCGCGCTGTCTCATTTCTGATCTTAAGGTGAACATTGTGTGTTTTGGACGAAATCTCAATATATGGTGCATTAAATTTGAAGATCAAAATAATAACTCATTCATTAAACATTGCAGATGAACATTATCATTTTACAACTATTATTGGTTAGTTTAAAAATTGGCTCTCATCATAATGGTCTTGGTATGTAATCATTGCCAAAAAAAAAAAAAAAATACCACCGAATACTGCTGGATGCAGGTCGATAGATAATGCAATTATCATTGTAATCATCGTTAGAGCTAAAAAGCATTCTTGATGTTGCAGGTGGTCGTGAGGTTATATTTCACGCCTTCCTCATTCCACTATGTTCCCTCACACAAACACCACGTTTCGAGTAGAGAGATGTATTTATTTTCGTGCTGATTATTTCATATGCAGGAAAC